ATTATTATTATTACTATTTTATATTAGATTTCTCTGTTAGACTTTCGCAATTAAAACGTATCGAGATTTATATCGGATATCGGCTGCTGCAACGTCCGAAGTTGACAAGACGGATACGCTTTCCCTTTCATTCTCTCTCACTTTCACTCTCTTTCTCTATTATTAAAGCTCTCTATGCGATAAAATTTCTTGAATGAACACAGCGAGTGTGTATTTATGTGTATTATGTCTCTGTGTGTGTGTGTGTGTATTTATGTATGTATGTAACATATAACAATACGTTTACGTATGTAAAACAAATCGTCTATTAAATGCATACATTTTTTGTATTATTATTTGAGAATTAGATTTTTGTCTGTTTTATAAATAATTTAATGAGATACTTGTGTTAGAGGAAATGAATTTACAAATTTGTTCCCTCTCTCTCTCCCTCTCCCTTTCTATTTTTTTTTGATTGGTAACATTTCTGTTTGGGTCATCTCGTCGGAAATAAAAAAAAATCGTACGTAAACGTTTGTGTGTGTGTGTATGTTGTAAATTAGTGTATATTATATTTATTTTCTATGCCGAGCTCTCGAGCAAACGTTTGATCTAAAATCAAACGAATATTCTTCGGCGTAATTGTGAGGAATAAACTTTGACATCTTCTCATTTATTCTCTCGCGAATTCGAAATACGCGAAATTTTGTAGAAGACCCTCGTAATCCCCCTTTTTCTTCCACTTCTTTTGCTTTTTGCTTTTTTTTTCTTTTTCTATCATTAGCTTCATGGGACCCCGTTACGCTAAAACTAGAATCAACGGCCCTTCGACGAATAGACGGCAATGGAAAGACCGCACAATTATTCTTATTATTACTTTTCTTTTAGTTGTTTCCCCCCCCCCTGTTTTTCTCTGTTTTTTATTTTTCTTATAAATTCATTTAATAGGAATGGTGGGGACAAAATTACATTTTTGTTTCCTTCCCCCCACTCCTCGATGATATCTTTGGTCAAATTTTGTAAATATCAATTGAATTTTGTTATAATTTGAAGATTTTTCATTTATCATCGGCATGATCTTTTTAATCGTCATCTTCGTATGCTTAGACGTTTATTTATTATTATGCGGTGCTCCATTATTAATCGTCTGTGTGATCGTCGTCGTCATCGTCGTCATTTGTGTCATCGTTGGCGGTGGTGGTGGTGGTGGTAGCGATGGTGATGGTAATGACAAAAACTCATATCGATGAAGGGACTCGTCATATTTGTCGATCTAATTGCGTGCAATCGCAAGTAGGATGACACCTAGTGCACACGATAGGATAAACGATTTCGGCGGTTGATCGGCACCTGTCGTCGAACCGTTGCAATAATCCTGCAAACACGAACAAACTTCTTGTCGGCCACCGAATCCGCTTCTTTGATAACATTTTCCCTTGTAACTCGATTCGATCCAACCACAGCTACGTATCACTCGGGTATTAGCTGGCACTGGAATGAAAACAAAATATTTCTAATATTTAACGAACTTTCGTTAGGGTTGAGAAATGTGTGTGTTCTTTTTTTACCAAATAATTTTTTAGATTATATTTTATTTTCGTATCGATTTGTCATCCTAAATTATATTTAGGATTAATAAATTACTTACGGCCATTAACGCTAAACTCAATGACCTGGGTAATTTTTCGACACATGGTAAATTTCGGACCATCCTTCAGATCACCGCAATCTTTTTTCAAGGCGTCAGGTGGATTCTCGTCCGCGCATCGACTGTCGTCGTTGCTGTTACATACGTAACACTCTATGGCATTGGCACCTACAAATTAACAAATGAACAATATTAATTAACTAAACGTACGAAATGTTAATACGTTAATTATATAGGATTGTGTTAAAAGGATATTATTTAACTATTTGCATTAGCACCCATAATACCCGCGTAATTTACTTTAAAAAACGATAAGAGAGGTCATCTCATCATCATCGAGAGCGAAAGAAGCGATAAAGAAATCAAGTGTTAATAAAAATTACTATTAACGTTTGCATTCTCCGTGAAATCGATCGTATTGACAGACAGTTTGTTACGAAATGATCATTGAAATTAAAATACAATTCATACGTAAATAATTATCTTTAAGGATTGTATAATAATTATTTAAAAAAAAAAAACTGACCCATAAACGAGCACGAGATAAGTTCATCGAACTCCCGACCCTAACTGATATAAAAATCGATGCAGCTACGTGGCCTAGAAAGACACGGAAAGATTAAGCTTCAAAAGTATGCGCACAAACGATGATCTCGTTTCTGAGAACACGCATGGAATTAAACGGAAATTAACGAAACAAGTGTGACGTGTGCGATTTGATTTTGTCATTACGAAGAATTACAAAAATTTGACAGAGGTGTAATATAAATTACATGAGTTCATCATCGTGTAATTTAAAACTGATCATTAGACTCTCGATAGATCTCTATCACTGTAATCCAAGATCATGCTTACTTATTATACTTAATGATCGACTTCAGATAAAATCAGCTATTCGCTCGGTAATTGAACATTCTAAGAACGGATTGTCTCGATTATGAAATATTCAACGTTTTGACTAACTTAAACAGAAGTTTATTATTCTGTGCTTCAAGAATACGATGATAAAAAGCATAATTTTTCAATGAAATTCTTTCGAACGATTTTAAGAATTAAATGAACAAAACAAAGCATTATGTTGTAATACAATTTTAGTAAAATTTTTCCCTTCATGCTCTATTTCTGTACATTAGTGCCAATGCTGATGTCGTTTTGCGCATAGTACGTCGTCATCGATCTCGTTGACGTTTGCGCCAATGCATTTTGATGAGGGACCATCATGAGCCAAAAAGATCTATTTCTTTAAAAAAAAAAAACAAAGTCCCTTATTCGACGTAATTACTCTATTTCTCGTTGGGATTGATTAAAAATAAGCAACCGTTATTAACGAGTACAACACCATTGTCTTGCAATCAATTATAAAATCGCTAATAAGTATATTCGAGTAGACCTTTGTTTTTTCATCGATCAAATGTTTTCTATAAAAAAAAAAAAATCATTCTGTGTAATAAAAATTCTTATCGTGATATTAAAAGGAAAAACAAATCATTTCCTAATTCAACAAGAGGCAATAATAATTTGACTTCTCGTGGATTTATTTGATAATGAAATGGTTGTCTACAAAACCAAAAAACATATAAATTTAAATAAGACAGACAAAAATTCTTACCATGATATCCAAGAAGAATAACGATGGCACAGCATGAAAGAAAGATAAGCTTCATTATGAGAATTCAATCTGATTTCTTGCCGATCGAATTCTCCTCCTTTTTCACACTTGTTTTTTTTTTATTATTATATTATATTGTTATGATTTTTGTTGACAAGTTTTTTCTTTTTCTTTTTCAAGGATTAAGACGATGCGATATGTTAAAACGATCGACGATTCGTATCACTCGATTGGTAATGGGAGAGAGACAGAGAGAGACAGTTTAAGATAAGTAGAATAAAATATTATGAGTTAGGGTTCTAAAATGCCGATCATTCGGCCTCGAGAGCTGGAAAAGCACTGTCAAAGCTTCCTATCCTACGTCGCCACGGACTCCCACGATAAACTATAAACACCAGAGAATAAGTTTCCTACCTTGTTTCTACGGCACTGGTCTGCGTCGAACGTTTACAACCAATGTGGTGGGGACCTTAAGAAAGAGAGAGAGGGAAAGATAAAATGTGTGTCTAAGAGAGAGAGAGAGAGAGAGAGACGAAATAAAAAAAACAATTTATTTTTATATGTTTTTTATACACTTACTATATTAGAAATGATTTGAATAACATATTGGGATTAGAAATGTACGATTAGTCCATAAGCTTCTAACGAATTATTCTAATGATTTCTTATACTTGCAATTTTGTTTTTTTTGTCTATATTTTCTTATCTATTATTCATATTTAAACGCATATTATATATTTGTAACGCATATTTTTCGAGACACACACTGAAAAATAATGTTATAATAATAAAATATATTAAAAACGTAAAAGGGATAGAAAAAGAATATAAAAATCTGATAAATATAAATAATTTATAATCCATCAATGTGTAAATACACGTAGCTAACGATCAAGTTGTAGGAGTAAAGTACACACAATTTCAACTGTGTAAAGAGAGGAAGAGAGAGAGAGAGAGAGAAAGATAGTGAAATAGAGATAGAAGAGGAGGGTATTCGTAGACTGGTCTACGAATAACTCCAAGGACTCTATACAACCAACGATCTTCGAATTATGTCGAGCAAGGAAAACTTTCCTGGGGTAACGTAATTTCTATTAGTGGATATATTACAACGAAGCAAACGGTACTTTGGAGAACCACGAATATTTACATTCATTTCTTTTTGACAACCATAAACTATTTCGGATCAAACGTAGTAATACTTTACCCATAATTATATTATAATATCTTCACTTTTATTTGAAAAATATATGATCAATCTTATCGATCGAATTTCCCGCGTATTGAGAACAAGAGTACGCATGCGCATTGCGAGAATCGACGCTCCCATAAACGAGAATCGATTATTCCTACGTAAGAAGGAACTATTAACCCGAATAGGCCCTATTTCTATCTCTTTCATAATAAAATCGTTAAATTCTTCCGACGTTCGTTATCATTTTGTTTGTAACTTTTAATGATAGATTTGATTACTTAATCCATGCGAAAAGTTTAGTCCATTTGATTGAAATAATGTTTTTTAAATTGAAAAGTAAACTTCGACCGAGGTTACGCAACTAATTTCCCATCACAATTTTAAATAATAATAATAACAATAATAAATTATATATAAAATCGTATCGATTTAACGATGTTATAATTAATGATCGAAACTGTAATACTAAAAAATAAAAATAATAGGAAGCGTAGGGCCGTACTTTGAACGGGGGAGAAGACCGTGGATGGTACGAAGAGCTTTACGTTCAAATAGAGCGTAAAGTGGTGGTTTGGAACACGTTGAGTGGATAATGTTCCTTTTCCTGTGACACGCTGAACGTCACAAAACTGTCACATATACTCGGCCACAATCGTAAATGAGTACGAGTACTAGTATACTCTCCCAGAAGGTATCCTTTCATTGCTGATTTTCGCACGTCCTTGTTCATTAGATACACGAACAAAATAAATCTATTTCTAAATCTTCTAATCTAATCTAATCTTTTCCTATTAGGAATTTTAACAAAAACAACATTTTATCATAGACTTTGTTGAGAGCTTAACTTTCTTTAATAAAAAATTACTTAGTATTACTTATTTTATTTAATTACTCAATTAGGGTAATGATTATTATTATTATTATTATTATTGTTATTGTCTCTCCTTTAGTTTATATAAAATTGAAGTTAATTTTTAAATATTCGCAATTAAAATTGTAGTGTTTTTTTCTTGATTGTAGGTAATTCTATTATTCTTACATGCGACGTAAAACAATTTAACCCACGCAATAATCGCGTGCAATTCGCAATTCCTAACGATCTTCTTCCTGTCCAAAAATGATATTTTTAAACTATAATACATTAGGATAATCAGGGAGTTTCTTATTTCTAAACGCGTTGAAATCGATCACCCTGTTATTTGCTAATGAGATTTTGATTAATTTAAATCTATGCATCTTTTAATATTATGCCTTATCACGTGCGACGAAGTTGCTCTTTAAAATAATGAAGAAAACAAGACTGATTAATCGTTTGAAGCAATTAGTCAATGTCATCTCTAGTAAGTCACTTTTTTTTTCTTTACTAGATCATTTAACGCATTTAGCATTGCATTTTAGCAACCTTGTTATCCATGACATACTTATTGTAATTAGAAAAGATGTAACTTCAATTTTGATATTGATTATATTTTATTTTCACACTTGAGAAGTGTTGCATATATTGTTTTATTATTAAATTAGATATAAATAATTGATGATGTTTAATCGAAGGGATGATAACATTTCGATAAAATTACAAATCGATCGATCGATCGATTTCGTTTACACGTAATATTTTAAGTCATCATGCGCGTGTCGAATGATCAAAACTGGTACACCCTATCCAAGTAGTATACTCTGTTTCATGATAATAGTGGATCAGTGTAATTGATTCTGTACGATTTGAAGCAGTTTATTCTGAAGATTCTCGAGGGATCGTTTCAACTATAATTAACGAGCTCTACTAAAAACAGAGAATAGGTTAAGATCCCTTCATTCCTCGTAGATCTGGTAATTAGTTTAGAGACTAAGGTTTTAAGTAATTACGTAAAAATTGGATTTTTAACAATATCGATTATTTTTTATTATTATTATATACTACTACTACTTGAGAGATATAAACAAGAGAATGATTATTCTTATTTTTATAGAAAAGAGGAGAAATATTACGAAGAGTTATAAATATTCATGAAAAATTAACGATGCAAATAAGATTGAACAGATTTCATATTATATTAGTTTTGTTATTTCTTCCAAAAGGTTAGTTCAACATTTAAATAATTAGAAATTATTTCATGGTCGATCGCTGATAAGGTAGAAATATTTTTATCCCAATGAGATAAGTTTATATAATCGTTCGTTGATAAATATTATTCTCTCGGTTGATAAATTTCAATCAAAGGTTGTTTAATAATAGAGAATTATTTTATTATAAATTTGTGATTATAATACAATTAATGAATTACGCGAAAGGAGAACATTTTTTATCATAGTACACCGAAAAATAAAGTTATTTATAATATATTCTCAATAACATTAATTAAAATGTATTAGGAATCAATTAAATTTGAATGAATTTAGAATATAGATGCAACAAGTGTTATCAGTGCAACAGCAAGAAGGACAAAGACTGCACTTTTAATAAGGTCGATCCGAAATATCTCAAACCGTGTCCAATGACTCACCCGTATTGTCGTAAATATGTTTACAAATGTAAGTAAGTCATTCTCTTTTTATAGAACAAAAAAAAAAGGGCAAGTTTTGCAGAAGAGTTAACGTGGTCGTTCATAAATTTCAAGATGAAAAACCAAACGATCTATTTCTCCCCCCTTGAAATTTATTTTCCGATCAATGAAGTGAAAAATCTTTTCAGACTACTTCACGGATTCGAAAGAATACTCGACGACTCGCGAGTGTGCAAAATGGAGGAACGCCGAAAGGGAATGTTATCGAGGACGTTATCCAGATGACAGTTATCAATTGACTTGCGAATGCAAGGGTTTTGCTTGCAACCGTGCAACCAGAACTAATTTCAAAACTTTGTGTTTTCCTTATATCCTTTTTCAACTCTTAGTCCTTTTATTCGTCAATTACGTTATACTCGACGTTTGATAATCATCGAATCATGGTCGAAGAGACTATTCATCGCTAAAAAAAAAAGAATTCTGCATAAACCACGAACATTGTAATCATTCTGCTTGATTATTTTTTATTTAAGCAACGTTAAAGTCTAGACATATTATCACTTTAATGCGATAAGATAACGGATTATAATAAATAATAAAACGAAATGGTAAAATCTCGACCATAAACCTTGTAGAAATATTTATCGGTTCGTGAGAAACATTTGAGAAACCGATTGGAATATTTTTCAAGGATAATCAACTGTAGGCTTGACATTTCGGCCGTCTTCGAAGCATTATAATATTTGAGTATCGTGCCAAGGGAAGTGATAATTCGTCTCGAACAAACGTGGATATTGGTATGGGGGAACGTCCATTTTTGATTCATTCTCATGAATAAAAATCTATCTCTCGCATTGGCTACAACGCATTTTTATCAAAATGAGAACATTTTCGATTAAATGCTCAAGAAAAAAAAACAAGAATTTACACGGTCAAAAAATGTCAACTCTTACGAATAGTCTATTTCTTATTACACACATGCATTACAGGTTGCATATCATCAGGGTTCGGTAGGAAAAATGTTATTCTTCAAGATTGTATCTACTTTTCGAATGCTTTCACATAGTCGACAAACATGACAACACCGAGAGAGAGAGAGAGAGAGAAGAACTGTTTGATTAATAATTCTAGCAACGATTAGTTGTATTCGAGGACATAAGGAAGACGCCGTAGTATATCGTATGACTTTTCTAAGAGGGTGGGCGGCGATTTTTCCATCCCTCCACAAACTACCCTCGGGTTGTACCACGTGACAGTCGTTCGTTCTCTTTCCCCCCTTCTAACGCTCGATATTATTATTATTTGGGTCGCGGCAATGTGGCGCCAAGCGTCCTGACGCTCTCGATTATTTTCTATCCTCGCACTATTTCCATCTTTCCTTGCATTTCAACATTTTCAACACATCTTTGGAAATAAAGAGAGAGAGAGAGGGAGAGAGGGAGAGAGGAAACCTTCGCTCGCAATAACAATCAACTGCTACGAATTATTTGAATGAAAGTAATTTACTCTTATGAACATTTTCGTAAGTACTTAATAGTTAAAATCAATTAGTGATCTATTGTTTCGGCCTTTTCGAACATTTCGCGTGGCTTCGGTTGCGTGTGTAGACGTCGCTTATTAAGAAGGATATTTAACGCTCGTTGAACGTATGCCAAAGGATGTTATCTGCACTACGGTCGCTCCTTCGACTTAGAAAAAGGGTGATCAACGTCAGCCTATTATAAATAAACTAATGGTCACAATCTTGTGTGTGCGTAAACCTATTTCTTATGTTTCATGATTTATGATCGACTCTTTATTTTTCTTTCCAGGAAATATTTCAATTTGTTTTATAGTAGAACAATTTCTCGAATAACGTTCGCCTAACAAATAATGTTGAAATTAAATGAAGAAGAACAAAACAAGGATCGATCTTTTCGAGAGGATCCCATACTGCGAAAGCAAAAAATACGTGGGAATAAATGATATAAATATTGGGTTGTTGGTCCCGGGGACTTGTGTTTTCAATAGGTTATTGTTAAAGTAACCGCACTCTCTTAGTTGCCAACCCAATAAAAAAGAGAGAGAGAGAGAGAGAGAGAGAGAAATGGGAATAATAGAATAGACGAGAGTTTGCGATCTTGGTTGAAATCGTCCTATGTGAATTTTTATATGGAGTTTTGTTGGTAATTGGTGGAAACGAAAACTCCGAGCTAGACGGCGTCGTAGATGGGCGCCGCGGCGCCAGTCGTCTCTCCTTCCATCCCTCCCCCACACCCCTCTCCCTTACCCACTCCGATACGCCTTGCCCCCTTTTTCTCCTATTTCCTTCGGATCTAGGAAAGATGTCATAGAACATTGGAGGAACGTGTATCGTTTCTTTCTTTCTTTCTCTTGAAATGATACTACTTTGCGATTAACGATGATGCTTATTTCAACGATTTTGCCTATTCTACGTACTCTACAATCAAAATCAAAACGATTTAAATTATTTTTTGTATTACTTAATATCATATTATTTATTTTAAATGGTTATATTAATTATCGTTAAATTAATCGTAACAATGACGACAACTCGGTGTCTAACAATCGCGTGTTCATTTTTCTGGCTCTCGCATTTGACATTTTCTAATCTAACGATTTCTACCGCGTAACTTTAGTTGTTTTAATTAGGCTAATAGTCGATTAAACTTGTCATCTTTCTCTCTCTATTTCTCTTTCTCTTTCGCCTTTGTTGATCCCCTCGAGCATCGGCATTACATTAGACTTTCCAACAATTTCTTTCGGAATCGTTGCCAAAAAACGTATACCGGATATAACATCGGCCGATTTTAACATAAGTTCGATATTCGCAATCGGACGATACACTGAACGAGATAACCTTTCCTTCCTCTCTCTTTTTTCTATTTTCTTCTTCTTTCATTCTACTTCCGTAACTATTCTCGCCAGTCTTTTGGCAAAGTTTAATCTTGTTGCCATGCAACAGGTGAATTCGTCGTCGTGAAAAGAATTTCTTTTCGAATACTTTCACTAATATTTCTTACGATGTATATATATATATATATATATATATATATATATGTTACGGTCAATGTACAGAATCCAGGAATCATATAGATTGTTCGAAGCATTCTATAGGATGTCTGCAAAGATTGGGCAATAGATATTTTGCGTATGTTTTTCGTAATTCGCACGGTCAATCTATGTCCAATAAGTTTTGATCAATCTAGAATATATGCTTCAGTGTAGGTGTATTTAAAACACGGAGGGAGAATGGGGGTAAGTTTGAAGTTATTTTAAATTCGTGTAAATGAAATAAAAATCCCATGGAAATTTACAAATTCGTTCACGATGTGTCCTTCAATATAATAGTTTCGATTAATCTTGAAAATGTACATACAGTAAACGTTTCCTATATGTATTGGTTTAGGAATATCTTCAAATACAAAGAGAATGAATTGTTTAAAAACGATTGTATGATTAGGTAGGAAAAAAATGGGACAAAAATGGAAGAAAAGATAGGAGGTATAAAAGTAGAAGGGGTGTGTAAAGTACATAGGTGGCTCGTACGCGTCGTGCGCGATGGGAGAGACTCGTGAGAGAGAGGATTGGGGAGAAAAGCAAAGGAATGGGGAAAGGAGGAGAGGAGAGGAGTGAGTGGATGTGTGGAAAGTGCCGAAGCACTGGCAGCGATCTCATATTCGCGATCAGGCTGTCGACACGACAACAACCCTTCCTTTTCTAAGCTTCTCATCGTATCGGCCGAGCTAGTGTTTTTCTAGTCAAAATTTTAGTGATTCCTAGAAGGAGGTAGAAACAGAGAGAGAAAGAGAGAGAGAGAGACATAGAAAACTGTGATCGAGACAAGGAAAGATGCATCGAAACGTTGCGATACTTTTCGTCGTTCTCGCTTCTCTCGTTTTGGCGGTTCGATCAGGTGGGAATTTTTTCGTTTAAACATTTTGTTTGTTTGTTTGACGTAATAGTATTTATCGTAATCTTCAATCAGTTTTATTTTCTTCTTAACCATTGCTTCATTTTTATTTTATTTTATTTGACGATTGTTTTTATATTTGAATAAAAACGTGATTCGACATCGAGAAAAAATAACGATCCTTTTCGATTAGAAATTAAAGCTAATACGACCACCGCGTATTTGCATCTCGACACGTATTAAAAGAAGTTAAGAAAATTCTTGATATTCGTAAAACTTTCCTAATGTGTTTCTTTTTTCCAAGATCGTCGAACCAGGACAAAGTTCGTTTTCCTACGTGTCCGATTTATCAAAGGTTTTATTACTTTTAACAGCGAGGTGGTAGTTTGCTTGAAAAGCTCTTCTTCAAACAACTTTCAAATTTCTTTTCATTATTATTTATAACTTATTCGAAATAGAAATACGATTTCTCGTTTACTATTCTTAAAACAAAGTTAATGAATTAATTTTGTTGAAATAATCGATATAAAGAATGGAAAAAAATGTTAAAGAAAGAGAGGAAAGGAAAAATAGAAATAAAATGAAAAATAATAGAAAGAAAAGGGGGTTGGGTGGGGATTTTGGCGCCACATTGCCGCGACCCAAATAATAGGAACACGCGCGTTCTGTAAAGGAGGCCAACTTTTCTACACCCCCACATACTTTCTGCACCCTCCCCCCGTCTTTCTTTCTCTTTCTCAATCATAAATATTTTTACGATACGTTAGCAACCACCCCATTGGAAATAATACTAAACACACCCTTGAGTGGACTGCATATTTATTAACAATCATCTATCAGAACTTCCTCGTCATTTTTCTTTGACATTTCAACTATTCGATCGATTTTCAATTAATTCCTACTTCAATCCCGTTTAACATTTTGATTCTTTTATACGGAGTTACAGGGTGATACGTTTAAATAGGAACGCGTCTTGTATTTTTTACGAAATTAAATTTCTTCTTAATTAATGAGTGTGTGTGTGTTTTTCTTTTTTTATTAACGGGATATACTCGTACGAAATGAATAATTCCTTGAAATAATTATATACGTTACGTAAAATTTAGAGAAAATTTTTCCGGAGCAACTCCACAGGAAAATTTTGTTAATACAAGAAAATGTCATCGAACAAAGACGTCGTTGTTGTATCCTGTGCGTGATAATTTTCGCACGTTCGAACGGATGGCGCGAATTACGCGATCGTTTCGGAAATTAGCATCGTTCTTCGTTTCTTCGACAAATTTTTCATCGTTCTCGTCGTTCAGTTTTTCATGGAATTTTCATGACGAAAGTATTTCAAATATTAACGATTAAATCATAATTTGTAATAATTGTTCCAGATGACACATTAAAATGTTACATGTGTACCTCAGTTACGGACAAGGATTGCGGCAACGATATGATCAAATCAAAGACAATCGAGCCGATCGAATGTACGATGGAAAAAATGACCAAATGGCAAACAAGTATTCAACAGAACAAATTACTTATTCCCATTTTCAGTATTTTTGCCGTAGATGATCCGCAACACGATCAAAGTATGTTAAAGAACATGGCATGTGCCAAAGTCGATGTTAAAAGTGAGTAGAAAATGACGTTCCCTTTTTTATTGTTTCCCTTCCTTGCTCAATATTTTTTCTTCCACTTTTTACGTACGTTTTATTAATTATCGATTGTCGTTGACAGGTAAAGACAATGAGAACAAATTATTGACGATAAGAAGTTGTCAAACGGCACAGGCGGAAAATGTTGATCCTTGCACGTCGATAGAAGGAAAACTTCAAGGTGCTATGGAATTTTGTGGACTTTGCGAAGAAAATGGTTGCAATGGTTCGATGACCATTTCCCCGAGAATAAACCATATTATTTTGACCGTCCTTGGATCATTCCTCATCGCTCTAATCCTTTACAGAGATGCATAACGTTCACCGTTCACGATCACTCACCATTTTTCCAATTAATCCGTAAATTCATATCCACTATCGTAATCGAGTTATCGTCGTTGCATTTGCCTCTTTTTACCATGGAAAAATCTCTCTCCCTCTCTCTCCCTCCCTCTCTCTCTCTCTTTTGCAAGCGTCGAAAGTAATTTGGCACGATTCAACGATGTTTTCTAATTTCTTAGGATAAATCGTATTCGAAATTAGAAATATTAGTTGAACGATAAACTAATATCGAATCACGTATTTATCCTAATCGAGATAAGTTCATCGAGATTCAGAATAAATCATTTGTTCTATTGTTATTCGCCCTGAATCGAATAAATCGCGTTTACGCGTGTATACTGCTAATAAATGTATATATTCTACAGGGTAAGATCAAAGTCGTTTTCTTCAAAAACCATAAAATTTGGATCAGTTGATAGAACGCGTCACTATACAAATGAATACATAAAAATGCATAAACAAAAGAATTCGTTTAGAGATTTATCACGAGGACAGCGACTTTTATTCCACCCTGTATATTATGTACATATACACACAAATATATATATATAATACATATATACGTTTGAGATATATAAATATATACATCTATTACATATATATTATATATTATATATAAATATTAAGAAAGACCACTGTTATTTGTTAAAAGAAAGAAAGAAAAATAATAATTCACACATATATATAAACTAATCGTATCTCTACGTGTGTATGCAACCGGATATGCATTCTCGTGCCTGGATATTGGTATCGAGAAAACAATGCTAAAGCTTTCGAAGTCAAATAAAAAGTGTTTGCTGCACGATTATTGTAACGAGCAATAAAACTAAGTTAAAAAATTAAAATAAACTTGTTAACTAAGCTCGTTTTATTATAATTATTATTTCCTTTCTGATTATATAAGATTATTCTGAAATATTGTTCGTATGATAAATCATAGTACAGTCATAATCATAGTATTAGTCATATTATAGTAGGAAAAAGTCCGAGCATTGTTCAGTACATGGGATAGAGACCATACAAATTTTGTTCTATAATCATTCGCGTGAATAATAATTTCAGGATGTGCAAAATTGCATAAAAAATTCGAATAATATAATACCTGCAAAGTTTATCGACCATTTGCTAATACATTTTAGCGTAAATACTATATAGGATAATTTACAATCGGTATTAAAAATAATACTGAAATTACAAACATGCTTTGAATTGCAAAGATACGTCAAAAGAAAAAAAGAAAAACGCGTATCTAACTGTATGTACACCCTTTCGATTCACGCATTATTCAGTAGGATCCTGTAGATCGATGAATACGGGTTTGCTGCAAGGATACCAAAATGTATGAGCTGCGGAAAACGTACGGGAATTTCGTACCATAGGAAATTAAGCAATCTACAAGTTGTTGCTACAGAAGTTCATGCAGTTCCATTTTGCTGCATTCATTGTCGTTGCAGAGCCAGATTTCTGGCCCGATCAACGCTGTTTTATGAGTGTCAGACATGCGCGATATTCGGTACGGTTGTTTATTTTGTCGCATAATATTCTATTTTATATATATATATATTATACAGTATAATATATAATACTGTGTAGAGAATATTCGTAAAATATATTATAATATAATAACATCGTTGAAATATGAAAACAAAACGAAATTGTTGAAATAACGTTACGAATATCAACGTAGTGTTAAATTTGTCAATCGGCATATTACTTTATTACGGATGAGGAAAAAAGTGCGTGAAATATAGGTGTGCTCTATCTCTCACCATTTGTTCTTTATTCGCTCGTCGACTTTTATTATCGAAGATAAGATATCTCGATCAGTTAGCGATGCGAGTACCAGGTACGTTTTTAAGAACAGCATCCAACATGGTCGAATACGTAACCGTACTGATGATATTTTTCTTCATCTTTAATTTAATAAGTAAGTAATTATACGTATATAATTTTGTACTCCCGATTAATTCGGTATGCTTTTGAAGAAAATTATTTAAATAAATCCGATTGGTTGATTCAATTCGCGTCCACGAAAGATTAGAATTTTGGCCTATTTTACTCGTATCGCATTTCAGAAGAAAAGGAAACATCTCGTTGAATAAACATCTACTTTAATCTTTGTTATTTCCTTTTTTTCTTTTTGAAACGATGCGTATACTCGTTACACGGTTATTCAATTATTTCGCTAACTCCTTCCTTTTTTTGTTGTATATTTATACCGATTATTTGTTGTAAATTATATTATTCGATGTTATTTTGACAGAATTGACGAACAGTCAAAATCTTTGGTGTTACGATTGCAATACCGATTTAAGAAATGGTCCACAAAATGAGTGCAACGATCCTTACGTCCCAGGACCTTCTATGGATTTGATAGCCTGTCCTCAAAACGAATCGTATCATTGTCTCAAAGGTGTTGTACTGTGTATGTGAAAAACATTCATTTATTACTTTCGAATAAACATTTTTTTCTTTTCGGATAAATTATGGTATTAAATGAACAATGAATTTTAATGTTATAGATAAGAATGTCCTAGTAACGATAAGGGCCTGCGTACCAAGTCGTAAAATAGATCATTATTGCGATCATGAAAAACATTTTCCACATTCTACCAACGAATGCTACTTTTGCAACAACTATGCTTGCAATGGTCATCCATCGATGAAGCCTGACAGTATTTATACATTGGGAATTATCCTTTTAATGCTATTGAATTTGTCAAAAAGATGTTGACTTTAATGAAATGATCTTTTTTATAAAGACATATAATGCAAAATTGAGACGTTAATAAATTGTTAAGTATAATAACAATAGGTGTGTAGACACAAATTACGAAGACTTATTTATTCGCTTATCTTCGATTTTTCGTTCCTTGGAAATGAAATGATGACAAAATTTGGTTATAAAAAAATCTTCAAAGATATATTTTACTCAGTCTGCATAAAAAACACTTGCGATGAGAGATGGCAGAAAGGAAGAAAGAAATAGAGCGTCAGGAATCGTTGAACGAAAGAGGTTGAAACATCTTTGAAGACCGGAAAGGTCAGTTGACTTTCTGAGCTTGAAATTAAATCGTTTTATGAATGAAACCAGAGAGGAGAAGTCCAGAAGGCTGACTCCTTCTACGACGTTTCGTCGTGGAAGAATAAGAAGCTGACCTAAACGTTTGCTGCTACCATCGCGTCTTCGTAGTCTTTCGGTGCCGAGGGGAAGGGGTCAAATGCTCGAGTCAATTCGGTAATTCTTCTTAAGGTTAAATGTTCTCCTGACCCCTGACAAGTTATTCTTAACGAGTCGGCAAGCCTCACTTTGCATCGTCACATTTAGCTGCTTCTTCGAAAATATCGAACGCGTCTAATTTCATCATTATTTCCTTTACTTTTTTCTTTTTTTTTTTTTTTCTTTCTTTTCTATTCATTATTATATACCACGTGTAATGTTATTTCAACTGAGAATACCAAACTCAATTGCATAATTGAAATTGACACGATAGTGGAAAGATAAAGTAGTATCAATTTCTTTTTATCGATGGAGTAATTGCCATAATTACTGCTATATCCATATATACCAATATCTTTTTGCGAATCGTATAAATTATTTCAATTTCTGTTACACACGAATTTAATAATACATGTAAATGTAAAATATTGTACAATGAATTAATTCGAATATCTTTGTTTGTTACATTTCTTTTTTTATTGTTTGCTTTTCATACGTTTTTCATATATGAAAGAATTAAATTGATGGCAAAAGAATTTGTGAGAGAGTGAATCGATTATGATTAAACCAAATCGTTCGGCAAAAACATTTAACGATCTAATGGAATTGATTAAATATTTGCATCGATAAAAAGAGAATTTGCTAGGCGATATCGATAATAATATCATCTTGAATACATTAATATTGGAATTATTCACATCGATACGTATTAGAATTAATCACCTCCATTAAATCATAATTATAGATTGGAACGATTAGATAATCGAGTAGGAAGAAGAGGAGCTACGTACGTTAAGGTTCTCGAGAGCGATAGACACACGAATAGAGATAAATAGATATTTTCTCTAATATTTTCATTAATATTATTTATTTGAATATTTCAAAAAAAACTTCTTTAAAACTTGACAAAATAAAATTTAATATCTAGATAGAATATTATAGAAATAAAAAATCTAATGATAGATGATAATAATAAAAAAAAAAAACCAACAGACGAGAAACCGAACTTTTGTGAAAGAAAATAATAACGGATGGGGGGAGTTCACTATTGAAGAACTAATGTATGACACATTCCGTTTCGTAAAGAAACGAAAAGTGAAATAAGAGAATGGAGAGGTTCGAGAAGAAAATGACGAAAAATGGTCCCAAACGATTAGCTCTATCGTTAATTGTCCTAAACGAGGTGGAACGAGGGTCCCATTTCGACTCTCTTAAAAAGTCTTCTTGCCTGTTGTTTGCTCTTTACTCCTACTTCCTGGCAGAGAGTCTGCTTCTGTTAGAATTGGTGGGGAGTTCTCCGGGGGCACGCACGACGCATTATTATGACGAAGTTATATAGACGAGGACAAACGTAATAGTAACTTGACGAGAGTCAGAGTTAGAGTGAGAGAGAGGGAGAGAGAAAGAGAGATGCATATATATATATAGGAAGAAAGGGAAGGAGAAGATTCGTGCGTGCACTCTGCAAAAGAGGGTGTCGTCTACTCTCTTCAGTTTCAAAGTGGACACGTTCCGCGACGCCGACGTTTTTTCCAAATCATTATAGTGCACTTTTATTTTTAAATAATTTGTCATCGTGTTTATCGACAAAATTCGCATTCCCTCTTTCACGTTTATTTAATTAATAACTGAGAGTTCTTTTCGAAACTGTCAACATGATTTCCAATACTTCTTGGATGCTCCTCCCTATTTTTCTCATTATTTTCGCTAATTCTGGTGAGTAGACAAATATATATATATATATAATGTATGCATTAATTTATTTAAAAAGAAAAACGAATGAATTTATTGAATTATAAATATTATATGTGTGCTCCAAGTTTTTCATCATACTAAGGAAGATCCTAATAATACGCGTTTTTTCATTTAAATTGGCGGGCTTTTTGTTAACTACTTTCGAATCGCTTCGTAATATTCGTCGAAATTTTCATCGAAATGATCACGTTTCATTTCACTTTTCCAGATTTTCTCTTGGTAATATTTTGTACCTACCAATTTACGTTACGTAATTAGTCGTGCTAGTTTCAACGAATCATCTTGATCACATTTACTTCTATATACAAATTGACTATTTTTATTTTGGTAGAAATTCATTTGGATATTATATTAGTCTGTTTTCTTTATTTTTGAACAGGTTCAGCGTTAAAGTGTTGGGATTGTTCGTCTCACACGAGCGCAATGTGCGGTGATCCAATGAATTCTACCGATCATCAAGTTATGTTTCACGTGAAAGATTGTGGAAGAGCTTTATATAATAATAATAGATCGATTTGTCGTAAAATGGTTATAAGAGGTACGTTATTTTATCTTGCCAATTATTTTGGTTTCTTTCATTAAGGACAACATTTGTATGTAAGACGACGTATTATTATGATAGAAGTAAATTCGTGCGCATTATTCTTAGCCCGATGACACATCTCAAACGTAACATCTACGCCTAAATACTTAAACTCTTTTCGCGAGACTCCATCGAATTTAATAAATGACGTTACCTATGAATTATAACGAGACACGTTTGTTTTTCTGACTCACGGCTACTTGCATCTGCACGACAATTGAGATAATTAGGTATGCACTAATGCGCCAAGATCGTTCAGTTTCTTCTTTTTTTTTCGTAAGACGATCCGTTTAAAATACATTTTTAACTAGAAAGATAATGAAAAAATTATCGGAATGAACGTTGTTAAATATTGCGAGTCACAACGTTACATACGATTATGTGTATGTGTGTGATATAATAAAAATAATCAATTATATTATGTAGAATCGCACATACCATCGCACATACCATCGCACGATTCTGCTGGAACCGAATTACGTGTTTCTCTACTTGCAATTAAATCTGTTTGACGAAGCGCGCAACGGGCATGAATCAGACGGAAATCGTGTATTACGTATTCTCTTCTATTGTCTAGCGAAGTAGTATAGGAGCAAATTTTCCGTCTACCGGAACGACCTCGATCCTTGTCCCTCTTATTCTTCTTCCTTCAATGATCTAGCCGTTATGTCGAAATCCAGCTCAACACTTTTCGATGATGCACATTTTTTAACTCCGAACAAAATTACTCATTTTTACCCGACTCATATAGCTCGCCGACAAAGTATTTATTTAGAAAAAAATAAAAACAAATCTTATCGTCTCGACGATGATGAATCCAACAACAGTAGGAAACTTTCCTCTTATTACGTTTTTCTATATACATATTTTTACATTGTTGAAGGAAAAAAAAATTATAGTAAGAAAAAACATTAATGGGAGTGCCATCGGTTGCATTTGAAATTGAGCTGGATAGGAGGAATATTGCGCAATGGATAGGAACGTTGTTGACTGAAACACATCGCGTGTGTATATTGCGAATCTTACCGCGAATCTAAAGAGAAACGTAGTAAAACGCCAGGATATTATTCGCAACTAGCTGCAGTGTTTAGACTTCCGTCAGCGTTTTACTTACGAATCATGCAATACAACAACTACGACGTTCCTATCTACGAGCAAGATCTCGTCATTTCGTTAGAATTATTCGAATGAATCATTTCCCGATCTCCTTCTTCATCGTTTAATCATCAATCAACTTGTCGATGATCTTACGAATTATATTCTTCCATTTTGTTTCCCCTACGTTTCTACGTTTGTAAGTTTTATCGATATGAGATCGGTGATAAATTTGCGAGAAAAAAAAATTCATCTATTTTGTTTCAGATGGCGGCGAACGTATCGTCATACGTTCCTGTGCTGTACCAAATACCGACGAAATGGAAATAACCGATGGTATTTGTGGTTCACTCACAAGCAATCAAGGTATAACCGAATCTTGTCATATCTGTAGTACCGATCTCTGCAATTCAGCAAGTGGCTTGTCAACGACGCTATCGTTGTACATCGCTGGATTTATTTTCATCGGTTATCATTTTTTCCAATCAAAGTACAATCAAATAATATAATCGTCAAAAGCAATTAAAACGACAAGCCTCATAGAAAAAATAATAATTGGTTACGAATCGTATTAAGATTTTCATTCTAATCGTTCATTCGATTTACTTTTTACACTATAAATGTTTATATAATATTTTACTAACGAGTTCTTTTCTTCTTCTTCTTCTTCTTCTTCTTCTTCTTTATTTTTTCGTATATTAATTAAGAAAAAAATAACGATTTATGGAAAAATTATTTGTCATCATTGATAGTTATTGCTACAGAAGCATGTATATTATTATAGGTCGATTGCGTAAGAATTTTTGGAACGAGCAATTTTAAAGTAAGCTCGTTAATTTTACCTAGTTAGTAGAAGCTCGTTAGTGCATAATAAATTAACATATTACGTTACCGTATTAGATCGGATAACGCGTCAAGTTAATTTTTACTAACTTAGAATTTTATCTGAACTTAAACTCTTTCTTATAATTTCTTTTCTTTTTTTTTTTTTTGGAAAGAACATAAGTTTATTATTATTTAGAACATAATTTCTCGTCTTGTTAAAATACATTTATTTCTTCCCACATTGTTCGTCGAGGAATCCATAATATGCCTCGCAATGGATTTGTATCTTTAATTTAGTAACTTTGTATATTTTTTTTTCTCTTATTAACTCACTCTCTCTCTCTCTCTCTCTCTCTCTCTCTATTTGTAAAATTAAGTCTTCGTCTTGCTCTTACTCCTTTCAAAAATTTGTAATTAAAATAAAATAAAGAAAAAATACAAAAAATGTCAAAAAAAAAAAAAAAAAAAAAATGCAAGAGTAAGACGAGCAAGCTTAACGTAGCTTATCAGATATCCGTCCAGTGCTTAGAAACGATCAGAGATCTTTATTAAAACTAGTCTCTTCGTTATCTTCTTGTTAAGACCCTTCGAATGGCTTCTAGTTCTGTAATTTATTAGGTTAAACGTATTCTTATGTTTTTTTTTTCTTTCTATCCTTCTTTCTTTCTTCTTTCATTAAAAATTTTCCTGTTATCTTTTAAAAGTTAAACTTTCCATCGGGAGGTTTTTTTCTTTTCGTTTGTCGATCTTATAGAAAATCTCACGAAGAAGGGAAAAATAAGGAAATCAGGCGTGTCCGAGTAACGAGAATAGTTATTGTATAATCGTTTGTACATAATTTGAAAATATATATATATATATATATATACCGTGTGTATCATCGTCGTCTCGTTGCCGTTGTAATATTTAATATCGAAAAGATTCGATATCTATCGTAATTTAGAATTTCACCAAGGAAAAGAGAAAGCGTTGAAAATGTTTCGAACGATTTTTCAAATCTAAATTATTAATAATCTACCTATATATATACGTATGTAATAATTGAGAAGAAAAAAGAAAAAGAACTAGGAAATAAAGGATAACAAACAAAATCTAGGTTGTAGGAGGAAAGATGTCGTAAGTTTTTAGCCTCTTTCGTGTTTCGTCGTTATGTTCGTTGTTTTTTTCTTTTTGTTTTTTTTTCTTTTCCTGAAAATATTCTATCGAAGAAAGCAAAGAAAATTATATTTTAATCGTTCTAAGAAATGGAAGAAAATGAAGTAACGAAAATTAAAAAAGAAAAAAAAAGGGGAAAAAATACAAGGAAAATAAAATCCTTTTGGGTGCACCTGAAATAATTAATTTCGTGAATTCGTTGGTGGAAACTTGTTGTTGTTAGGTGGATCGCATCTGCATACGCAACAAGAAGGAAACAGGAACCAGTCCATGAAGATGCCCTTGCAATCGTTGTCCGGATCGTAAGCAAGCAACCTATGCCATTTGTACTTTTGTTCGCATCCGCAATCGGTCGTGCATCGATTCGTTTGCGTCTTTCTGAAATTTCCACGAGGTTCTTGCGTTTATTTTCTTTGTTTTCCTCTCTCGAATCAATCACTCGCAATTAGATTTCATTAGAATTACGAACGAATATTAACATAACACTTATATATATATACATTTTATCTCTCTTACATACAATTATGATTTAATTATACTCGTTAACAAACTTTTTAACGTTTCATTCATTTTATCGTAATCGAGAGAGTAAAATACTTTTGAGAACTTTGAATAAATATCAATAGATTTATAAATTATGTAATACTTGTATGTACTCACGAGCAAACTTCTTGGTGAATCGCTTGTTCAAAATGTTGGGTGTTTACGATAGCACGTATCTTTCCTGCACTATTGCTAGCCCAATACGGTGTCACGATCTCTACTTTTGATTCGCATGCGTCGACTCTAAAATTACGATCATTGTTCTTTATTTATTTCAACACTGTGCGAGATTTAGGTTGGCACGATTTTTCGATTTCTAATCGTAATTTGTGCAGCGTTAAAAAACAACAGAAAAAGATATACACACATATATATGTATATATGTACCTTCCACTTTCGTTGTTACGGTTTTTCCCAAAAGATTGTCTCGGATCTCTTTTTTGATTCTCCCTACCAAAAAAGGAATCCCCATCGGCTTCGATTTCCGTTTCGAAATCGTGTTCCTTCTCTTGAAGATTAGGCCCACCGTCCGGTAAATCTAGTTTCGACGATTTCAAAGAGGATTCTCGTCTTTTTCTTCTCGTACGAGTTCGATGACCTGGGCTCATCTCGAAGTCACCGTACATTCTCTTCATCAATGCTTTGTTTTCGTCTATGAAACGTTCTATTCGTTCGCTACAAGATTGAGTAGTCAAAAAAGTCAAAACAAAAGAAAAACAAACAAATTGAAAAAAGTAATAAAAATCATATTTACATCGGATACGTATTTCCGGCAGTTGGACAAAACAATTGATGATATCTTTTGATGCACGGTGCACCTCTGACCAAATCACCTCTCAATTCGACTCCTAATGCGACCGAAAGTGCTGTCCAAAGGATCTACATAGAAATGAAGAAGACAAATCAATAAGTATCTTATCTAACGTAACGTTATTAAAAAAGAACTGGCAGAAGAACTCGCGTTTAAAGTTATAAGGAAAAGGGTCAAGGATCTGTGCTGGAAAGGTTAGCATAAAGTCGAAAGGAAAAACGATTCGACTTGTTAGATAAGAAGAAATCTAAAAAGGTCGATCTCTCTTTCTTTTTCTATTAAAGGGTCTACATTATCCTTGGAAGTTGAAAACTATTCGATCAATTGTATTTTGGAAATAATTATTTTCAGAAATAATTATTTCGCGTTTAATAGTTCAAATATAATTACAAAAAATAACCGATATGAATAATTTGTTGAATTTAATTTCATAATATATTCACATAAAAGTTTAATCAATTATAAATATGATTTCCGAGACAAAATGAAAAATTGAATTTTCTTTTGGTTAAAAAGTTATAGGATCGCAGTTACAGTAAATTTCTCGAAAGGATCGAAGAGAATTTAAAAGCAAGACGATAAAGATGATATCGAACGACCACACCTTGTCAGGATTCAAGGTATACCACGTGACAATTCTGACCATTATTGTGTGACATACGAAACGAAAAAGATGATAGTCGTTGACTCTTATATATTTTCTTTCAGTGATTTTACTTTTGCATATATTTACGTGTACACATATGTATATACCCATGAATATTAATTCAAGGTTCTCTACACACAACAAAAAGGAACGCATAAAGTATACAAATTCTTTCGAGAATATTTCATGATTTTACAAGTTCAAAGGATACTTCCATTACTTTTTTTTCCTTTTCCTTTTTCCTTATCAAAAATGTGCTCGTAAAATTGAAAAATATTTCAAGGTTATCGATTCGATTTTCTTCCATGTATTTTTAAGTAAGTAAGTATATTTCCTCTATAGAAATATAATATATTGTACACGCATATACGCACAAGCACTAATACTTTGGCAAGACGATTCATGCACACCCACATCGATACTCGCACATAAATTTACATATAACTAGATATATCTTATCCAATGTATAGTTGGATGTATCGATACACACGTACGTTTACGTGTAGATGTCGATGACATGCGTGACCCAAGACAGTGTTCGAGACACCCACGGGGATACATAGAAGCAATAACTTAACTCAAGGTATACCTTTATTCTGCAAATCTTAGGCTCGGCACGATAACACCACCACGACGACGACGTGTTTTTGAGAAAGCTGCGATAAGAGACGTGAAACACCAACGTTTCTTATCGACCGACCACAAGGACGTTCACGAGGAATAGAAAACCTTTTAACGGAGAAACTAATGCAAATCAATTGGAATTTTTTTCTTTTTTTTTTCTTTTCCCAAGTGAAAACTTCCTTATGTATTTTGTTGTCTATTCTTATTCTTCCTTTTTAAATCTATCGTCATCCGTGTGTGCGATCAACGTCATTAACGTTATCAAGCTCCAATCATGGTCGTCTCATCGTTATTCTCATTATTATTAATGGTATACAATTTTGTTATTGACATAATTGACCAACGTCACTTTTTCTTTCGATCGAAATAACGATTTATGAGACTGCCGGAAATATAAGGAACGTCTTTTCTTTTCTTTTTTAAATGGAATTTTGTTCAAATTGACAACTCCTTGAATAGATTTAATGCAGGATGAGTGAAATTAAAAAAAAAAGGAATGAAACTTTATCGAGCGGGGCTTCTCTCGTTTAAGTTCAATCGAAATATTGGACAATGAACAAAATCAATGAACAAAATCAATGAAAACATTGTATATTTGATTTTCGAATAGAAGTATTTTCTCATGAAGAAGTTGTAATACGAGAAGAGGAAAGGATTACCATCGAAACGCAAGTAATTGCAGAATCATTGATCTATACCGGAAGATCGCGTTGTATCGTTAATGTCTATTAGGTTTAGCCCACGTGTTTGCATATCAGTAGGCGTCAGTAAAGTCGGCTTCGTCTATATCGGTTCGAGTCATTCAGTAAAACTTCCTCCACAGGGTACGTCTCTTAGCGAAAGTCTTTACAGAGAGAGAAACGTGAATCACGGCGAGTGTCCACGCGAGTCAATTGCAATAGACGATTATGCGAATCGAATTTGAACGAGGAGGTAATTGTCTAATGTTCTATGAACATAACATGTTTCCAATCAATATTTCAACCATCATTTGTTTTCTTTTATAATTGTCTCGCTAATTAATATATTAGCACAGTTCATACAGATATACTCTTTTTTTTTAACGATACTCTAATGATTAATAATATTTCAATAATAAATCTTATTAAATGTATTTCGTCTTACATACGATCTATATATCTTTTATACGCGTATGCACATATACATATGCATATTACTCGCGCGTATATATGCGTAACATTTGCACGGCACAAGAGATGCACGCGTATACGCTAAATAAATTTGACACTTTTCTATAAAAAAAAAAAAACATAAACAAACTATCTCTGTTGCGTAATAATCAGTGTAGGAGTTGTCAATTTGATTGGAATGCTCACAGTGAAAATGTCAGACGACTCGTTAGGCATCGGTAATGTATATTTATTGTGTGTGTGTGTGTGTGTCCGAGATATAATAAAATAATAAAAATAAAAGGAAGAGTGTTTAAACGGGTAGTACCGTTGAGATAACGATCTGCGATAAATATTAAGCGTTCAAATTTCTAGATTCGAACATAGGACAACGATAAGAATTGATAGAGAACGAATGAATAGTGGAGAGAAAAAGGCAAGTCGTCCGTGAATCTTAACGTTTGTTTGTGATTGGGTGTTGAACGTGGTTCGAGGAGGACCAGTGGTCAACAGTGAAAGGAGATTTTCAATAACGGTATAACTCGATACCAGAAGAGGAATCGTTCTAACGCTCGACATTGAACCGATTTCAACTAAGATATTCTAGCTCCGTTAGACAAATCGTCCTTTCTTAGCCTATCTTTCGTAATACGAATGGTAAGTAGTACGTGCTCGTTATTTGCGATCAAGAACAACACAGAAATCAACGTTTATGACCAATTTTATCTTCCTTTTTATTGTACAATCTTCAACTCGTTAGTATATTCTTCACTTATTCACTTTTTCTAATGTTAGGGTAATTTATCTTTTCCATGGAATCTTCATTTCGTTGAGAAATATTACGAATAACGAAGAGTAGAATTGTTAGCTTAGAATTAATCGAATATAAAGTCGGATGGAAAGATGACACGTAGAATTATTAGAAAACGATCGAGGGTAAGGTCGTTCGTATCGTTTTCGTCACGACTTTCTTTTCTCACGAAGTTGTTAACGTCGAGAAATAGGCCGATGTTACCTTTCCAAACGATTCACTCGAACAAAATTCAACCTTTTTTCGATATCTTTGATTGTACTTAATTAACTCTGACAAGACTTGACGTAAACTTTCGTTATATCGAGGAAATCGATCTTATTAGAATCTTTTTTTTTATTTTATTGGAAAATAAAAAACAAACAAAAAATTAGAAATAATCCGTGCACGTGTATCGGTTAACATTTTGCCTATCGCATAATTTAACTTCGTTTGATGCAAAAAGGCACCGTGCGAATTAATTGATTGATTTATTTTCAGATTAATAATTTGACATTATATTTAAATAAATTTTATATTTAGAGTGTATTTTTCAAATAAAAAAAAAACCTACGATACTAAAAGTTTATATTCGAATGATAGGATCTTTACGAGTAGTTGTAGGCAATGTGTTAAGGTAATTGCAAAAGACAGAACGACTGCTGATGTCCAATTATGGAAGAAGTCTAAGGAGGAGGTAATCATTGGTTAAAGGAGTGCTATAGGAGGCATTACGAGGACGAGCAAAAAAAGAAGCAAAAGAAGAGGAACATGCTCTCTTAACATTTAACGATTGTGATCTACTGGAAGAAGCTGCACGTGTTTTTTTTCTCTCCTCTATCCCGATCTTGATCTTTTTGGATCTTGTCATCGATGACGTAGTTAATGAGAGATTTTACGGGAAGATTTAAAGCTCCAACTTTGATGGATATTAATTAGTCACCTTTGATGACAAGAAAAAAATATCGAACGGGGGGTATATATAATATCGCGTAGTTATTGGAAGATACAAACAAGCAAAAAATAAAACTCGCAATTCATTTTATAATTAAAACAAACGTAAGAATATATCGACCGTGTATGGTAGTGAATTACGTAAGTTACGTTACATAAAAGTTCGCTTGGTTTTTCGTTTATTCAAGTACATGGAATAATAATGCATAATAAAAATTTCTCTCTTTTTCCTTTTTTTTTCTAGAACTTCCGATCAGTTCCTTTAGGATAATTTTATTTCTACGTCTGTTGAATTTTTGTTGTTTTTTTTTTCTAAGATCATTGGTAATCAGTAAGGTGTTGCCTCGCAAATTCTAAGGAAGATAGAATCTGCATGACTGGGGTCATGGATATGCAAGCGAGGAAATGTCACGCGGAGAGATGTCAGAGTTGCGAACAGTTCTTATAGATATATAAAGTCGTATCCGAGCGCGTTCGATCACCTTTCGAGCTAATACAACATCTTCTTACAAAGAAAAACGATCGATAGATCTATCGAAAGTCCCGTCATTTAGTCGAACCACCAAAAATGTATCTACTACCGCGAAACTTAGACGTAATTACACGTTTAAATGATATTATTCGTCTTCGTTGTTTTTATTCTCCCTTTACCATCGTTCCAATCATATTATCATTATTTTATATTAGTAGGAACTTTCTTACGGCAATTTATTCAATGACTCGTAATTACTATGAAGCATTATTCAATTGATTTTCTTTCTATTAAACGAAAGGTCACGCGCATCTATTCGCAATCAGAATTGATCATATATTGTAATGTAAAGCAAAAGATAAGAATCTTTTGGTAACAGACGATACGTTTTAAAGTGTAAACCGTTTAAGATGAATCGCGAGCAAATTGTAGGTCGGGAGATCATGATTCGTGCTTTCTTCGGGGAACGTATTCAGTATACTAACCTATGAGTCACGGCATCGTCGTGTTCGGCATTTTAGAAATGTATACAGTATACAATATTAAAATATATTCAATCTTATCGGAAATCGTTCCTTCTTCGATTTATGATAAATCATTCCAATTATTGTTACTGCTTTACATCGATTTTTAAAAGAAAAATAAAATCCGTAAATTATTACTCAACAACGATATAAATCTTTCCCACGTACAAATCTAATAAATAAAATTTATTTGGAATGAAAGAAATTCGAATTATCTTACTAACTAAGCAGGTAATTTGATAAAAAATTTAGAAAAAATATGATTAGTAGGAAAGCTCGTTTGCCGTGCTTGGAATGGCTTTTGTTTCTGCTGCGAAATAAGAGAAAGGTTGAAGAATGTAAAAGGCATGACGAGGATACCGATACTCGCATAGCGCATGATTCATAATCGTTTTTGATGCAAACAAAAAAAAAAACAAAAAGAAATGCAACTATAATGTGCAACTCACCGGAATTTGTACAAAAGTTCCATTGTTTATTTGAGGATAAGAATAAAGCGGTACGACAGGAACCGAACCGTTTTTTAAGAAAATCGGGCCTTGAATCGGTGTTACGTGTGCGTCCCTTGGTACACCTTGATCCTCCTCGTCGTAATAATCCTCGAAATCGTCATCGTAATCCAGAACAGCGTGAACTGACGTTTTTGTCCCTGGACCACCTCCGAATCCTTCGGCATTTACTCTCGTATATCTACAAAAAACAATCAGAATCGAATAAAACTTTCGATACATATAAATATAATACAAAATGAATTTATGACAAAATTGTCTTATATAACATTTTCTTTTATTCTCGTACAAAAATGTCTAATTAATTTAATGTCCATTTGGATACTTTAGCGAGAAAAAAAGAAAAAAAAAAAGAAAAAAAAAAAGAAAAAAAAAAAGAAAAAAGAACAGAAGAAGAAAAATAAGGAAAAGATTTTGTTCGATTGAGAAATAAGGAAGATTCCTTGGAAGTCTTTAGTAACTAATTACTTCGTATTTCAAGATCGATTTATCTCGATAATGCTCGAACAAGATAATGAATCGATTCGAAACGATTATAAGCAATGACATAATTACGTGTTCGCAACAACGAGCAGGTTGATTGTATGATATGTACGCGTGTGTATTTGTATGTAAGTACGATACTTCAAAATTCCGAAAGAAATTCGTCGAGATATTCGAAGCACGTTCGAAGGAACGCTCCAGAGGATATCGTTACGTAAATATTAACGTTCGTGCTCAATTAAGATTAAATAAAGCGATACGCTTTCGCTCGGACGCAAACGGAAATGAATTTTTATGAAAAACGACCTTGTTTTCACGTCAGTCAAGAAAAAAAATTCATCATAGATGATAATTAGGAAACAACTAATAAACGTAGATTTCGTTCAAATAAAATGACTTACCCGTTAGGTCTGTCTGGATAACCTTCTTGTTCGGAGATCCTGCTGGACTGTAAGGATTCTCTTTCGTGTTCATCGTTTTGTCCTATTCTTTCTTGTTGACGTTGAGTAGAAGGAGCTGGTGGTGGTGGTCTCATTTGTTGCTGTTGTTGCATTCTAGGTTGAGTCCTTCGAAAATCTTCATCATAATTCGTATAACGCGTATCCTGAGTCGATGAAAAAGAAGATTGTTCGGCGTAAATTTCTGGTCTTCTTTGTTGGTTCGTCTGACGTTGTCTCTGTTGTTGCTGTTGCTGTTGCTGCTGTTGCTGTCGTTCCTGTTGATACCTCGACGGTGGTATGTAAGGTTCGTTTCGAAAGGGTTCGCGATTATCGTAATTAACAGGTGGTGCCGGCGGAAGCACGGCATTCAATCGAAGATTATTAACCGTCGAGTGCCCGGTATAAAGAAACGACGACGGCGTAGCCGTGTGATAAGGTAAACTAAAATTCGTCAAGGACATTTCGTGTTTTTTTTTCTTTTTCTTTTTCTTTTTCTTGTTCTTTTTAATCGTCTAGACGAGAAAAGAAATGAAAAAATTCGTCAAAGTTTTTCGAATACTCGAAGACGCGTTTGTTCCAGATCTTGAAGTTCCAACGTTAAGTCGATAATTACTATAGTCTGGAGAAAAATCATGATTGTCGAAACGCGATAGATCGTAGACTCGAAATGAGCTAATTGTCGACTCGACCGGCTCGAAACAATCGGCTGATCTGTCTCGTTCGATCTCCGCATCGCAACATCCTCGATGAGATTCGCGATTCTCTTTATATTTTGATTAGTATTGTCTTCTTATTTTCCTCCTTCCCCTCTTTATTCCTTTTCTTTTTCTTTTTCTTCCTGTTCTCCTTCCTTTCCTTTTTCGGATTTGTCTTCCAACGTCTAGAATCTCGTTTGATGTTTAATTTAATAGAGACGTCAACCTGCAATTACCCAGTGCTATGAATAATTTGCGGATACATCGACCGCAAATAATCGGAGATTAATTATCTACCACATAATTTGTCTCTTTCTCTTTATCTTTCTCTTTTTATTAAGATGACGTCTCTCGAGAAAACTTGGAAAAAGAGATGCAGTAAAAAAAATAATGCATGATTCATCATCTTTCCCGGCATCCGGTTTACTCGATAACGGATATACTTATCTTTTTTTTTTGCTCGTCATAACGTTTCATTTAATGAATGAATTAAACGTCATCGTCATGATCAGGATCATCGATCGACGTAATAGTTCGTAGAACAAAAAACTAATCTAAAAATCAATCGCGAGTTTATTTTTAAATCGATTGTTTTCTTAGTTCGCGCAATCGTTTCGTCCGGAAAATTCTAATCTGCGGGGAAAATTTGCGCCATATGTCAGACGTAATACCATAATTATGTTTATCGCGTAAAATGGATCTAACCGGTATTCCCGTTTCTACTTTCTTTCGACAAGATTTGCGTAGGTGTAAACATTCGACACGATTTTCTCTTCTGGCATCTTCTATTTTTTACTGGCATAAATCATCCTTCAAATAATACTAGTCATCTTTAATGTTAACTTCATAATTTTGTTAATGTTTAATCGTACAAATAAAAAGAAATTAGTTTAATTCGCAAGATTGTTACAAAAGAAAAAGAATGCGATAGATCATATAGATTAATAATAATAATAATAATTCGAATTCGAATGCATGCACCCGCAATGAATCGTATTTCTTAGAAAGGAATATTAATAATAATGGCATTCATTGTCGTACGTACATATAAGCGACACTATAAAATATCGTTTAGTGTTGTTACTAAGGACAGTGAGATAGTACACACTCGTTACGATCTATAGGTGGTATACTAACGAATATTTTTTTTTCATTCCCATTATATCTCTCGAACTCGATCTACCGATCGAAACGATTTAATAAAAGACGACGACGACGACGACGACGACGACGACGACGACGACGACGAGGATTTAGGAACGCGTGTAAACGTGATACAAAACCTATGTACCCTATTATAATATTACCCTATACATATATCCAGTCAGCTGTTAGTGTTAGTTTGCAAAAAGAGCCTCTTGAATTGACGATTTATCATAGGTGAACCGTACAGGTCAGCCAATGTGGGCGGTCTATGATCATTTTATCCGACAATGAACGATCTACAGATAAGATCTATACGCGATTAGAAACTAAACGTTAAATCACTAACGTTCGCGTTTAGAACAAACTTTGTCTTCATTATGATATTTTCTATTACCTTCGCCTACCATTCGAATAACGACACAAGGATACGTGAAATTATTAAAAACAAATCATTTTAATAATGATAATAATTGGAGAATCGTTTGACGATAATACATACTCATTGATAATTAATTTTGTAATTGTTATTAACTCGTGAATCATACCAACTTTAGCCTTCGAGGGAATAAACGTGTGTTTTAATAACTGTTAGTATCGGCCATGTAAAAGAGTTCATAAGTCTTTTTCATTCAACGTTCTCTTTACTTTTACGATATTACTTGAAAGACAGGTGTGAGAAATATTGCAAAAAAAGAAAATTACCCGAAAAGAAAGAGAGAGAGAGAGAGAGAGAGAGAGATAGGACGACTTTTATCGTGAAAAGTCATGCGAAAATCATACTGTTTTTTATGACACATTCATATAAGTACACAACAACAAAAACGGGAGATTAATTATTACGTTGGATAAGTTTACTCTGTAATGTGGCAAAAAAAAGAGAAAGAGAGAGAGAGAGAGAGAGAGAGAAAATGAGGCGTGGACAAGAATGATTACCCACAGTGGGCCCTCCGTCTTACGATTTTAAGTATCGTCGGAGGGCCCGGCCGCCGGTCCACGTCGTCGTAGCTCACTTTCCCTCTTCGATTGCTTTCTTCCAAGTTTTATCATGCAAAGCTTGTTTTCGACTCCGACACATACACATCTTGCATCACCCAACGGAAGCGAAATCTTTCTCCTCCTTTCTCCAAATTTTAATAGATCATTCGATACTTATTTTTATACATATTTTTTCTTTTCCCCTACAAATTTCATCGGCATTTCAATAAACGATCGACCCAATTATACGGCAGTTAATGATCTATTCAAATTTGAATAAAATAAGATACCAATAAAAACCCACCACATTATTCTCGTTATTAATTAAATATAAATATTATATATATATATATATATATATAAAAAACGTGTGTTAATCTTTTGGATAAATTGCATTAAAAAATACGTACACATACCTTTTGTCGTCCTTTGAATTCCTGTCGAATGAGAAAGGAAAAAAGAAAAAAAAAACTCGAACAGGAAGAAGAGGAACGTGGACGAAATATATGTTGGGGTCCTGTTCGAACCAAAGACTCACGAATTCAAACGAAAAATCTCTCCGAAGCTTTCACTCTCAATGAAAGTTTCCTTTCTCTCTTATCTTCTTTACCGACGGAGGAAGAACAAAAATTAGTAAATAAATAAAAAAAGTAAAAGAGAAAACAAAAAGAATTAGTTAAAAATTACGAATAAAATAATATTATATAAAAAATAAAGGAAAGAAAGAAAGAAAGTAATGGATGGGAAAAATGATAGATAGTTGGTCGAAAAACGTGTCGGAGCACGTGCGACGATTTACGCCGGCGCGTATATGATCGAAGGTGTGCACGCGCGCGCACACATACACCGACACCGACGAGAGCCACGCACCTCGAAACGCCTCGTTGGTCGAGCGACAACTGAAAGAGAGAATCGTTTTAACTTCGAGTATAGAACCACCACACGGCAGTATGGAATAAGGAGAGGTGACCCTCGATCATGAAGAGCAACGCACACACACACACACACACGCAGAGACAGCCAGATAAACGTACACAGCTTCTCTCTTTTACTTTCTGTTCTTCTCCTCTTCCACCACCTTCCTCTCTTTTTTATCTTCTTCTTCTGCTTCTTCTTCTTCTTCTTCCTCTCGACACCTCTCCCTTTTCTCTCTTTCCTGGAATCTCGTTTGACACCGACGCGTGTTCATCTTCTTCGTCTTCTCCTTCCTTTTATTATTTTTTCATTTATTCATTTATTAAGATTGGTAATTATATATACAATTTTTGTATGTACATTTTTTATCAAATTATTTCGAATGTGAAGGCTTTATTATATGATAAAACCCCAATAAACAATATTCTACCTTAAATGAAAATAATGACGAATAATTTAGATCGATGAAGGATGCTGCATTAGAAAGATCTATCGCCTTAATTAGAAATAAGTGAGATCTTTTTTGCAAAATGAATATACTTATGGATCGTTACCTTTCCTAAAGTTTGTCCTTTCTTTATTCTTTTGGCTTCTATCTTTTCAACGACGACGACGACGACGACGACAACGGCAGAACGGTGGGCCACATCGCGCTTTACCACCTTTCATTTCTGTGCACGTGAACTGACGTAACCGTATAACTGTATCGGAATCTCCAACCTACGTTCACCTTTTCTTCTTATTCTTCTTCTTCTTCTTCTTCGTCTTCTTCTTTTTCTTACTAGACGAGCTCTAATATCGTACTTTTCTACGAGAATATCGTAATCGTTTCGTAATATTGCATACGGGATGGTATATTTCAAGTACCCATAATATCTAATCGAAATTCAACATCAATGAATAACACTTTTGCAATCGACGTTTAAAACCGATCTAATTTCATATATATAAAAAAAACTTTGAATAAATAATTTAATAAGTTGTTAATTGAACAAATATTCACAATTTTAAATAACAAGCATTAGAGAATGGTTATTTTTATGTGAAAGAAATATTCACGAGTTAATAGACGCATAAGGAAACCTTTGAACTCGGTAATCCTTTTAATTTTCTCCAACGACTAATGAATATTAATAAAGATTATTATTATCGTTTGCAGAGGTATCAACGATACTAACACGCGTCTTTCTGCACGCAATTATTCGTTTCCCTCGTAATTCTCAAGCCCGACGTATTGATTCTTTATTGGCCTTCGTGGGTGTCTTTTGCAAATAGAAAACAGAAATCTGCCGTCGTTGATGCACGTCAACGATCTTTCCATTTTTCTCTCTCTCTCTCTCTCTCTCTCTCTCTCTTTCTTGGTTCACCATTATTACGTAATAATAGTCTTGACACGTTTATAAGCCATTGAAATATCGACTTTCTTTTTGAGCTTTCAATATTCCCCGAGTTGTCCCCTAATTTTTCTCTCGATTACCGATTCTCCACATTATTTTTTCCTCCATAATAATCACGAAGAAAAAGAAAAAAATGAAAAAATATATCGATTATAATCTGCAATTTAATTCACGTAAAGGCAGAATTACGAACCGATAATTTTCATAATTACAAACTGTTTCCATAATTTCTCTTTTTTCTTCTTCTTGTTTTTTTTTCTTCTTCTTCTTTGTTTTCTTCTTTTTGTGGAAGCTTCAAAAGGGCTGCGCCTGCTCCCGTTTATAATTTTATCATCGGAGTCATCGGGTTTCGTCACGAAAACGTCAGGTCGCCGTTTTGTCGAGTTAACTGTCCGTAACACGATCGATATCTCGAAACTATAACAAAGTTTTCCTATCGAAAAGGGCTTCCTACGAAATTTCTGCTCCACCCACTCGTTTACAAGGTGACTCGCTTTCCGTTCTTTTATTATCCACGTTGGCTTACATAGGGAAAAAAGAAAAAGTCTCTCGACGTAAGATTTATCAGTTCGATCTGAAAGTTTAGCGTCTATCGAATATCGATCGTCGTACGAATCAAGTCAAAGATCTCGACTACCGATTTACCGATCTCGATATCATTCGATTCGTGTATTTGCGCGAACGTATAGAGAACCATGAGAAGAAATTTGCTTCTTTTTTTTCAATAAAATGCACTAAACATTTCGGCTGTAACTCGAGCAACCGAAAGAGATTGAATTTTCTCAGCTCGCGAGTCCAGCTGATCTTCGAATATTTTTCTCTCCATTTCTTTTTATTTCTCTATTAATACGTTACAAATAATCAGAGAGAAGAAAATGAAAAAACATTAATCGTAAATTCGAGTAGCATGACGCACAATGTTCCGTTTCTCAACAATCTTTGTTTTTTTATTTCCTTTTTCTTGTTCTCTTACAAGAATTTAGAGAAGACGGCGTGCGACCTTTTAATCTGCAAGACCACCCTGGCAGACCGTTCACACGTCGTCGCGTATAAAGCAATCAAAAACGTTTCTATGTAATTAGAAATTATCTTCGTTAGTAATCGCAATAGTTCAATGTTCTTTCTTCTTCTACGAAATAGAAAGAACGTGCATTTCGTACAATGCCTTACCCTAACTGATCCTAAAATTGATCATTTCTTTACATCTGTAATAAGAATAGATTTAAAGAAAAATTATACAATGCAACGAAATAATGCGTGCATGAAATATTGTATAAGTAACAAATATATTATTTTTATTATATATATATATAAATTTGTACATCTGTGAATAGAAATATATTTCACATACAGAAAGTGATCTTTATTCTATGTAATAATTAATTGATTATTTCTAAGAAAAAAAGGATAGATAGATCGTTGTTTAGATCGAAAATAATCGAAGAGAAATATATTGAAAATAAATGTGAAAGAATAAATGTAGATATCCGTGTTGTTGCCATTGCAAAGCGTTTGCGTATAATGATCGATCTCGTTTAGAAGCTTCCTTCTTCCAAGGGTAAGGAAAAGTAATAAGGGAGAGGGGGGTTGTTGTTTTGCGCGTGCTTCGATCTATCAGGCTATTTTCTAGGCAGCATGCCGACTTCATTGTTAAAAGATCGCTTGCACAAGAAACGATCCATAGTATGGTACTATCACGGGTTCGTGCACACGAGGCATCTGGTCCCCTTTCGAAACCTTTTATTCAAACCTATTTCAATACGTTTCTACGACCAAATCTATTCGCGTTAGATTTTTCTTCTAATATTATCTCGAAATACCGTGTAACTTTATTTCGTATTTCTTCGTTTCTATTAGACTAGGGATACGAGTACTATTTACTAATTTAATCGAATCAAATAATTTACCGATTGAAAAATTATTAGAATTGTTTGAATTTTTTTCCTCGCAATATTTCATTTCGAGAATCTACATTCAGGTTTACATTCGAGGAATATGATTAGTATCTCTAAACATCGAACAACAAGAAACATTAGAAACAAACACGTATAATGCTATATAAATCTTAATTGATAGAACAGTTAGCACGTTAAATCTAACAAAGTGTGAAAATTACTTAGATTTTCTCTGGAGATAAAGAAAATCCATATAAGTAGTATAATGATCTATAACGATCTATCGATAGATCATCGTTTAAATAGCCGACAAAAGGTAACAACTATTTCGATTGCGGTTAGATGAGAATAATAGGAAAAGTAAAACGCGTATAGAAAAGATAATAATTTCGTGTTCGATCTATATCGAAGATCCTGCTGTTTTTCCATAGCTTCGTCCTATCTATTTGCGCCAATTAACAACGATATATGTATCTCGACAAAGAATAATAATAAATGCAGCCGGAACCTGGGTTCTCGTTAAAAAAGGGGAAGAAAAAATCAAAAGGAAAGAGAGAGAGAGAGAGAGAGAGAGAGAAAAAAAAGAAATATTAGCTGCACGTGGTACACAGAGCGGAGCGACCAATCGGAAAACGTATTTCGTAATTCCTTTGGCGCAAGTTCTGTCCTAGGCGTTGCACCGCATGCACGACAATTCTCCCTGATTCACGCGTGCTTATGCACGCGTAACGACACATATAAATTACACTTGGATGTATTTTATACACGTCCTCGTATCGTATTATCTCATCTTCAAACGGAATCTTACGATTAGTATATTATAATCATTAAATGAAATTGTCAGTGAAAAATATCATTGATAGGGAAGGATAGATTTGTTTTCGACAAAGGAAAGACAAAAAAAAGGGACAAAATTCAAGCACTTGCATCGGATACCATTAGAAGAAGAGAGAATCATATTTCATCGATGATTTTTCTTGATCTTTTCGAATCGTAGGATGGAATTTGAAGGTGACGAGACACAGGACCAACGCCCACGCGTTCCGAATAACATTCCCGATATCGATCATAGCTCGTAAAGTGCCAACGACACTGACGCAACAGCTCCGCCTATTTTTTTTGTTTCTTTTTTCTTCTTTTTTTTTTACCACGAACAAGATAATAATCGTCCGGTGGATCTATCTTTCGCGTGCGAATAATGATTTACATTAAAATGACTACGTACGCGTGAAACTATTTGTTCGGTAATTGAATTACTTTAGAGAGAAATAAAAAAAACAAAATATGTACTTTTCTAATATGCATTTTATTTATTTAGAAAATCTAATAAAACAACGTTGCACTCGATTTATTACGTTTTGACAAGCGTGACGAAAAAAAAAAAAACAATCTCTCGCTAGGAAACACAGTTTACGGATCGGAACGGTGTCCTTCGCTTTCTTAATTGGATCTTACGCGATAACACGTACGAAGGTCCTGCCAAAATATAAATAGAAACGAACGAGATCACTTCCTTTTCTATTATATTGTCTTTTTTTTTTTCTTTTTTCTTTTTCTAATCCTCTCATAAAATACTCTCTTGTAATAATTCTCTTCTTTATTTTTCTCTCTCGTGATTCTTTTTTATTTTTTTGCTCTAACTAAAATGTTCTTATTCTTTTGTCAAACGTTTGACAAGTTAGCTTAGACAAGGACCACGCCCGCTTTCTAATAAATTACGTCCAACCCTTTGACGATCACGCGTTACTGTATGTGTGTGTGTGTGTGGACCAATAAGCGAATAGGATTTTTTACTACACGCGAATTCGCATATATTTCACATCGATGAGTCATTAATTTATCGTCGATGAGTCTGGTTAATTTCATTATTTGATCGATTATTTCTATATATTATTTTATTAAACTAATTATTATATATCAAAAGTCGTGTACACAATTCTTTTTTTTTTTTTTATCAACTACATATGATTTATATACATATGAATAAATAATATTATATGCTTGTTAACCATCACTTTTATCGTAGTTAAAAATTATAGAAAAATTTATTATCGTGTTTTATAAATTAGCCTATAATTTTAAATATTAATATCGCTTAAAGAAATCTCCATAAAAAAAACTTTATCAATAATATATGTTTCTCATTTATTACGATCATGAAATTACAAAAATACATAATTATAAATGTACATTTAATTAAACGTAATCTAGAACGTTAGCATAAATTCGAGCAAATTTATAAGCACTGTTAAGAAAATGATTATGTGAAGATTGGTTTGATTAAAGGAAAGCGAATTAGAGTGCGTGACGGCGTATATAGGAAGAAAAAAAAATAGAGAGAAAAAGAGAGAGAGAGAAGAAAAGGGCACGAGTGTGCTAGTAGGTGACATTTCGTAGCAGAAACCGAGGTTTGCTATGACGATAAGAACAAACGCGCTCTCTTCATACAACTTGGCATTTCACTTTAGTTACCCTACTGTATTATCGAATTACCTTGAAATTATAACTCTATTGTGTACTTAAAAAAAACAATCAAAAATCCGAAATAATTGTTATTAATAATTGTTATCTACAATTCGTTGTAGATGTAAAAAAAAAAAATTAATTCAATCTCGTATAATAATTTGATATAAAAAATATTATAACAAAGTTATGTAAACGTATTTCCGTAAGAAGAAAATAATCTCGTTGATAAAGTTGGGAGAGAGGGGAGGTAAAATAATAAATCAAGATAAAATATTCTAAAGAGAGAGAGAGAGAGAGAGAGAGAGAGAGAGAGATAGAGAAAGATAGTCGTGGAAATAAGGAAAGAAAATAATAGCGGGACTTTAGGACCAAAGTGATAGCGGTTGGCCTTCGATCGCGGGGGAGTGTACAACGTTTTATATGTATCGCACATTAAATATACATATATCGGTGGCATTTACTCTTGCAAAAGCGTTCCGGGATTGACGTACATTAATTATAGCGGCTCGTTTCACGCTACCTGCCTGTTTGCTTGCTGGCTTGCTAACTTGCTAGCTGGCTGGCTGGCTTGCTTGCTTGCTGGTTCGCCTAACATTGATTACTTGCTAAAGTATATTCGCACGTTCAGCAACGCGTTCTTCGCGTTATTTCTTCGCCTTGATTCTATGAACCTCGTCTTTTACGAATGTTGCATTAGTATTACTTATTATGCACCAACCTGCATCCAATTCTTACGAAATACATAAAGGATGGAAGAATCAAACACTCGATCTTCTATTTCGATATCGATACCATCACATTGGTTTGCCTCATTGTCTTCCGAACAAAGATATATATCTATCTTAAATGATTTTATATAAGATGAATCATCATTTATATTACGATCTATAGTTTCTATCATATTTTTTGTCTACGATTAAAATATTTACATTGAGATCATTTTTATTCCGAATATTCAACGAAATTAATTTGATAGATGAAATCGACGAAATTAACAAGATAGGAATTATTTGTTAATATTGTTATTATTTATATTTCCAATTGAAATATGAATCATAAAAATAATGTATTCTCTGATAGAATGAACAAATTTGATTATTTCGTAATTCGGAATGATCGTCTGACTTTTCCATCCGTGACTTTTTTAAATTAAATTTAAACAGTTTAGTATATGTATACCTTGAGCGCATCAACCTCATTATGCAAATGCTCAGGAGAGAACAAGGTTTTGAATATAGTTATAGTTCTAAATCGATGCTCGATAAATCACTGGCTTGAGGCGAGATGATCTTATTTATTGCGCTTCGCATAATCGATGTCTTTTTTTTTCTTTGTTAGGCTTAAAAGATAAATGACTTTTTGAAAATGAATAACAGTCTTTTAACGTTGCTCCTCCGTTAATGTTTAAGTCCTATTATTATTAGTATTACATCATTTTTAATAGATCTTTTAAATTTGCAATTACTTTTTGTGCATCCAAAAAATTTATTTCAAAAAAATTATCATCTCTTTCCATTAATACATTCATTGTGAATGTTTATAAAAAAAATGAGTTATGATACATAGAAAACTAATAAAAATAATAAATGAACATAGGAAAAAGTGCAATATATAATTTATAATATAATTTTCATCTCATAAACGTTAAATATATAATAATGATTATTATTATAAGTAAAACACATAAATTTAACTGCGGTTTATCTTGGAAACTGTTTACCGCTCTTTACCCGTTTCTATCAAATATATTACCAGTCGGTAATACCAAAGAATACAGAAGTACATAGAATCTCACAAGTTTCCTTTTTTATCTAACCAGATTCATCGTAGTTACTACTAACACCATCAGTGGGCAATAGTAGGTATAATACTATCAAAGAATACTGTATTCATTTTTATGTAATTATTTTAACGTTCCTGTGCAATGATGACTTTGAGGGTAAAATTTTCATCTAATGAAACATAATATTGAAATTAATTAATATTCAAAGTACGATAAAAGATATATAATATTTAAAACAATGTATATATGTATAAATAATTATAAGTATTAGTAGAAAACAAGACTGTATTCTCTATACCTTAATTAATTGTTAATTAATCGATAGAAATGTGTCTATTGTTATCTAAAAGCTCGGAAAATATGATCTATGTACCGTCCTCTTTGAAATACACCTTCAGACTGGCACGTTGTTTTCTATGAAATTACTTTTATTAAATGTTGTTTATATGACTTTTCGAAAAAGGAAATCCTATTTATTACAAATAGTATTCCCTTTATACACATGCGCAACTTTCGGAAAGTCATATAAACAACATTTAACAAAAAAACTTTAACAGATGACAATGACCCAGCTCAACGGTGAATTTCGAGGGAGACGGTGCTCCGAACATATACTCAGTGCTTTTAATCAACAATACTCATTTTTTTCGATTAATTAACAATTATTTTAATACTATAATGTACTCTACTTATATTACAGGAAAATTTTACCAAGTCATCACTGCGCTGGTTGCGCTGGTTAAAATAATTACATAAATATGAATATCGATTAATCGTTTAATTTGAAATAGCTTGTTAGCGAATTGAGAAAGCAACTTTTATCTCACCTCGTATTTCGATGTATTTACGTAATATATGTATGTATAACAGTCGAAATAACATCTCATTTTTCTATATAAGTAAAATTCCGTCTATTTACTTATAGCTTATACGATATAATATATATATATATATATATATATATATATATGAGCCGTTTATTTTGAAAGTGGTATAAGCCACTTTTTTTTTTTTTTTTTATTGAAAATGAAAAGATACCGTTCAGTTGTAATTAGTATTGCCATTAACTCGGTTTTTTGAAAAAGTGACTTATGCCACTTTCAAAATAAACGGCTCATATATGTATATGGAAGCATATTTATAGCGATCTAATGCCTTCATCTTTGTACAAAAATACAAACGTTTCATTTCGAAAATCCTCTACTCAATTTTCTTCCTTGTGGGTTTCGGTTTTAATTATAAAGAGGAGAGTTCAAATAGTTCGCGAAATAGAAACTTCTCGACCTGTAACGTTAAATGCGCTTACGGTTAGTTAGCGACCCAACACGAAGAATCAACTTAAAGTTAGTTACATGCTATATGCACGCTTAGAAGCATCGAGAAAGATCGATTTTGTCGAGTACGACCAAAATAGAACGGTCGCAATTGATAGCGACGCATACCGTACCAAAAGTACATACGAATCCTTTACCATTTTCTTACTCCTATGCTAAACTTATCCACATTCGGTATAAATCTACAATAAATTACATTTTTATTCTTTAATTATCTCATTCGTAAACGGATATTTAATACAAAGAAAACAACGTAGCCTTTGAAATGAATAACGATATATTGAAATTTGAAATGATGATACCAGATATAAACAAGACAAGAAACATGATACCATTTTGATTTAAATTCTTATTTATTATGATAATTTTCAATTTGAAGTCTTGCAACTTATCGACGAGCAGCGTCTTATGATTGCTGCTGCAATATGGAAGAAAAAGAAAAAGAGAAATGTTAAAGAAAAAAATAATACAAAGTGCGTCTTTGAAGAATATTCGATTGGAAGATTCTCGTTAGCTCATTTCCTTCACCCCCCTCGAGAGAAGAAATCCGACGTGTTGAATACATAGAATACGTTGCCGTTTGGACGGCCGGCGGCTCACCGTATAAATGAAGTGGAAATAACAGCGCAGCCAGGCAGTTACTAACAGTCGCTCGAAAGTAATAAAGAAAGTGTGACAACAGAAAGAAATTCATTTGAAAGTTAATCGATCCATTGAAATTTGATAAATTAATCAAGAAGGCAGAATGTCTCTGATACCATTAATTTTTTCCAATTGGTGGGAAGATTTGGAACGTCCTCATCGTCTTTTCGATCAAAATTTCGGACTCGGACTTCATCCCAATGAACTGCTGGATCCAATGGTTCAGGAAGAATTTTTGCGGATGCCAAACCTAGAGAGAAGAATGATGAAACCTTTATTGTACTATAGACCGTGGGCCGAATTATTGCGTAGAGGAAAAAACGTCGACGATGGTACGTCAACGGTTAAGGCCGATAAAGATAAGTTCCAAGTGGTTTTGGATGTAAAACAGTTCAAACCAGATGAAATAAACGTCAAGATCACCGACAAATATGTCATCGTTGAAGCCAAACATGAAGAGCAAAAGGACGAACACGGTTGGATTTCGAGACAGTTTACTAGAAAATATATGATTCCTGAACAATGCGATATTGATCAGGTATCATCTAGTTTATCGTCGGACGGTGTTCTCAGTATTATCGCACCTAGAAAGGCCCAAATAATTAAAGAAAAGAATGAGCGTACGATAAAGATTGAACAAACTGGTAAGCCGGCTATTCTAGAGAAACAAGTAGAAAAGAAAGAAGAGAAGGAGGTATCCAAGAAGGAGGAATCCAAGAAGGAAGAACCAAAGAAAGAAGAACTCAAGAAGGAAGAATCCAAGAAGGAAGAGCCCAAGAAAGTGGAAGTAAAAAAAATGGATGCAAAAAAAGAAGAATGTAAGAAGGAAGAATGTAAGAAAGAAGATTGTAAGAAAGAAGATAGTAAGAAAGAAGAAAGTAAGAAAGAAGAATGTAAGAGAGAAGAATGTAAGAGAGAAGAATCTAAGAAAGAAAAGAAATGAAAATTTCAATTTTTCTTATTAGGAATTACATGTCGTTATATGTCGTTTTTCATTTATCGCTACTTTCAATATATTACATTTTTTCATAATCTTTCTACTTGTAAATAAAGTTAATATCGAATAAACGTACCTTATTAACTCAATTGCTGAATTATTTGTCTTCAATTTTGTTTACAGAACAACAGACAAAATATTTTCTCTTAATAAATATGAAAATCACAAATATTCAAATACTTCTTTGAAAAGAATAACTTTTAAAAGTGTATCCATTATCGAGCCCTAAAATTCCCCATGAAAACACACCGATAGATTTTAATTATATTTTCGAACAAATAAAACTTTTACTATGAGTCAAATTTATTTAAAGAGAATAAACACTTTTCGCGATTATTATTTCGTAGTAATATAAATTTGAAAATAATTCTTGGATTGTTCGTTACTATATGGGAACAAAAATATAGAGTATTTCTTGTCATTATTCAGCGCCATCTTGTCACTATTGACACTAGTACCATCTAGACAAGTTTATTTCCGTGGAACTAACTGAATGGCTTCAAAAAACAGGAGGAGTTTCCAGCCCCTGGTGAGAAACAAGGAAGGAGTTTTGTGTAACGCTGCCAAGATGGATTGGGATCCGATAACGATGGCGAACCTTCATCTGACAGCTACCGAACATCGTTATTACGGCGATATTTTTATATATTGCTGCGAAAACGCTGACAGCGACAGCGTATCGGTTGTTAAAGTAGCCGAGCTTTTACGCTCTGCAAATTTGCCGCGAGACGTCACGATGAAGGTAAGCCTTTTATTCTATTTACGTTTCAAATTTTATATTTCCTTATCTCGCGACGATCGTTTCAATAATTCTTTAGCTTTTTAAATATTTTCATATTTTGTATTATAAGTATGGAAGGTTAGGTTTATCCGTACTTGATACTGCATAATTATATATTTATGATTAATAAATTATGAATTTTAATTCAATGTATATCTGCATATATTAATTGCTTTCTCATCTGATTTATTATTTTCTTCTTCATTCTATTCAGATACTAGACATCTGCATTGGAATCAAAGGTACAACTCATATAGGTAAAAAACAGTTCTATGCTGTCCTTAAACTGGTGGCAGCTCATCAAGCCGGGCTGGATGTTTGTAGAGATATGGTAACGGCTGCTCTAGATATTATATCTCTGCCAAGATTTACATGGCCAACTTCTGGAGACGAGGAGGGTAGGAGGAGTACGGATTCGACGAGAGGTATCAAAAGTAGATGTCATGTACCTGAAAGCACAACAGAAAGTGAGAGCGAAGCAGAATCTCCACGAGAAACCGGTGGAAGTACGGATTCTCCAACGCCAACCAATAGTGTAACTCAAGAAAGAAATGATGGAATATTGGGAGGAGATACAATATTGGATGCCGTTTCTGGGGGGTGGGAGGGTCTTCTTATGTCCGAAGAGCAGAGACAATTGTTAGGTACGGAAGAGGAAAGTTCTGAACGTCACAGCAGCGATGAAGGCGAAGGAGAAGGAGATTGTTCTGGCTTTCCTCCCGAAGAGGTGTGGATTATAAGCGACGAACAACGCGATTATTATGCTGCTCAATTCGCGCAATTGCAGTCTGATCCAGAAGGACTTCTGGCTGGACCAGTAGCTCGAACATTCTTTGAAAAATCTAGACTTCCCGTAGCTGAACTGAGACGTATTTGGCAGCTAGCGGATGTAACCAGAGATGGGGCGCTAAGTTTGCAAGAATTTTATGTAGCTATGCATTTGGTAGTCCTCAGAAGAAATCATGTACCTCTTCCCGATGTTTTACCTCCGTCCTTATCAATTCCATTAGTAATGCAAACTACAAACGCCCCACCACCAGTTTCATCGACGACCAAGTGCCAAAGCAGTCCACCTAATTCAGTAAATATGAGAGATAAGAATAAGGAATGGACCAAGTTCGTAGATTCGCCGACTGGTACAACTACCTCTCTCACGAGTCCTGGACTACAATTGGTTAATTTTGATTTTCAAAAATCTGCCGTCGAACGAGATCCTAAGATTTTACATCCAGTAGCTCTTCGTTTAACACCTGAAGCAGCTATTCTGGCTTCTGGGGCCAATGGTAGCAATAGCAGTTGTACCACATTAGGTGAAGACGATTTGCAACCTTCTCCCGCATCTTTGGTGCAGCGACCGCTTGTTAAAAAACCACCACAATCTGCCGAAGATGCTGTTATAGTAACTCCAAAGAAGGAACCACCACCGCCACCACCTCCTAGGCCTTATAGAACACACGCACGAAGTTCTAGTCTTGATCTTAACAAACTAGGTACATGTTGCTACCAGTATACTGCGATACTTTTCATTCGCAGCTGAGAAAGCAAATCTATCACTGCTCAAAATGTGTGCACGTTCTTGTAGGGAAAAATGGTCAAAGTTTCCTCGGAGCACCTCCGCTCGTACCGCCAAGAATTTCACCAGGAATCGTAAGTTCCTCTATCTGTTAACTTATACGTCTTCATTTGATTTAATTAATCTAAAATTTATAATAGTTTTCTTTTTATTATTTTGATGTAAATTAATCTATCTTTTCTTTTTGATATATATAAACATCTTTAAGTTCTACAATTTTTTTTGTACATTTATCACCATTACTTTAATGCGGATGTCCTGGTAAGCAATTAAGGAAGTTAATTATTTGAGAAAATTTATCGTTCGTATTTGCTACAGACTTCACCTCGAAAACTGGTTGGCCAAAAAAGCGAAGGGGAGGCTCAGAAGACCCTGAGCGAAAGTCAAGGTTTTGTTGCTGATTTTTCTCATTTTTCTCCAAAGAATGAATTACCTGAAAATCCTTCCATGGAGAACAGTATTTCCCAGTCTCAACAATTTACAGGAGTTTGTGGTGCATTTCAAATTTATAGGAAACCCAGTCCGAGTAAGTCGAAATAAATCAATAAATGAATAATATTTGTATTAGAATCAGAGAGAGAACATATTGAATTATATTATTATCAATTACATTAGAACGAGAGCTCGAGGAAGAAGATTCGTCTAAAGATGACCCAGAAGATGGTAAGAAATTAACTTTGCAAGAATTGCGAGAGAAGAATGCAGAACTTCGACTAGTCTGTGAAGAATTGACGCGCGAATTAGCCAGCGCCCTACAAGAACGTATAAATCTTCGTGCGAAACTCATGCTTTTGGTCTGATCCTTCCATTTATATTTTCTCGTACATACATTCGAAGTAACGTTTTCCATTCTTCAATGTAAACTCATGTATTTAATATGTCGTACCTAGTCTAGAATTGATCTTCTTTCGACGGTATAGTTTATATGTATATCTGTCAAAGTCAATTGTGCGAATGAAAGATAAAAGGCTCGAACAAAAATCATGTTGCGGTAGTGTTCCGCTTTTTCTACAATAATCGGAGTTACTACTTCCTGTCATTACAGGATCCTACAGTGCAAAAATATATATACTTTTATAATGCTGACGCATCGATAACTAAGACGCCAAGTTCTTGATTATATTTTAGGTAGGCGTCTTTTTCTTTTTTCAAAAGAATCCTGTGGAAATTATTATACGTTCTTTATATTGTGGGTGTAAAAAAAGAAGCTATTTAGTAGCTTATAATTACCCCCACCTCTCATTAAAATTGTAGCATTGGAAAAATTTTGATTCCAAAACATTTGTATATTATGGACGAATATCCTTCAAGCAAAAAATTATTTATTAAAAGACAAAATAATAGTTTAAGCTTTACATTTATTATTAATGTACACTGCAAAATTAGATTATTCATTAAAAAGACGTATGATAAATTCGTACAAACGTAATCATTGTCGTCTTCGCGTAGAAACTTCTGTGCGTTCATTTATGTGTATTTTAATTATGCTGATGTTAGACTGAAAAAATTGAAATAAAATTGTAATATCGTTAAAATTCGACGACGTGCAAAGAAACCTACGCAAAGATTATTAATGATCACGTTCGTATCATTTTTAACAAGAAAGTCAACTTGTATTTTCGTATCGCTGTACAATCAAATTTTTCACTGCATGAAAGATATAGCTTAGTATCGTGATACTAAGAAAAAGTCTTACTAAATCGTGTTTTACTTCGTGATAGCTATTGTATTATATAAGTATTTTAGACATTAGACAGAATTAGGCAAAAAGGCGAAAGAGAGAGAGAGAGAGAGAGAGAGAAAGAGAAAGAAAGAGAGAGAAAGAGAGAGAAGAACTTTAAAAGGAAGAAAATCTGCAGGAACAGAATAATAAAAGAATGACCCGATCGCAAAGAAAAAACAAAATGTCCGTGATCGGAATATACACAGAGAGAATATTAATTTTTCTATTAATTCTTTAAAAGTCGTCTATTAGAAGAATGCAAATTAAGTGGTGAAATGAAATAATCCATTTTATTGTTGTTGATACAAAAAAAAAAATAATGAAACTATTAAGATGTTCTCTATGAATCTTGTATAATTCTTTATGAAGTTACAAGAAACGTTATTATATTTGTGCCATATAATGCAAGATTTTACTATCCCACTGATCCAAGCGAGATATTTTCCTTGATCTTTTCGATATTATTGTATCGTTAAATCGTTTATTGCATCTTATGTTCTTTGCTTCACTCTAGTCGACGTCGAAGCTTGTAGATTTAAACTAATTTCTGTAAAAGGCTATACACCACTATGTTCTCACCTAGATTCGATTATTCTGATTGCAAAAATAGGGAATAAATTTGTCTGTAAATATAATTTGATGAAATAAATTTCTTACTGACAGATGGTTTTGCAAGCAACATTATTGAGTAAGTATAAATGTATGTTTTCAGACCCTATATGTAATTACTCAAGAGATAAACTCATAGAAAATCGATAAATAAAATCTATTTATACGTAAAGAGTTAACTTCAATTCGATTAAATATTTATTTATGTTAATTGTCGACGTATTTTGATGTCAGTTAATAATGTTCGAAGTTAAAAGGTCTGTAGAAAGAGTAAAGAAAACGTATATTTCACTTTCGTAACAATCTTTTATTCGTTTCAATGCGAGAATGAAAAATAATTATTAATGACATATAGGGAGAAAATCACAAATCATGTGATACCCGTGGATGCACAGTAAAATGGAGAGAAAAAGGGGTGGGGAAGGAGGAGGATTTGAAGAACGATATGTTACGTGCGCTTTTATCATACCAATGCGATACAATTCTAATTGTAAGTTAATGGTCATCTTATAACGTCATTTGCTAACTGTTAACCCGATCGAAAGGTGGCTCCTTTAATTTCTAAATAACAATAAGATAAAATTTAGAGCCTGCTCTATTACAATTTTTAATTTGTACCTTGTATTCGCGACAAATGATGACCACCTAAATATCATCTCATCGTTCTACTGTGCCTGGGCGACGAGACGAAGCATCTTACATAAATCGACGAAATAACTTCTGTTGTTTCTGAAACTTCTCTCTGAAGAACTACTGTGATCGTTAATAACAATTACCGTATGAGTTTTTCATTAACAGCAGAGAAGCGATCGTACGAGAGAAACGACATCAGTATTGAACGTTTTAAACGACAATGAAAACTCTAAAAGAGTTTAGTTGTCTTTCGACTGCATGTACTTGATGAGATCAATCACGCGGCTGGAATAACCAAACTCGTTGTCGTACCACGAGATCAGTTTAACGAAATTATTGTTCAATGGAATTCCGGCTTTAGAATCGAAGATGCTCGAATGGGTGTCACCAATAAAATCGGTGGAGACTACGTCGTCCTCCGTATAACCAAGAATACCCTTAAGAGGACCTTCTGCGGCCTCCTTAACTTTAGCCTTGATGTCGTCGTAGCTGGCTGGTTTGCCAAGGCGAACGGTCAAGTCAACCACGGAGACGTTATGTACCGGTACACGGAATGCCATACCAGTGAGTTTTCCGTTCAAGGCTGGAATTACTTTACCAACAGCTTTGGCAGCACCTGTTGCTGCAGGGATGATGTTTTGGGCAGCGCCACGTCCGTCACGCCACAACTACAAAAAATAACGATACTCGTTGAGAGAGATACTTCAAATAAAAAAAAATATATTATATATATTAAACGATAAGCATACTTTTCCGGAAGGTCCATCAACCGTTTTTTGGGTTGCCGTAATGGCGTGGACGGTGGTCATAAGACCTTCTACAATTTCAAAGTTATCATGAATAACTTTGGCGAGAGGAGCCAAGCAATTGGTCGTGCAAGAAGCATTGGAGACGACTTTGTTGCTTGGATCGTAAGATTCGTGATTAACGCCAACGACAAACATTGGTGCATCGGCAGAGGGTGCGGAGATTACGACTTTTTTGGCACCACCCTCCAAGTGAGCCTGTTCGAGCAACAACAGAAATAAATATTATAACAACAAAAGTTTCGATCGAATATATGTTTAAAAGGAGACATGTGTTTTACGTACAGAGGCCTTTTCGATGGTAGTGAATACACCAGTCGACTCAACTACGTATTCGGCACCAGCCTTGGCCCATGGGATAGCTTTCGGATCGCGTTCGCTGAAAACAGCGATCTTGTTGCCGTTGACAACGAGGCAACCATCTTCCATTTTGACTTCGCCTTTGAATTTTCCGTGAGTGGAGTCATACTTGAACATGTATACCATGTAATCCAGACCAATGAAGGGGTCATTGATGGCGACAACCTGTCACAAAAAATAGTATATTTTTTTGTATAAAATTTTGAATGGTCCTTAATACTCTTTAACAATATTTTACGTACTTGACCACCGCGTTCAAGGGAGGCCCTGAGAACTAGACGGCCAATACGACCAAATCCGTTGATACCAATTTTGCTCATATTGTCTTCTTTGCAAATACTGTAAAATTCACGAGAAAAAAATGATTCGTTAATCATAAGACATCGTTGGGTAATATTATACAAAATGAAGTTAACTTTTGAACGCATCTCTTGAAACGAATCAAAATCAGATAATATCACAATTATTTTTGTGCCATTCTTGCTTAAGTTAAGTCAGAAAAAAAGGAAAAATTAATCAGGAATGATCGATAATATAAAATTAACGAAGATTGCAATAAGAGTTTCGAGAGATGAAATTGTGGGTGGTACGTTTTGAAGGTTGAGCAAGGTTAAATAATAATTATCGAATCCTTGAGCATGCCCTTGACGACTGATGAATGTGACCTTTTTAAGGGATCGATAAAAGTCGGAAATAGCATTTTGTTACCGAATCGATGAATCGCAAATACAGTAACAAGATGCAATATGTAGTTACAATAGCATTCAGTGCTGACGTAACCTCGATTAGTTCCGTTATAATCTATGGGTGACGTTAAATGATATCTCTTATGCCAAATTAACAGATTATTTCATACGTCAAACTAACATTGACAGAATATAAAAATTCCTGAAACATAACCTCGAATACGATTCTCGTTATTTCGACAATTCGTACGACATTCGTGCCGATAAGCTTTGAAACGATTTGAGAAAATATTGATCTCTTCTTTTTATATCTACGTATTATATATTTCGTTGAGAATGGGCAGATGCTTTTATAACACTAGAGAAAATCTATTTTTAAAAAAACGAATAGAGAGAAAAATCATACAGATAGATATGATAAAAACCTTGAATTAAAATGACGAATTTGTGATTACAAGAGTAAAGTAATTTTATTCTGGAAGATTCTATGCGTCACGAGTGAGATATTTCGCTCTTTTATTTAATCGAATATTTGTAGATTATATCGAAAAAGTCATTTTTATTTCTTAGTAACCGTCATCTTTCTAACGTCGTCACGTACCATTCAAGGAAATATGCGATTTGTCTACGTGTAAGCGGATGCGTTGTATACGTGCACAATTTCACGTATTATGGAAATACAAAAAGATGCAATAATGGATGGACCATCATCCGCCATTCGTCTTTCATAAACGAGATCGTCCTCCATACAATGGACGCCGGTAAGATGAATTCTTTCGCGATTAAAAAAAAAAAAGGAAGAAAATATCGTACGATCGAATCGTTGGAAAAATATGAGAAAAAAAAGAAAAAAGCAATGTGAATTGAAAACGAATGATCTGAATTAGGGCGTTTAAATGGAAAGTGGCGGTAAAATTGGTAATATTTAAATATACTCACCTTCGAAAAACAAGATCCGTGCACTACGATTACCACAGAAGCAGTGTCATTTGAAGGGCAAAAATCAGTAATATAAGCCGCCCCACGCTCCCGGCGAATGCGCCGTAAGTCCTTCCACCGGTTCGCAATTATTCGTTTATCTTCGACTATTTTCGGCCAAGCCAACTATCGACGTTCGATATAAAAGCGCGGAATTCAAACGAAATACATATTAGGGAAGGATTTTTTCTAATTTTTTCTTCGATAATATCTTTACAACGCATCGTAACAAATATATATATATAACAATAAGATATAACGATTCGTACGATTATTCGTCATCCTCGGAAATAGATTTTATGGGTGGAGAAATTTTACCGGAATCAACGTCGTACATGTAGACGATTAAATCAACGATACGATGCGCGTAACCATATTCGTTATCGTACCTAAAACAAAACAAAAAAAGAAATTAAGATTATATTTAATTGACATGAAAGTAATTATATGTATGTTTGATAAATAAAACAAACCAAGCGACTATTTTAATGAATGTACTCGTTTGAGGAATGCCAGCCTTCGCGTCGAATACGCAGGAATAAATGGTATGATTGAAGTCGGAGGAAACACAATCGTCTTCCGTGTAACCTAGTACATCTTTCAATGCACCTTCGGACTCTTTTCGCATAACTGCTTTTATCTCGTCATACGTAGTTGGCTTATTGATTCTGAAAACGTATTTGAATCTTCAAAATCTAACAGGATGTATTCTTGTAAATTTCGGAGTTACCTAAACGTCATATCGCATAATGAAACATTAGCTGTTGGTACTCTAAAAGCTATCGCAGATATTTTATCTTTGAGAGAGGGAATAATTTTGGCTAACGATTTAGCAGCTCCCGTAGACGTTGGTATGATATTTTGTAAGGCTCCTCTTCCATCTCTCCATAACTGAAAATAAATAATATGCTTAGTATAATTAATGTTTATATATTCTAAAAAATAAAAAATTTATTCTATTATAATAAAATAAAATGAAAAGATCATTTTCGTAATGATCCAGCACTTTATTTATCGGTCCATCTACAGTTTTCTGCGTAGCTGTAACAGCGTGTACACTGGATATCATAGCTTCTAAAACTTCAAAATTATCATTCATAATTTTAACGATGGGAGCTGCACAATTAGTCGTACAAGATGCTGCTGAAACCACATTTCCTTTTTTAGGATCGTAACATTTATGATTAACTCCGTAAACGTACATAGGTGCGTCGATAGAAGGTGATGTAATTATCACTTTGTTTGCTCCACCATCGATATGTAGCTAAGAAAATATCATTTATAATTAGACACGACATTTATTCCGAATAAGAAATGATATAAGAACAATTAAATATAATATGAATATATATTTAGCTTCTCCATAGTAAATTATAGTATTTCATCGTAGTACGTATTTCAGATTGTATCAGTCATGACTCTAAACAACTTTTTGCCATAATTTACTTACACTAGCTTTCTCCAATGTTGTAAATATACCTGTAGCTTCTATCACGTACGTTACATTGTTTTCCTTCCATTTTATTTTCGAAGGATTTTTCTCTTGTGACGTGGCTATTTTTTTGCCTAAATTTATATATTTCGTACATATAATATTTATAATTTAATTGAAATAATTTTAATATATGATTACTTTCTAACCATCTAAAATTATAAATCCATTTTCGCATAGTAAAGGTTGAGGGAACATCCCATGAGTAGAATCGTATTTAAAAAGATATATCATATAATCGGTCGTAATATAAGGATCATTAATCAGATTCACCTGTAATTTTTTATATGTAATTGTAAAATTATAAAAAGCTTATAAACGAATTCGAACGATTTCGTGATTATACTTGAACGTTTTTCTCGTAAAGGGCTCGCAAACACATTCTTCCTATTCTACCAAATCCATTTATGCCAACGACAGCCATAATTTTATTGCTCGAACTACGGTAAACGAAGAATGTCTTATTCTTTCAATACACTTGTAATTTTTAATTAATATTAATCTTTTCCGAATGTGTGCAAAGATAATTGAAAAGTAAATAGTACGAATTTATATACAATAGATTTCGATGAATCGATTTATTGGACGAAATAATTTTAATAATAATATTTTCAAGTTTATTTTTTTGTTCTCGTGTGTCTTCTATTTTCACGATTTAAACTGATTTTAGAAGATGAATTTCTGAGATCGTCTGGAACGCAAGACGACGCATCACGTAGATAAAGAACATACTGTAGCTTTTCTGCACATGTTAACGCATGTGTGGGTCTTTCAGCTAATTATAAATTGTTAAAAATGTAAAAAGAAAGATCAAAGTATCCGGCACGTGTTTTCTTTGCTAAATTTGTCCGTAAGATTTTTTCGTAAGCTTTTAAAAACGATCTAAACAATGAGATATTAATGAGATAATTTATTTCAAATTAAATTTATTTCCATATTCGAATATCTCTTAAATGAGAAGTACCAAAATTGTGAAATACAATAATTTAAATTTAATTTTACCCAATATGTGAAAAAAAAATGTTTACGAGATACGAGCGATAGTTTTTCTAAACATTCTAATTTCTATTCTAAGAATCGAACGTTCGAGTTCGAACGAAAGTATTAACCGCCTAAGAGAATTAATGAGGTTTCTCGTAGAGCTTGAGATTTAGTCTTCATCCGATCGTCGAACAGTACAGTTCCTCCCTTGTGCTCAATTTAGTGCAAGATACCACGATGTAATATATTAATATTTTAAAAATATGTTTCGATATGGAAGAAACTATCGCACTAATAAAGTCTTGCATAATTTCTCAAAAAGGAGGCATACCAATAAAATATTTAAATTGTAAGTACAGTTTATTCCATTTTCATTTTACTCATACATCATCAGCTCTTACAAAGTCGACACTTTTATTTGTTCTTAACAAATTTTTACTTTCAGATGAATTTGAAAAGATAGTCGGGGAACCAATACCTTACATAAGATTAGGATTTTCTAGTTTACAAGATTTATTAGACAAAGTAGACGGATTGAAGACTATTAAAAGAGCCGATGGGGTGGAAACGTTGCTAGTAAATGATCCCAAAATTAGACATATAGTTGATTTAATTCAAAAACAAAAAGAAAATTACAAGGCCAATAAGGTAAATGAATATTTTATTTTACAATTAATTGAATCGAAATATCTATATTTGATATCTTTTCAAATCTACCGTAAATGCACTGTACTTTTATTTTTTTCTAGTCAAAGCATTACAAACGTTTTATACCGTTTGATTCAAAAAACTTCAATAATATTACTCGTAATAATGGTAACTCGAATAATAAAATAGAATATAAAGATAAAAAGAAAGTTTGGTTCAACGATAATGCGATATATAACAAACGACGGGATGTTACGATAAACGGAAATCAGAATTTAACTGCTTTGTATTCGTTTAATTCAGGTAAAATATATTCCGCATTGGAATGAAGATATTATTAACAAAAATTGAACATTTATAATGAAAGTTTATATATTATAGAGGATGGAAATTGTAATAAATATTGGCTCTCTACAAAACGTAATAACGAATACAAGAATATTGTGGTTATCGAAGCATGTAAAACAATAAAAGAGGTTCGTATCGATGATCCCACACACATATTCTTTCTTTCGATAAATGAAAATGAAATATTATCTAAGATATATTTGTTGGTGTTTTTTTTCTTCTAGAAAACGATTTATGAACCGATTATTCTCAGTCATCAGCTTATAGGAGATGATTTTTTTCTACAACTGGTCATACGATATCTTGGTCTACCTGTATGGCGTCAAGCAGGAAATATGGCTCTTCATTGCGGTTTGTGCATATCGGGACAAACGATAATCGATTGCATCAAAAGATTGAACAAGGTGGAATGCATTTCTAATAAAATTGTTATCATGTTGGGAGCTGTTGATATTTATAACGGTGATACTTCGTACGACTTGATCAAGAATATGAGAAATTTGTTAAAGGTATTAAAATATAAATTTGCCTTCTCCAACTCGGCAATCAAAATTTGCACTATTCCACCATTGGCAAATTTATCTTTGCACGGGCACGTTAATAAGGTATCAACTCTTTATTCTTTCAACAATTGGATCCGATGTTTGAACTGTTCAGAAAATAAAAGTCTCGACAACGTCGATGACAACCATTATCAAATAATCGATCTTTTTCAATATTTTACGGATGAAAATTTTACCACGCAATACCAGTGGTTTCAATTAAATGCGCGCATGGTTTCCGGTTGTAAGCATCCTTACGTTTTGTGGAATAAAAATGGACGAAAGCGCGCGATGGAAGCGTTAACCGCTAAATTGTGAGTTTACTCTTACTTGTTATTTATTTAAATGTTTGGCATTGATTAAATGTTGCGGTATTTTTTTATAAAAATATACAAGATCAACTGTTAAAGTTTCGACTGTCTCGACGTCCTTATCCGTTGCGCTCGTAACGGATTGCTTTTTAAGGATTATCAGACGCTTGAAACGTCAGTGATCGATGTGATCGTATTGCGAATTTTATTTGCAAGTTGATCGAAGTCTCCTCTCTCTCTCCATGTTTGCATTTTATACGTGTTCTCAATGTTTATTATTATTATTGTCAGTATTAATACTATTATCATTACTATTAATATTAGAATCGAATTTGAAAGTGTAGAAGTAACGCTGTAATATAATATATCGGATAACGTAGACGAAAATACCTATTTTCATCGGATCTATTGTCCTTTGAAAATTGTTCACGGCTCGTAGATCAAGTGAGAAATTAGTTTTGCTAATTGAAAAAATACATCGTAAGTACGAATAACGAACAATACCCTTGCAGCACGGTATAAATAAAGTTTATATTGATAAATTTAATTTAACAATGGCGTAAAGAAATTTAAAATGTTTGCGGCATTCTTATAAGACTGATACACTCATAAAAATGTACTTATTTTTTAAATTTCTCTACCCATTGACCCTCACGATTATTGTTCGTTTATTATTCGTACGAGCTTCTTATATGGAGCAATATTTCTACGCAGTCAATCGCGCATGATCTTGAATTTTTTTGCCACGTTCTACATTATTCGCATATAAAATTATTAGACTTCTTAGTTTTACAAGAAATTATTATATATTCTTTGTAATGAGTCATAATTATCTTAGGTGTCGAAAAATTGCGCGGCAATTATTTATAAATTTTATAAAGACAAATCATATTGTGTGTGTGTGTGTGTATGAGATAAAAAATTTTCAAAATAAATGTCTATCAACGGATCGAAGAAAATCGAGGCACTTTTTTTCGATCCGTTTGATTATTATCAAGTAAGGCGCCGTAATACTAATGTTTTTCTAATCATAAATATTTATAATAATACTTTTAATTGTACTATTCTAAATACTATAAAGTTCTCCAATGAGCGATATTAAAAAGGAAATATCGATTGTAGTCGCATTATAATAAGAATTAATTTTTATAATTATATCCTATTTAAGCGTACAACGAACATATATATATACATTCACATATAAAGAAACAGCTATTGCCATCGTCTGCAAAGATAGTTTCTTTTTTATTCGTGACAATTTATAAACATGTATAAAAATTACAGAAGTATGATGCATATAATATTGATAGAGCATCTTGGTTTAATAAATTGTAAATGAATTTTCAAACAATTTCGCTAGATCCTCTTCCGATTGTTCACGTGGCGCCAATTTTGTTATCCGATGCTATAAAGAAAGATACAACTGTTTCAAATTTATAAAAATAAGAAAATACAATACAGCTCTGTAATAAATAACTTGCGATGTGAACAATTTAACGAATGTATAATCTTCGAAATTGTTATGTATGTAATAACCAAGCAAGTATGGTGACCAATAAATCACTCATACTCTCGTAACACTTCCGAAGTATTTTCATTTCCTTGTTTGAATCATCGACAGATACAAAAATCAATAGGAAGAAAATTATTTTTACCTGTGGTAAAGTTCCTTTAACCAAAGTATTAATATCCTCTTTTTTGAAACCAAGTTCCGTCAAACCATTTTCCACTTTCATTACGCGCATATATTTTCTAACGGTGTCTGCTAAAATTTCTCCAGCGTCAGCTCGTTTCGCACCTTTAACGTCAGTTCCTAACAATTCAGCAGCTTCTAAATGTCTTTCTGGACAGGCAATTCCGGTGAAAGAAAAAACGGCTGGTGCCGAGATAACAACTGAGAGACCGTGAGGTATTATAGGATGATCTTTGGTATATCCCTGATAACAAACTCATATATATATAATTCTCTTCTTTTTAATATATTTTCTTCACTTTAATATATTCAAATAATTAATAGAACTCACTTCGGGTTGAAAATTACGAACGTTACCGCTTATAGAATATGAAAGACCATGACAAAGGTGGACACCAGCGTTACCAAAACCAACACCAGCCATGGTACTAGCTAAATGCATGTTACTTCTAGCTTCGAGATCATCTTCTTTATATACTGCTCTCTCGAAATACCTCAAATATAGAAGGAAATAATAATAATATTATATATAAAGAAGACAAATAAAAAAGTTTGAAGGGTAAAATAATAATTGAATTCTTACTTGCGCATTACTTGCAGAGCATATCTGGCCCATACATCGCTAATAGGATTGCTACCTTGATATGCTGGTCGTAGAATCGGATTCGGTGGACAAGGTGTTCTTTCCGTATACGGTATTGCTGTAAACGATTCCAGAGCATGACAAAGTACATCGAAGCCGGAATAAGCGCAAACTTTTTGCGGTAAACTCAACGTATGTTTTGGATCGATAAGACCCAAGGTAGGTCTCAGAGCTCTATTTAGAAGAAAACAAAATAAAAAATAAATGTAATAATTAATGTTAGATTAAACTCGTATATATATATTAAACTACCACCTGTTTGCAATTCCAGTTTTGGCCTTGAGAGGTCGATAATCGAAGATGGACACACCGGTGGTCTCTGAGCCTGTACCCGTTGTCGTTGGTATTGCAATAAGTGGTTTTAAACTGACTAAAATTGGTTTTCCTTTTCCTATCGGCGCATTAACGTAATCTAAAAAGTCGGCATTAGGATCACTGCTATAAAGATTAGCAGCTTTGCACGTGTCCATTACCGACCCCCCTCCAACCTATGCGATAAAAATAATATTATTATAAATATTCCTTTTATCGAATTTTTTCAACGAACAATACTATAAATTATACCGCATACCGCAACGAAAGCGTCAAATTTTCCTCGCTTAGAAAATTCTATCGAATTTTGAAGACTCCCTTCCGTAGGCTCAACCCGAACCTTATCGTACACTTCAAATTCAATCCCGTATTTAGTCAAACTATCGATTGCAGTTTTAACCGGTTGAAGATTGACTAAATTCGAATCGGTCATCAAACATATTTTCTTTGCGTCTAAATTCTGAATATCTTGACCCAGTTCTCTTGTAACTCCGATGCCATAACGAACGGTCGAACACGCCATCTGAAATTAATATTTAAATATTAGAAAAAGGGAAAAGATTATTTGATCGTACGTTAATGTTAATCATTAATAGATGTTCGCTTTGAAACGTTGAGAAAAACTTTGTATGAGAGAGTATCAATATTATGTTATAGTCTATCATTTGAAATGAAGATAAACGTCAATGATTCTTGCCTTATCTCATTCATTTTGTTTGCATAGTTTGATATCACAAATTTATCATAATTATTTACTGTTAGAGCTATATCAATCTTCTTTACGAAATCAAAACGTTCGTTGCACAATTCTACATGGCACGATCGATTTGTTATTTGTGCTCGTTGCGAAGAAATTGGCTCAATGAAAAAAACCAATGATTACAATTGTAGATTATTTAAATTCACCTCGAACGCGTATTCCTTTGAAGGATTCGTATTGGCTGTAGTGCTACGAGTTTTTCCATGTTCGATTATTGGCGTAATTCCTCCTGGATTTCCATGCGCTGGACATCTGCATCTGACGACGTCGAAATAATATTTGTTTTTTTTTTAAATCATATTACCTTTCACAAAATTCTTTCATTTGTAAATGCAATGCGATAGAGATCGTATCAAGTTCTTAAATCAATAATCAAATGTAACTTACGATTGCGAGGAAATAACTTGAAGCAGCTCGACGACTCGTCTTCTTGGAAGCATGTTTTCAAAAGTCACGAACAAACGACGGAATAAATATTAATTGGTATCTTCGAGCGTTAATTTTTAGTAAAAGCAAAAAAAGGAGAGGAATAAAACAAATTATAATAACGAAGTATCGCACCGTATGTGTCTGTTAGTTTAGAAGACTTTCCAACGACTGCTGTTCGACCTGTTGGTTGTTTTCTCTGTTCATTGCCTTCCACTTGTCAGTAATATGCCTTGCGTAAGATTAGACCCGCATAATTTTATTCATAACAGGGACGTATCAAGAACGGATCTATGCATTTTTTCGTTACGATTTTTAAAGTCACGATAAAACGCTTACTAATATTTTATTATATGCATGTTTCCATCGCATCTAACGTGACATGTAAGCATCCTTGTTTGCTTATCGTCCGAGATCTTTCCTATTACATATTGCTATTTATTTTTAAGTACATAATAGGAATGAGATATCTTATTACATTTTATTACTCTATTGACATTTCAATTAGAAGAAAATAAAATCGCGAGGAGAAAAATTCTTTTGGGAATAGATTTTAATTTATTTCAATTTTTATTAAAACGTTATATATTATTTACAGAATATGGTAGCGCGCATTAAGGTATACTCATTTAGTTCTAATAGATGTTAGTTTTAATATCGTACTACGATAGCTGTTCTCTCTTATGATTTGTATCAAATAATTTTTGTTAAAGTGATTAACAAACTGCAAGCTTCAAAAAAAGATATACTGTTACAGCTTTTCGGATTCGAGCTTGCATTAATTTTCTCTCTCTCTCTCTCTCTCTCTCTCTCTCTCTCTCTCTCTCTCTCTTTCTCTTTCTTATGCGATAAACTGGGTACATTAAAAATAATTAGTATGCGCTATTAATTAAATATACATATATAATAATTAATTAATCATGAACATCAAACGCTTCCCAAACATTTCTTGTACTTATATTTTTCCCATCGAATAATTCGATAATAACCATGATAGTTTATCGAAAGACAAAATATTGTCGGTTTCCTAAAAATACATCTGTTCGTTCAATAATCCTTCCTTTACAGGATTGATCGATTTCTCTTTATAATTACGATTGTACATACTGGATAATAAAAAAATGTTTAAAGCACAAATGCTTAAAAGGCACTGAGGATTCGCGAATCGTTCTTTATACCGCCATATTATTTTCATCTTTATTTTCTTCTATAAACGACGGAATTAATTTGATCGGTAGAAGAATACTTATTATGTGCTTAATAAAAACGCTTATAAATTTATAAAAAAAAACATATCACCCATATTTCTTTTTTTTTCATGTTCGTCTTATCGCTCGTATTATTCCACCCGTTTTCATCGATTAAACTTTAAATTAGTCCTTTTTTATTTGAATAGAAACATTAATAAATTTAAACGCTCTCGGGTACGATCTTGTCGTAATGGAAAGTACTGCTCGAGTAAAAGCTACCCCTTTTAGGCATATGGGGAGTTGCTATTTCTTCTTGAAGTGGCTTGTAAACCAATCCACAATTTTTATTATCTACGAGACTTTGACGAAGAATCATGGGTGGTCTGATAACCGGACCACGGCCGCGACCACGGCGTTTCGCCACGGTGATGGCCACATGAGCGATCAACAAAAGAAGTATTAACGTCACCACGATGATAGTTAATATAGGCCAAAGTGCAGTGCTGTACCATGGTCGATAACTCGATGACTCAACGATGTAATCTCCGTATTCCGTGTATTGATTCTGTTCCCATGCTCTTTCAACGTCATCGTCCGATTGCGTAAAATGATCGAACGGTTTTAAAATATCCTGAAGAACAAAAAGAATATCCGTGACAAAATATAAACTTATGCAAATTTTCTAAATTTACTAATACGTTAACTGTTTTGATACCCTTTAAAAAGAGAACAATTTTGTACGACGTACCTCGTCATCTTCGCGATCTCCACTTATAAGAGTATTCGTGTTCTCTACATCACCGAGTAGTTCCTGTGAGCTAATCTCTGGGTTTACTGGACCGGGTATCTTCCTAGATGGTGGTCCATCTTCGACACCATCGCAAACACTCTTTGCTAGATCTTTCCATTGCGTGATGCCATCCGCGTCAGAATAATCCATGTTATCGCCGTAAATACTGTGCCTTTCTCAAAAGAATTAAACAAATTGAATAAAGAAAAAAACAAATCGATTCGGCGAATCGATAGAAATGAAATGGCATCTTACGTGCGCGTTTCCATAGGGGTAATGCCATGATTCGTCAACCACTGAATAGCTGTGTTAAAATCTTTGTCGCAGTCCAAGGGATTATGTGACCAATCCAAGGCTGAAAGTTTCGGCATTGCATTGAGTTCTTCCAAAGTGATTCGTCGCAGTAAATTTGCACGAACCGACAGGAATCTAATAATCCGTAAATCAAAATTGAACGAGTTGAGCAGGAACTTTGATATTTCTTAAATAGAATACAAGTAGAATTTGTCCTCGGATTTATTACCTGAGGCTCTTCAAAGGAACTCTAGCTTCGCTCCAAACTCTTTCCAATTCGCATTTGCTGACGTCGAGTTTCGTGAGCGAAGGTGTTGCCAAAAATGGAGTAACTTGCAAAGACATCAAGGGATTGCCAGAAAGGTTGATTTTGGTCAAGGTAACAGCTCCGTGGAACATATTATCTTCTAACGTTTCTATCATGTTATTAGAGATATCCAATTCCCGAAGAGAAGTGAGGAACTTCAAAAACCCGGAAGGTAAAATAGAAAGACGATTGAAAGATAAATTCAATTTGTTTAAAGCCGGCATCTCGTTGAAAGTTTGAACGTCCAAGTCTTCCAAACCGCAATAAGCGCATTCGAAACGATAAATGCTGTACGTTTCATATTCAAGACCAGTAGTCTTGAAAAGAGGCAAGATTTTTATTTCCGGATTGTTGTTCATTAACAGAATCTGTAATCTCGGATTATTCCTGAGATGATGTTCGGTCCAAGAAGTCAACTTGTTGTTGCTAACATCGAGATAAGTCAATTGTTCAAGATTCATGAACGCGTGTTGATGTATTCTCTTCATTCCATTCGAACTAACAATTAGTTGTTCCAAAAGTGACACGTTGGATAAGTCATCTTTCCCTATAGCCTTAATCTTATTTCTAGCTGCATCCAACGTTCTCAATTCGGAAGCTTTTATAACAGCCAAAGTCGATAAATTGTTTCCTGAAAAACGTGACAAAAATCAATGTCATTTATTGTTCGTTCTCGGATAAAAAGAAAAGTATGATTTACTAATGGGAATGATGTTAGTAGAGAAAAAATTACCAGAGACACGAAGAACCTCCAAATCGCTGTTATCGAAAAGATCGGCCGGGATTTCGTTCAACAAGTTATTGGACAAATCCAAATCTACCAAAGCGTTCAAGGGATCAAAGAGAGTCCTCTCGATTTCCTTAAATCTGTTTCCACTTAAATTGATATAGACCAAGCTCTGCATCTTTTGAAATGCAGTACGTGGCAATTTGGTTAAACCGTTGTTAGAAAATACGAGCTCGGTGACGGTAGGAGCGTCAAAGAGATAATGTTTCACTCCTTTGAAGTATTGACCATGTTTCAAGGGATTACCGGAGATGGTCAAGTGATTCAGCTGCGAATTATTTTGGAAGGTTTGAGGATGGATTTCTTGAAGCGCGTTTCTCGTCAGATTAATGGCGAAAAGTACGGAAGTACCGTCGAATGCGGTACGATCGAGATCGACGATACGAGTATCCGTGATCTTTATATTCTCCAGTTGTTGCAGTCCTCGGGATTTTAATGCGTAAGGACCAAGACGAATCTCTCCGGCATTTTCGATTCGTAAACTGGCTGTACCAGGAGCAAAAACTTGTCCTTCCACGAGTTTTGTGCACCTGTATTTACGCAAAGAAAGCAATATCGTTATTTTAATTTTGCCTTTCTGATTACTTATCGATAGATAAAGAAAAACTAAAAATATATGAAACATACGTAGCGGTTGATGCAGAGACGTATTGTGCGACGCATTTGCAATAATCGGGACATTGAGTCATAACATTTTCTTCGTCGTCGTTGTCAACGTCCTCGTCGTTGTCACCGTCCTCGTCGTCGTCGTCGTCGTCATCGTCGTCATCGTCCTCATCGTCAATATCATCCTCGATATTATATTCGTCATATTCAAATGCATTTCCAGCTTTATTAATATCCTCGTTCTTATTGGCAGCATTATCGTGCTTCCGACCATAGTAACTTGCCTCGTATCCTAAATCTTCGACTTCTTTAGTTTCCGTATTATTCATTTTCTCGTTTAATTTTCCGATGTAACCGAACGGCGACAATTTAATCGACATTTGAGGTGACTTTTTCATCATCGTAGTTGTTCCCTTTTTTAACTTTTCCGAAGCCTACAAAATATAAAAGAATAAAACTTAATGCATATTCCTAATGAATATTATTCTCTACGCGAAATACTAACATTTTGGAGAACGACATTAAGTTGACGATCATTTTCATCCTCGTCCAAGGTATGAATCTCCTGAAGAAGTACATCCTTCAAATTTGTAAATTCTTTCGCGTATTTCGGTAATAGGATTTTCTTGTCGACCACATTTGGAACGATCGTTGTAATCTTATCTGGCGATTCGCTCGACGTAGGATGATTCTCTCGAAGAAGTTCATTGGGCAAATTCGAGTTTGATTCCAAAGCTGCACCAGTCCTTGTCGCGGACAAGGACAAGCACAGGACGATGGTCAGCAGCGAAGCTGCTGAGATTTTCATCTTGGTTCGTATCCCCTGCTAAAAAGAAAAAAACAAACAATAAAATATATAAAAGTATTACGTATCAATTATTATACGTTTGTACGTGGAAGAACAATTCGGGCTCGTTGTGCGGAGAAAAAGCCACCCACCAAGTTATCGCGAATCTACGATAAGAAATGTCGATAATAATAACTTCCTGGTGAGCAGAAATATACAAAATCATGATTTTACGGTTCATGATGCATACAATTTATGAACTCATTCAAATAGAAACGCTTTGATTTAAAACATGATTTACAGGCTAATCCCTATCATGGTTTGAGCGAATGCAAGATGTTATGCAGGAAGTGTAGGATCTTGGATTTTCTTCTTTCCCCTTTTGTATTTTATTTTTAGTAAGAAGAGAAAGGAATAGAAAAAGAATAAAATATAAGACTATGGGAAGAAGCACCTCTCGAAGGATAAAGCTTCGAATTACCACAAAGGAAGGCTATCCTCTTTTTTTTTTCCTCCTTTTTAATGCACGATCGATTTCATATTAACTAACAACTACGATCGTAGGAAGCAAAGTTCATTAAACTTTTCATATTTCTCCTTTTCTTCTCTTTTCTCTTTCTTTCTTTATTTTTGATTTTTTTCAAAACAAAACAAATTGCTCGATCTTTAAACTGCGTTTGCTAGAAGAGATAAGATAAAAGTAGATTTTTTTGCGTAAAAAATACTAGAGTTTCTTGAAAAAGTATCAACAAGATAATTATTGACGAAAAAAAAGAAAAAAATATAAGAAAAAAGAAATAATAATAATAATAAGCAACTGATAATACAAAAGAAGTCTTCGATAAGATGGTATCTGTCATGCACGCACTGGTCGTTAAGCAATATGACGTCCGTTTATTAATTTTATTGTTGTAAAAAGTATAAGATGAAAAGAAAAAAAGAAAAGAATCAATTCTACAGGTGGTACGCATATACGACGAGCGTATCGTGGTATCGAATGAAATTTCATCCGTTTTTGCGGGAGCTCTTTTCGCATTTTTTCGACGATTTAAGAAATGTTCAACGAGACGACATAATATCGAATCCAACGAACACGATATCAATGATCACGTACACGCCTTATCAAATTGGATTGCTCGACTTTAGATTCACTCGGATCGAGTTTCTTCCAATCGTTTACCTTTATCAATCGTGATTTTCATTTTAATCATAAAAATAACGTAAATCGAGGTAAATAAGTTTACATGTTTTCTGGAAAACATTTCATAAATATACTTCCTTTGAAAAACTCGATGGTAGAACCAACGCATTAGAAGGTATAAAGTCGGTAAATAATATTAAGAAGTCCTGAAAAGAAAAAACAGGTCTGAAAAAGAAATGTCGAAGGGGAGGTGGTATTAAAACAAGTTTAGGGCATCTAATAACGAGGAGAGCAGACAGCTGGATCCTTTGTTCGGATCTTCCAAAATCTCTCAAACGAAGTTCAAAATCCTCCAAGCAGATAAAGTTACTCCTCCTGTGTCGGCGTGATCCAAAAGCACAGGTGGTCTTCTTCTACCAGGGTTCATCCTTTCTCTCTATCCCTTTTCTTTTTTTTTTCTTTTTTTTTCTGTACAAAAGTATGCACGTAAATCTTGGGTAGGAACATTTTCGTGACCATACGAGGAGTGTACGTATACTCTTATGTACTTTTTAAAATCATATTATTTCTGAATCTCTAAATAAAGCCGTATTAACCGGCTGTTCTCTTACTTGGAAGTTACTTGGAGACCGATATATTATCGTGGTTAAGGCAAACTTACGAAACCTAACTAACGTCTCGTATAACGAATCGTATTTGTTTCTTCTACAGAAAAATCCTTCGTGTCGATGATCCTTGCTATCCGTTTCTCAGCCATTGAAAGTTACCTAAGATCGAATGGAATGGCAAGAGGTCGACAACTTTTTCAATTGGATTATTTTTAGCATCAAAAATCGATTTGACAAAAGATAAAGAAGAAGAAGAAGAAGAAGAAGACAAAATAACGAGTGAAAAGTAATCATTCTTACTATATGTGTTGAAAATCCATTATAAAAGTTACTTATTCGTTACTACATCGTCACTCTCATTTCGTTTCATAAACATCATTTTTATCGTCTCCTCTGTTATTCCTTATCGTCGCATACATATTTGCATCTCTCGTTCCACCTTCCAAGAAGAACATATTTGCTTTGTCTCAGACGCCAACGCAATCTAAGCGGTTCTTTTTCTTCCCGAGTAACGAGCGAAAAGAGAATCATCGATGGACTTTGACACCCGGTAGATCGCTTTGCTAATTCCCTTATTCGTTTAAAGTGCTATCGTGTATAAAATTACGTCTGCTATTCGTTGAAAACTGAACATAGTCAGCATTCTTGACTACGTTCTTATCATTTGCAGCCAGCTCCTAGCAATTATTTTCTATTTCGGTAAATACAATGTTATATTTTTATTGATAGATTTTTAACGATAAATGATGACGACGACAAATAATAAAATGCAGTGATTGCAAATAAAATAAACGTTACGTAAGACTTCGTTCGACAACGGAGATGTAAAAGGATTGGTACAATTTATGTAATATTCTCTAACGACAATTTATACAACGACAATGTTGACGAATACGTGAACAGAATAGAAATAGGTGGATCGTATTGCAATTCTTATAAATAAATATTACGTAGAAAACGTAATCCAGGCATGGAATCTTAAGGCAGGTCAACGTGTTACGCTCTCACATTAATTTCTAAGATACGTACGTCTTTTCTAGTCTCGACAATGAACCCAACAATAGAACGATAGTAGCGGAATGCAAGATTCAATGTTCACCTCGGGAAGAACCGGCTCTTCCACTCTGTATTCATTCCTTCGCAAACGTTCAAGACCCGAGAGAGCTCGATGATCTCCGGTAGAAGTTTCAATTTCGCGAGAACAAAATTGTCTACAATTTGAAAAATCATAAATAGTTATTCATTCGAAAAACCTCCGAATAGTGCCTCTAGTCTTTAATCTTCGATAAAAATTGAAAAAGTCGGGTAAGGAAGATCACCCAAGGAAAGAGAATTCTACGATTGGCGCCATCCGTCTGATTGATTGCGAGTTTAACTCGTAAACCAATACACCACACCCGTAGTGCATAACATTATATATAGTGATGTTAGAATGACGTTTTAGAGAAAAAAAATGATCGCAGGTAGCTCGATCGGTTTGAAATGCGGCCAAGATTTTTATTTATCTCTAACACAGATTTTTTGTTTATTATTATGAATGCAACAAAGACGAACATATGGATCCTCCTGAACTCGGATGGATGCTACGTGCAACGCGAATGTTTACGTTGGCACCTTGGCCGTCATTTCTCGCGAGCTCGACCGATTTCGCAATCTCCATACCCCGTTGGTTGCGTAGACTCGCAGGAGGAGCTTTGAATGCGCTTTCCACGCTTAAAAATAGATCACCGCGCTCTGGACACTGACCTTGCTATTGCATAACCAACGCTATACTGTCCATTTAAAGGCAAGGAATTTATTTTAAGACGTCTGTTCAATGAAATATGGAATAAATAATATAAGGATAAAACGTCGCGAATTAACCCATGGAGAAAAATTCAGTACTAAGCTCACGATGTAAATTGTCAAGACAATAACGACGCGTATCGCAAAAAAGAAGCAAAGATAAATTTACTCCAGAGAGATATTAATATTTATGTTTGATAAATACATATTTATATACACAAGTTTTTGTTATCGAAAAATCGGTTACTCCCCGTGCTCCAGTGCAAGCTAGAAATACATAAATTGTAAAGAACGTTAGACGAAATGGAAGATTCCAGGTAGGTATCTCTCGTAATCTTTTACATTCTATCTTGTGTGCATTTTCAAACGCTCATTTGCAATCATCCGCGATAGTTGTACATACTCTTCCGTATAGCAATGCACGAGTTATCGCGTGATCATTCGTCAGACGTAATTGCAGCTATAACAATCAACACTCGCAATTCGAAAAGTGTCTCATTATTTATAAGGGGAGTCAATAATTTGGCGAATGTTTATTGACGGAAAGTTGATTTTTAGGATTAGAAGGAGAGAAACATGACACAATACCCGGTAATCTGATCGCGACTAGAGGAAAATTAGTTTGAGGAAACGATCATGAAAATATGTAGGAAAGTTTCGTAAAGTATTGCTAAGAATGCATAAAAAAAAAATGTGAAGTGTTGCAACGCTTACTTAGGTATTTCCATATTCTATCGTGAACGACAGAACACATTTAAGTCGCATTTAGATCGTTAAGATATTTAAGAATTCTTTATCGAGAATGTCTATTGGCTCTAAGGAAAAAATAATAATGGCCCCTTCGAAAATCGTATACACATACACAAACAGATAAATTTAATCGCGCTACAAATTCCATCGTCGACGCAAATATATATTAATAGCTTGTTATCCGCGTAGCGTTGAACTGGCCGCATCAGCGTCAATACTATTCGTGTTTTCGCCTAAAACCCAAACTCGACTCGATTTTTTTTATTTCGAAATAATGATCGATTGGCCGTGTATTATAATAGTATCGTAGTTCCAGGGAGAAATCTATAACAACAAGATATTATTCACGTAAATGTCACGTGATACGACGTGACTTCGATAGGGTCGTTAATCTTGGAGGAAGTAAAAAAAAAAAGTCAAGCTAAAGAGGACACCTTTGCTTTCAATAAGATAAGAAATTGGAAAGACTGTTCGAGAAAGAAGGGCGTATGAGTAAAACCCGATAAGATAAGATTCGCGTCAGCGAGTAGGTGCCTTGGTTATTTTCGAATCGAATAAATTATCCTTTCTTGGCGTCGCCAAGGAACGAACAGAGTCCTCGGGGTCGACCGAGGCCATTTCGAACAAACGACCTCTACCGATCTGACCAACCATAATCGAGTAGCCAGCCGATTTCTCGATCAAACCTCGAGCTCTTATTAGCCTCATCATTTTGTCCATCCATCTTATGTTAACTACGTTTAACGTTCTATTTGACCCACCTTGTTTCAATCGAAAGATTCCACGATGTTTCCTTGTTTTCCAGAGAGATTAACACTTTTTTACCACACGTATATATCGCGAGAAGAAGAATAGGAACGCTATAATGGATGATCGTTTCGCGCTTGCGGTGCAGGAATTTCTGAACTACGTAGCTCTATGCTTGGGGACTGGTATAGTAGGTCGAGGAGGGGGAAGGCAGCAGGACCCAGGGTCGAACGTCCGATTGGTCGAAAACGCAGGTACAAATTCAGGTAACAGATAAGAAGCGCAGTGTCCTCTGGTGGTAAAATATTTGAAACGTTCGAAACGTAACCGCGACAACCACTTGACAAATTCTTCAGCGTGGAATGTTTTCTTCTTAGGGAGAACTCGAGACGTGGGCGTGGATTACCGTTGAACGTATGTAACTTCCTTGTTTTTTTACTTCTTTAATAATTCATCTACGTGCATCGACGATCAACTTATGCTCACAGTTCGAACTCAACTGTTTCTACTTGCGATTCGCGCCAATCTATTTAACTGTAACATTGCGAAAAGGTCACGTTTTGCCAGGTGCAACGATTATTCATCGCTCGAGAAGGACACAATCATTTCCTAATTGCTATTACGCTCCTCGCGAGTCGATGATCAAACTACGTTAGGCTTCATCGTCGTACCGTGCCTATGGATAAGGTAGATATTTACCTTTCACATCCTTTTTTACCGATAGGGATTTTAGGCCCAGCGATATCACCACAAAAACGTTGGTATAAAACCGCAACAGCAAAAAAAATGAATAAGTACTCCTAATTGTTCATTCAAAATCCATAATTGCTCACTTTTTGTTTGACTGGCTCCTATCAATTTTATTTTATTAAATATTTTTTATTCAAAGTGTAATAATTATTTTCAACTAATTATTACACTTTGAATAATTATGAAATGATGACGTCATGAGTGGGAGATATGTTATACGCAAGCGCATCAACAAATTCAAGGCGCAAGCGCACTTTGAAAAAAAATGAAAGTAAAGTTGGTATATCTGCAGATATAGATAGAGCACTACTATTACCGATATGGTGCTTAGCCGGAGGTTCTGTGCCAACTTTTTTGTGCTAGCGATATCTCTTAAAACATATATAAAGAAAACTATTTTTATTTATTCTTTATTACGTCGTTTAATGAAGATTTCTATAACAAATTCGCAGACAAGAATTCTTTTCGATTATTGCTCGCTAGTTTTAGGATATTAATAAAAAGATTCATCCTTTGGCACAATATATAATACATATGTAATAGAGACTCTTAGTAAATATATTACGTATATAAATAAGCTGTAAACTGTGTGACTGCTCCTTTGAATTATTAAATATATTTATACGCATTTTTATATTTATATTTATATGTATATATATGTATGTATATGAATATTTAATATCTTTATATACTCTAGGACTGGAATACCTCGACATATATCACATCCTATATTGACTATCGTGTTGCAGGCTGGACTTGAAACTTTTTTTTTATCGCCCTGCATGATTTCTCTCCCTTGACAAAAAAAGACAAAATCACGCACGTCATCTTATTGCTCGATTAGATTTTTTTCATGGACTAGAAAATACTTCTTATTCTTAATTATTTAATATACTTTCGCTAACTTTCGTCTTAAGGCTATCAACGATAGTATAATCCAACCCTCGATGTGCTCTCGATTAATCTTTAACAATTTTTTAACGAACATCGTTGAAAAATTATTCTCGCATCTCCTAGATCAAAATTCAAGAGGAATTATAGATCTTCTCCCTTTCTCTCTCTCTCTCTCTCTCTCTCTCTCTCTCTCTCTCTCTCTCTCTCTCTCTCTCTGTTTCTATCTTTCTCCTGTGAAATATTATTTACGTTAGAGAATTCGTCTAACGAATAAAACTTATTGACTAATACTTTCGTTCGCGTAATCTTATCATTATATTATTTTATATCTATATATATATATATATATTTATATAATTGCTACTTTTTTCAATGGATATATTCTAAAAGAGATCAACTTGTTCGCGCGAGTCAAAAGATCATTTCGATATATCAAAACGAAACCTAATTTATAATATATATATATATATATATAATTCTGTCCCGATTGATCAATGATCGCATGTATTATGTATATATGTAAGTATGTATATGTGTCTATGAAAGAGTCGAGGAGAAAGTTTAAAAAAATATTAATTCGATTCTCCGCTGGCAACGGTAGCGTCGGTGGGTGGGCCACCTGCAGTTACAACTTGTGGATCACCCGCAGGAAGTCCTTGCATTTCCTGAACGCCTTGAAACAATTTTCCAGGGAATCCTTGAAGAAGATCGTAAGAGACAGGCGTGGGTGGTAAAGCTGTGGTGTGAGCGTGTGGCGATTGTAACACGGCTATAACTCTTCTCAATTCTTCTAGCGCGTTTCCTAAAATTTTCCATATCGTTTGGTGTTGCGTCTTCGTTTAAGAACAAAAAGTAATGTACAATAATTCGTCTTACAATCATTTTTTAAATTATATGTATACGATAAGGACGACTAGTGATTTGTATCGATTGGAAAAGTATTACCCTGCATCAAAATATAATTTTTGGCCAGGAGTAGGGTGGCAATTTTGGAAAGTTTCCTTACGGACGGACTATGTGCATAAGGAATGACCGAACGAAGCTCGTCCAGAGCGTCGTTCAAATCGTGCATCCTTCTCCGTTCCCTCGCATTTATATTCAAACGGACGCTTTTCCCTTGACGCGTGGTCTTTGATTTTGGCGGACAATTGAGCCTGGATGCTCCCGGTCTATGATGACAAATTAAATGATCGTAGAATAAATTTTTGTAAAAGAGAGAGAGAGAAATAATGAAATCATTTGTATTAATTTACCTCTCGTGATCGGGTCTATTTTCGTCGGACAGTGCACTCGAGGAAGCGTGCGGTTGCGGTTGCTGTTGAAAATAAAATCCACCGAGACCTACGGCTCCCAAAGGAGTTCGTCGTCCTGGAACAACCTGTGCAGCAGCTGCCGCTGCTGCTGCCGCTGCTGCCGATGCTGGGTGTTCGTTGCTCGAGTAACTCGTTGGTGGACCGGAAACACTCGGATGAGATACTCCCGGGGTTGAGTACATAGATTCGAGGGACGCTGCCGACGGTGGGGCCAATGGGTGCTGTTCAATGGATCGAACCAAAATAATATCTACGAATGCACATAGAAATATATATATATATTGTTACGCACTTACAGCAGCACGATGCTCCCAAGCCCACGTAGGGTGAGACGCGGAACGTTGCCAGGATCCTTGCTGTAAATGCGCTTCGGATGGTATACTTTCTCTTCGGTCGTCGTCCTCCGTCGAACTACTCTCCCCGTCGTACGACCTCATCTCTCACAAAGAGAATTCGATCAATTGACAATGAATTATCTTATCTAGAAAATTGACGAGCTTGTGTATTATTGTCACGGGACATGAGAGGTGATCGATGAAATACTATTAAACGCTTACCGACTATTTTTCTTTTCGCCTCTCCGCGCAGGATCCTTGCACTTTTCTTATCCTAGAATAAAGTCGGCAACATTTTTTTCCGCACGAGCGTGTAGTATGCCATTTTAGCGCAATATCAATTTTTCCTTTCTTTTCTACAAAATAAAATATAAGAATGATAGCTCTTAAATATATACTTTCAGAGTATCAACCCTTTTTTTTTTTTTTTTTTTTTTAGATAATGTCACTCATCTATACTGTAATCAACGCCGCAAATCACTGCCATTTTATTTTCGTCGAAGGACACGCGACAATTTCCACTTAAATCCTTTTACAAAAATATCATTCTATCTTTCTATTTGATTTATATATTATCATCTACGAGAATCGTTTGATCCGTTTTAAGCATTATACTGTTTCGAAAGTATCCATTGGATCTTTTAAGATCCTTTTCAATGGAATTATTTAACGATAAGCATTTCGCTATACCGTTTCCGCGAACACGCACGCGTTTTATTGTTTGGAACGTCCTGCGCAGAGGTTGCGTCCAAAACTACCCCATTTTAGTTCCTCGATTCTCCTGCAGGGAGAATCAAAGTCGAGGGATGCTGAGCTGTACCAATACCTGGCGAACTCTGTCGTATGTTCGTGTAACTTTCAAGGTCGTGAAACATCTGTCGCCTTTACCTCTCGGATACATGGATGGACAAAAATTCGATCCAGTTTTCCCGCCTTTTAATCGCAAAAGAGAGTATACTCGCTCCCCCCCCCCTCCCCTCAACCCCTATCGATTATATTTTTTTCCAACAAATTTTCTATCGTATCTTACTTCATACTTATATTACAAATGAAAGAATATAAAAGACTTTGCGGCCGGATAAAAATATACTACTAGTAATAGAAAATGGCTAAATAAAATAGTTATATTTTCTTCGTTAAATATTCTTGGATGAAAAGGAAACCGTTAAACGATTTAATTAATTATATTTGGAAAGAAATTTAATATTGGGAAACAAGAGAAACAGGATATGGAAGTACTTGCAGTAACATGACATATCAATCTGCAGGAAAACGATGTAGGACTAGAAGAGGAGACAGTTGTAACGAGGACGACGAACAGATCGACAGCTGACGCATTCCGTTGTGCATTATACTCGATCGGCTCGACGAAATAATAATGCTGAAATGAAAACCGACGACGACGGCGACGGCGACGACGACGAGGAGTCTCGCGTTAAACAGAGAGCCATATTGTTCGTTGCATCTGTCGCGTAGGAGACGACGATCCGAGGGGTCGTCGACGAGCGTTTATTTCCCCGTTCTATTTTGACGCCAAACCAAAATGATACAAAATTAGATTACAATTGGAGTGGCTAGTCAAAGAAACTATATTCGTTATCGGTCATTTGAATTAGGAGTAAGAAGAAGCTCTGGAGAGGACGTAATTCGAAAGTTCGGGTAATTCCACGACACAACAACGATCGTTTATAAGACTTTCGTCATTATATGAAAAATAAGAGGTTGGATAGTCGCGAGGAAGGCAGGAAAAGAAAAAAGGGCTGGATTAAGGGTAGAGAAGAGAGAGAGAGGTACTCGAAGCCAATTGCGAGGTAACACACGGGATACGACGGCGGCGTGGTGGCCCATGTGGGAGGAGAAGAACCACGAGCAACCTCGCGTATCTAAGCGCGAAGGTGGAGACTGCTAGCCTTCGCGTTAGACGAACCAAGGTGGGGTTGGCTTATCGTGTTTTCTCTCTCCTTCTTTGTTCCTCTTGGAAACTAGATTATTTCCGTAAAACCAAAAGAAGAACTGCGCGACGGAGGATCCTGGAAAGGGGGCATTTCTCGAAAAAGGATATAACAAGACTCCTCGTGTGTGACTTTTCTTTAACGGTGTGCGTATCTTCTGCGTTCGTTTAACACCTCCGGATCGGTCTGCGTACGAGAGGAGTCGTTGATAAAGCGTTGAGAAAGATGGAAGGAAGAGAGAGAATAACGAAACGAGAGGTGGAGCGAGAGCGAAGGGTGGTTCGGGGGTGGTTTTCGGTACGAAGGGTTGGTCCGACCGCTGGAAAGTCCTGAGGGATGAGGGACGGAGTTGCCAAGGCAACGCTCCACCAGCCTCGGCTTACTTTAGCTCCGTTCGTGCACTCGGATCAATACAGCATCCCCGTGAGTTCCCGGACCAAACACACCCCCTCACCGGCCAACTCTCTCTCTCTCTCTCTCTCTCTCTCTCCCCCCCTTATTCCTCCACCAAGCCCAGCCACAGACCCCTCTCGTTTTCTCTCTTTCTTCGTCCACGTTTCTTCCTCACTTTTTCTAACTTTAATACGAGTCTACGCGTGTATGCTCTTTCCTTTCTCATTCTAGTTGCTTTCTCTCTCTCTCTCTCTCTTTCATTGGATCTTCTCGTCCTACTCCCTTCTACGTTCTACCCATGAAACGAACTCTGGGTACAGTGATCGCAAAAATTATTGCAAACATCCTCGATGGGTCACCGTTCGAATCATTCCGGATACGATTAATCAATGACCCAACGTGTTTTAATATCAAGTTTATTAATATTTAAAGATGTGTCTTGAATAAATTTGGAATTGATATTGCAATAGTTATTCTTAACTGATCTAATTGTTTCTTTCGATAATCGTAGAGTCACGTTAATTTTGCGCTACTTCCCAAATTTCTATATCGACGATATAAATCGTATCCGATGAGTTATATCGAATTTCCCGATTTCTTCGTTTCGTTCTCTTCCGTACTAATCTTATTCGTTGATTTAGACATTTCCGTTCGAAGGAGAATGTTACAAACTCCATCTTATCTTGAAGGAAAAAATTGAAATGTAAAGTTATATAGCATAAGCGCAAGATAAAAGTGCATGAAAAGTTTAAAGTATGATCGATCTATTACACGGTCTTCTTAATTTAAAACCAGTCTCCTCGGGAGTAGGGCGCATCTTTTTTTAAAAGAACTGATAATCCGTTCCGATAGAAGACCGATAAGAAAAAAAGGGAACGAACCAAGAGCGATCGTCTAACTTTCCGAGAAAACGAGAGCAGAATCGTTACGGATGTCGGAAACTTGAATCTACGATTCCTACCGTAAAACTCATTTTTTCTTTGTTCATTTAATTATGTGCTTTATTATTAACGTCATTTATCCCACGCTATTCGTATCCGAATGAAATCATTTTCGAGCATTTTCATGTCAAAGAATAGGAATAAATTTTTAAATTGTTTCTCTGATTGTAAAAACATCGTTAGTTATAATACAAATGATATGACGTATCTCGATAATATGAGTCCATAACTGATGCGACCTATAACATTAGAGAGATCGATCGTTGTCGTAAGGAAAGGGAAAACACGATTTGGATATTCGTGAAAATCGAAAAAACTTGTACGCGACGTTGGAAAAAAAAGAGAGAGAGAAAGAGAGAGAAAATTACTAATTAACGCCAAATATATGTATGTATATATATTCTGTATATCTTTAGGTCGTTATAATCGCGCTCGTATTCTTGTTTTCCTCCTTTTGCTCGGTGTAACAGCAGAGAACGTGCATTCTTCTCGTGCGTAAAAGCGCCATGGAAAGGGACGAGAAACCGGGGAGATGGAGAGAAGCGAGAATACGAGAGCGAGCGAGCGAACGAGCTAGGGCTGCTTATCGTGTAAAGGGAACAACAGAAGGACGGACAAAGATGGAGAAAACAGAAAGAGAGAGAGGTGGAACGAGAAGCTCGAAAGGACAAAGAGACGTGGGGAAAGAAAAAGAAGAGTCGGTGGTAGCGAGCACGATCAAGAGAGGGAGAGAGAGAGAGAAAAGGAAAAGAAACGAAAGAGATGTAGCGGGCAGAAATGAAATTTAATAAAATTTCAAGCCCGTTGGTCGGTCCATAGAAAGGGGGAGAGAGAGAGAGAGAGAAAGAGAGGGAGAGGGGAGAGCGGCCGGGTCCGTTGGCGGTCACCATGGAAACGCAGCTTCCCGCACCCTGTGACGTCACTGCTCCATCGATCTGCAAGCCCTGGTGTATGGTTATCGCTACCACCACCGTAGCCGACAGTCCCCGCGGCCCCTCGCGGCCCCTCTCCCGAGGAGTAGTCGGTGCTTCCAACGGTGGTGTGGTATCTATGGAGGAAGCTTTTCGCGAGAAAGCCCTCCCTCTCTCTTTCTTGCACGCCCTTACGCTTACGCTTATTCTCCTACAGTATAGTAGGTATAGTAATATCTCTTTCTCTCGCGAGAGAGATAGGGGGTAGGTAGGAAGGGTAGGTGGGAAGGGTAGGTGGGAAGGAGGCAGGCCCGTAGATACACCTAAGAGGGATCCTCTCCCTCTCTCTCTCTCTCCTGTGTGTCGAGTACTCACGCAGGAATCGGTAGTAGTACGCACGGGGAAAGTGAGTAACCTTGCTGCTGGTGCCGGCGCTGGATGGCCCGTTGCCGCATATACTCCACCTTCCTAGCCCGTGCTAGCCGACAGGTGAGGGTGGAGCCGAGAAAAACACAGAGAGAGAGCGAGAGGGAAAAGTTGCTCTCCCTCTCCCAGACTCCGGTTAGAGAAGCAGCCCTTATTTCTCCGATTCGTTCGGTGCACCCTTGCCGGATCGCATTATCGATCGATGGATGGGTGCGAAACGAACGAAAGGGCTCTACCACCCTCCGAACCCATCTCTCCCTTTTGCTTTCTTCTCTTCTCTCCTTTTTCCTTCTTCTCTCGCGTTCTCGTTATGAAGCCTCGCGCATCTTCCATTTCTCGCATCCTCCTTTTCCTATTCTTTTGCCCATCTTCTTATTTTCTGATTTTCGTCGTTTAATTAAATCCTCGCGTTCTCTAAAACGAGACGACTGCTATTCCATTATAGACTATACAGCGGTGTTGGTAAATTTCTTTTCGACACCAACGAGTTGCGAGAGAAAGAGAGAGAGAGAGAGAAAGAGAGAGAACGAGTAATGAGAAACGCGCCGAGATCGAGGATGTTTTTGAGAATCAAATTAAACTACGGAATAGCAGGGATTTTTCTATGGAATGAAACCCGATGGCAAAGAACGTCCATTCTCTGTGATCTCGTCCTCTCGGAAGCTCATTATCGAGAATGTTTCTTATCGTTATTCCCTATGTATATATAACTTGGCAAGGAAAGAAAGTAGATAACTTTTCATTGTTCCAAATAAAGCTCCTCTCTTTTTCTTTCAGTGCGACAATTAGAAAAGATGCAAATAACATCGAACAATGGGGAACGTGGTTTAATCTAAGAAAATTGTTAGTCTATTCGGTGTCAAGAATAGGAGTAAAATTCGATTAAGTTTATAAAGTAATAGCCTTTTATATATTCCTTTAAAAGAATATCGGCCTAAAGCGGTAAAGAAAGTAACAGCTGCGATAGCGAACGATCGAACGTAATCATTTAATCGAGTATTTTTCTTGAGCCAGCGGCGTAGCGAAACGATAAGTAGGGATTCGATAAAGGGAACCTACAGCTGATCCAAAATTTGATCTTCCTTCCCCTCTGTTGCGAGCGATCACGAGGTCGCCGTCCCGTGCTAGACGGTGTGACGCCAGGAGAGTCTCCACGGATTTTCACCCTCGGAACAAATTCCACGATCTCGTCCACGCTCGTTTTCTCTTTTGGGTCCCACTCGGGTCCCTCGTGCCAATGTACTTTGACCGAAACAAATCATTCGTATTTTTGTCCTTTTGAAGAAAATATTTAGTCCGATCGGAAGAACGGGGTAATAGTTATCGTTAACGAATAAAATGTAGTTTTTAACGAAAGCTTTTCCAGCCGGACATCCAACATCGGCCAGGCAAAAACATCATTGTGTCGATGCTTTGAAAAGTACAATGAACACGCAGGTTAGAATTTTATCGATTCGTCCGAATGTCGAGTTCCAAATGCAGCCTTGACAGTCGATATCGTTCGCGGTATGGGTGGGGATAGGTGCATGGGAACCACCAAAATTGGAAAGGCAATAAGGGTGTACCTCTCCCGGCTCATGGGGGTTGCCTAGCGACCCCAGCATCCCCTTCTCTTTCTCTCTTTCCTTCCTTTCCTGCTTCTCTTTCTCTTCTCATCCCTCTATTTACTAGCTCGTGCTCTTCCCTACTATACTCCAGTCTTCTCTTCTTCCTTCTCCACCCCCGCGTACTCTCATTTTTTCTTTCTCTCCCTCTTGATATCTTCCATCCTTTTACCACCTCCAATTCTGATGCTCTCTTTTTTCCTTCTTAACTCCGTCACCCTACTCACCGTCCTGCTATTCTTCTCTTCCCCCTATTTTATTGTTTCTCTCTTGGTTTTTCCCTCTGATCTCTTTTCTATCGGATGACTCGTAGTTTTTATCTCCCTCCTACTATTTCTTCGTTCTTTCCTCCTCGTAGCTCAGCCCTCGGGTTGTTCCCTTCTACCCCGATACACTACTACTCGCTATCATCGTCTTTCCCTACAGACTCCTCCTTGTTTCTTCCTCTACATCATTTTCGTAGCACGCAGCCACCTCTACGAGAGACCAGTCCATTTCCGTCGCAGGGATCCAGGCCTTTCAAAGAGGCCATGGCCCGAATTCTATCGACCCGCGCGATGTGTACTTTCTATCAACAGTTTTCCTACTTCGGAAAGATTCCTCGATTATCTTTCATTCAAATTTACCTACGGATACGAGGTTCGTTTAGATCGATCACGATGGACAAGGAAAACGAATTCGTGGATTCGTTACGGTAAATTGTATTAGATAACGATCAGTCATTTGGTAATAAAAAAAAAAAAAAACAAACTCCGAGACAAAAGGAGAATTTTGCGATCGTTCGGAATTGGGCAAAAAACCTCGGAGCCAATTCCCTTTTCGACATGGCAATCGTCACCTCTGCCAAGCCAACCACGACAGGGAGTCCTTGCTTCCGGCAATTTAATTTAAACATACAAAATAATCCCTTTGATGCTAGGCCCAGCTCGGTTGGATCGTTGCCAGCGGTCGCGAATCGGTGAGCCACTCACTCCTTCCCGAGGAGCCTTTTTCCATTTTTCGTTAAATCAAAAAAATGTTATTTTTCCACGCCGTTTTCGATTCCATTACGTAGATAGGAAAAAACAAATCATTGAAACTTATCGAATCTGACGATCAGTCGCGTGAACTACGAGCGAGAATATTCGAGTGGTAGAGTGCAATTAATTTCCTGTTTGATAGCTAGCACCAATAGCTTTAGCTGCTGCTGCTGCTACTAGTCACATGCGAAGGATACGTTTGTTGTCTTACCGTCAAAGTCTTTATCCCCAGGATACACGAATCCTGTTGGCTCTCTCTCTCTTTCTCTCTCTCTCTTCTCTCTGCTGGAGCCACAGGGATTCCGGTCATCTAACAGCAGGTGGCTATTAGATGCTCGCTCTGCTTACGTAGTTAATGTTTAGTGATCTCCAACTCGCAATTTTATCCTACCCACCTGCTTCTCCTTAGATCATTTTCGTCTATTGTACTGTAAATATCTACGATATATAGATGACACGTCACGTTTTTTGATATCATAGCTTTTTATGCTTTTCGCGAGACATTTAACGTAATCTTTGTACGAATTGCTTCTTGTGCAAGAAACGAAGGGAAACGTTCTTCAATCCTCTAATACATATTTATAACACCGAGGAGACTCAACAAGCCAGAACTTGTCCCATGGATCTCAAGTACGGTGTTTTTGCTCCATTGCCATTTTTTACACTACCTACTTCCTGCTTCCCACTTCCGTAAAGTTATAATCGAACTTTACGCTCGGCTTACCGTAAACGAGCGTCAAGTTTACAACGTATTTTTTCAAACAATTCACCGATTGTTTAAGACATCCTTGAGAAACAAAAAATTCCTTTTCAAAGGTTTATCGATGCAAGCGAAAGTATCGGATATTTGAGGGCAATATCGAAGAGACAAACTTTAGCGATACTCCATGCAACTATGCCAAAATTTGATTTCGCGTGAAAATTTATGTTCCCATATCCGATAAATATCCGCAAGAACGCATTACAAAGTGTACCTACGTTGTTACCGGCAAACCACGTACAACAGATAGCGTATAGGTATCAAATTTGGATAATGGTCTCGTATACCGAAACTTATACGATCCGTTATATAGATTCCAGTGATTCGACCCGGTATAACACGTTCTCCCGAAAGATTTGGCGTTGTTAAATGTTTTTCCCGTTACAAAAACCTAAAACGTCAAGAATTCTCATCGTAATTGTATCGCGCCAAATCGACAGTTTTCAACGAGCAAGAACAATCGTCTATTACTTTTTCTTTCTTTTTTTATTGCTATTTCCGTTAGTCAAGGAAGATTACAATGGCATCGTAAGAAGATATGCCGAAGAAACATAAATTGAACGTCTCCGTTCTTCCATCATGAAATACACGTCGTCGGAAAACTTGTATCCGAGGAGCGTCGAGTACGCGGCCAGAATTCAAAGACGAACGAGAAGGATCTCGAGCAGAATGGCGAGAGGAATCTCGTTTCTGGGCAACCCGAGGATTGAAGCGAGATAGATAAATAGATAGAAAGAAGTAAGGGTAGAATATCTGCCGAAGCTTGACAACGGTTGAAGAAAAATGAAAACAGAGATAGAGGAAAAGCAAATATTTATCCTACTGGACCAAAGTTTTTGAAGCAGAAGAAAAAGTAATCATCGACGATGCTTAGATAAAAAGAGAGAGGGAGAGAGAGCGGTAATATTACTTTCACAATAATCAAAACATTTTTACTATTGTCTTTTTATCCAGGGATCCTAGTTTTATAAATAATATAAATAATAGATAAGGAAGGGGAGGAGGAATCATTGGAAAGAGAAAGAGAGGATATTCAACGCAAAAGTTGTTCGCTGAAGAGAAAGAGAGAGAGAGAGAGAGAGAGAGAGAGAGAAATTGCACGCCCTTGAACGAAGATAGGGAAATTTGTAGGTTCGCGTTCACCCGACGAAGACGAACGTACTATAAACAGAGGGAGACGAAGCGAAACAAAGAGAAAAAAAGGAGAGGAGGAGGAGGAGGAGAAGGAGGAAAAGGAGGAGGAAAAAGAAGGGGAGGCATCCCGAAGTGGCTCGGGATACGAGGACTATTAGGGAGAGAGAAAACATAGACGTGGGTAGGGGGGGGGGGCTCGATTTTCTGGGTGACGCTTGCGCTTGTGGGGAAAGCAATCGCACAGCATCGCCATTTCCAAACTGTCGCGGAAAATGCGCGGCAGGGGTGGGTAGGAAGAGCGATTCCCCTACCAGGGAAGCGTTTTGGCCGGCATTCAGCGAGAGGGTGAAACTTCGGTGGGGGTAAAGCGCACTGGTGGTTTGCGCGCAGCTATCTCTTATCCGTGTGGGAGAGAGAAAGCGGCGCAGAAGAGAACCGAGACGAGGAAGGGCGACGAGGAAGGGCGACGAGGAAGGGCGACGAGGAAGGGAGAGTCGAGCTCCGAGCGGGGTCTCGGGGTTTGATATCGAGGGGCAGGGCTAGGTGGGCAAAGACGGAGAGGGCGCAGTGGTCCCGCGACCATCAAACCAACAACACCGCTCGCTACGCAAAACGGCGCATCCTGCTGCGCCCCCTTCTTCATCTTCTTCTTCTTCCACCTCGTCCTCATCCTCGTTCTCGTTCTCGTCCTCGTCCTCGTCGTCCTCGTCCTCGCCGTCGTCGTCGTCGTCGCCGTCGTCGAGTCTGGACCATCTTCTGCTTCCGTTGCTTCTCGTGCTCGCACCAAGTTCTTTCCATTCTTCCGCTCTCCATCTATCCCACTCTTTCGTAACCTTTTATTTATCTATCTATCTGTCTATCTATCTCTCGAATTTTATCATCTATCTCTGACTGTTGCCGCAATCGTTGGACCGAAGGACAAATACAAATTCCAAGAAGATTCGTCGAACATTGAGAAAACTAAATTGGAGAAGACGTTTCGCGACGAAGATTTATATTTTATCACTCTTTCTCTTGAATTTATCCCTCGCTCTTTTTCTATCCTACTTACACCTACGAGTCTTTATTTATACCTTACTCGAGAGAGGTGATCGAGAAAAAAGAAGATAATTCATCGGCTGCCAACAGATAAAGAAGATCATCGAAGGATTCAACGGAGGGGATCTTTCTTAAGGTAAATCCGTTCACCGAGATCGTTCGGTTTGCGTTGCAGAATCCGTTGAGATTTAGTTTTCCCTCGAGAACGTAAGCGACGGTCGATCGGGAAACGAGAACGCGATGGTATACCCACAAAACATAGTGTTTTTTGTCGACTAACATTATTAGTGTCACGATCGTGCGAATTGTTTTGTGTACCAAATGTAAATTTCCACTCAAATTTGAATTTTTCTCTGTAATAATATTACTTGTAGTCGTTTAATCGATCTTGCACCGCCTTAATTTGATTCCACGGACCCCGTTATCATCATAGAAATGACGAGCTCGACGATTTTCGTTCGAATCTAGGATAAGGTAACATATGGCCAGATACGGGATGCTAGCAAAACGATTGATGTACGTGAAACGACCATATGTCATCGAGTTGTCGGAACTTTTCGCAATCTATAAACAAGATTTTCTATTTATTCATATTTATTTGAAATAATAAATGCCGAACCCGGTTGTACTCGAAGCGCAACTCGTTCGCATCGAAGGCTTGGTTCATTCGTCGAGTAGTAAAGCTCAATGATTCGAAGGAAAGATCTCCGTTTGACGGGTCGCTTTGACCCCTTCTGTCCGTCGCACGATGTGTCCCGATTTTCGTGACACCCGGTAAGCAACGTGTTTTCCCCCTATTCCGCGTAAGCACATTACGGTGTGTACTGTTGTTTTATCAGTAGTGCAGGATCGCCATGGCTACGAAGTATGAATAAGCCGCATAGTCTTCGCGTCGCCGTTACCTTCCTAATTACCATTTTCATCATTTTCTGTCACGAAGCTACTGACTTTCGAACGTAAACTTAAGCCGAATCATTGATCTTTATTGTTGTTCTCCTTCGAGATGCAACGATACTTCTTTATACGTTAACGTTCTTTTCCTTACCTTTCTACCCTTTTATTTATTAATATTTGATTTGTCTAATATTTAAGAAATTTTCGATACGCTTTAATAAACGTTTGGCCCTTTTAATCCAACTAGACGCGACTACTTGTACGAATAACAGTTTCGACGAGTGAACGAACGGTGCATTAGAGGCAACTTATCGAACTGTCAATATGTGATCAGCTGACGAGCTCGGGCGAGGGTTTCTCGAGCGAGTTCCTATTTATAAACGGTGTGCCGAACGTTACAACTTTACACACATAACAATATCCGATCGTTCATAATTGCTAAAAGACACCCCAAAAAAATAGAATCGAATTAGAACGGCTAGGCAAACAATACCGAACGATTGAACAGTCAACATTATTGAATAATAATAATCATCTATACTTAAAGTATATTATTAATTATAAGATATTGACTTGCTATAGAGGGGAGAAAATTGAAATATCTGCTTTGAAAATTACTTTGAGAGATCCGATAAAGGAAACAGCAACCAAACGCGAAGGCCGGTGCTGCTGTTGTTGCTGTTGCTGTTTAGCCTCGTTCTCAAGGAAAATCGTCCGTTTGTTCCAGATACCAGGTAGAACCATGCGGTTCGTCGCCCTGGTACCAGAGTTCTCATGAATGAAGGAGGGTTCAACAGGATCGATGGAGAGGGCGTGTCTTCCTCGAGTAAGGAGAGGAGAGAGGAGACCGAGGAACAAGGGGAGGGGGTTCGTATCCGTGACGTTTTCGACCCCACCTGGGAAGGGTACATGACGGAGTACACGTGCTCGATTACGTCACGAGAATCTTCAAGCAGGACGCGAAAGGGCTAATCCATTCAATTCGTTGTCTTGTAAGGATCGGTTACCACAACTACGACACCTTCTTGACTTTAAGTGAAACGAGCGAGGTAATTTTTCCTCACTTTTTTCTCTTTCCCTCTCTCTCTCTCTCTCTCTCTCTCTCTCTCTCTCTATCTATCTATCTATCTATCTATCTATCTTTCTCTATTTCTCTCTTCCTTTCTCTCTCTTTCTCTTAATTTCTTCAACAACACCTAGAACCTATCCTTCGATATGAAATTAATATCTTAACTTTCGTATACTCGGATCTCGCGTCATCTTCTTTTCATTTTCTTCAATATAAATCTTTGCTATCTAATTTTACACGAGGCGTTTAGATTTCTGAATAAATGTTCTTGGATTATTCTCGATCTCCGAAAATAAATCAATATCGATTCTTCTCTTCCTTTTCTTTTTTTTAGTAACCCTCGTATCATCGCATTCGATTCAATTTCATTATTTATTTGTTTTTTTATCGTCATGTAAATAATTTAATATTACGTCCAGTTTTGTCAACATATTTCTCTAATAATAAAAATACAAGAATAATAAATTTTCTCGCCCTCTCGGGAATGAAATATATTTTGTTTTTTATAGCATGACGTAGAGGAACGTGAAATTTTTGGAAAGTTCGAGGGACGCCGATATTGCCGATATCGATACCATTTCAGGGGTATTTAAATAACTCAATATTAAAATTGTTTCTATCTCCCGTTTGTACGAGAATCGAACGTTCGGTCAAAGTGGGGAAGGGAGAGCGTGGAACGGAACCGGGAGCGGGATCAGGAGCGGGATCGGCAGAGGGATCGGCAGCGGGAAGAGGGGAGGGAGTAAAAGAGGGGTTGGGGCTGGAGCTGAAGCTAGAGGTAGAGTAGTATGGGGTGAAGGGTAGAACAGACGAGAGTTTAAATCGATGGACGTAACGCCTCCTAGAAGTAACCGTGACCCACAGTTCTGGGCAGACGAAGTTCCGGCCCTTCGAGGGAATGTTCCTTTGTGTCGCGATACCCATCCATTCTACTCATCCCTACCAACATCATCAAGCCACCACCAACAACGTCCTTCTGATTCCCTCGCTCTCCCTCCCACTCACTCTCCCTCTCTCTCTTTCTTTCCTTATTTCCACGAGGGATAGACGAATTAGCTTTTTCGGATGGAACACTTTGTTTTAAGAGCATCTCTCATTCGTACAAGGGAAAGAGATACTTCGATAGAATCACTTTATTTTTATTATTTCACTTACGGTCCTCCTAATATTTGCTTTCGATTAAATTCTATTGAAAAGCATAGACAAGCGTACGTCAAACTTCAAATCTATCGGTCAAACGTATCCGTCTATATTAGTTATGGTATCCCATATGTTCCTTTTTTAGATGCTCTGAAAACTGTTGGAGAGTGTGGGTTTCTTGATTATGCGAATATCTACAGACAATAGAACCCCAATGTCAGCTGCTCCCACCCTTCTCTCTCTCTCTCTCTCTCTCTGCTACCTCCTACCCTTCCTCGAATCACCCCTAACCCCCGGGCCAGGATAGCACGGGGTCGAGCACCCTCCGCGAAATAAGCAATAAGTTATGGTGGGACCGACGACCCCCATCCCCTCCAATGTCATCGCAACACCCCTGATCATGGGTCCACAAGGGTGAGCGTGTACGATATCGTTGCATAGTATAGATCGACCGTTCATCAAGCTCAGTTCACATTGCGACGCTCATCGTAAAACGTTCCTTTCCCTGTTTCTCTCTCTCTCTCTCTCTCTCTCTCTCTCTCTCTCTCTCTCTTCTCTCTTTCTCTCTTCTCTCTTTCTCTCTTGTTTCCCTTTTTTCTCTTTTATCTGTTTTTTTAACTTTTTTTCGCTTTTGATATTTTTTTTCAAGCATCTTTTTGTCTACTTTGCACCACGTTTCTCCTATCTCTTTTATTTGTATTATTACTCGGAAATCGCAGGCGCGCGCGCGCACACGCACGCATCGAACGTAAATTTGTCGATTCACTCGTACCCGGAAAGAATCAATGTGTCGTGCGGAACTTTGATATGACGGTTCGGAGTGTCGAGAGTGGAGAGAAAAAAAAAGTGCGCGTTCGCTGTCACTCTCTGTGTGAACATTGACGTTACTCGAGATTAAATTTCATTTAACTTGACGCGAACATTCGATAAAATATCTGCTGGGTTAATCTCGAATCGGGTCCCTCTTTAATCGTTATTTTCGGGGAATGGTGAAAACAAGGAAGGTGTTAACTTTGAAAATAATCCGTTGATACGAATAAACATAGTCACTAACACTTCTTCTACGTGAATCGTGTTGTTATTTAAGATCGCAATGGCATCAAGAATTATTATCTAATAGGAAAAAATATCTCGAATAAACGTCTCGATAATTATTCGCGATGAAATGTCTGCAATTTAATCGGATTGATGTATTGACGTATTTTTTTGTTTCTTTTTTCGAGTGTACTTTTTTAGGAATACGTCTCTCTGTGCGAACCTTCGAACAAGTTTAAGACAAGAGTGCATCTTCGACGTCAGCATGATCGAAGGCCGAGTGAACAAATAAACGTATAGAAAGAGAGAGGATTTGTGAGTCTGTGCTCCTTGCGTTCACTGCGGGCTTCCATGTGCCAACTTTTCAAAATTCATAAGGCACGCGGTGAATGCCAAGAGCGGACCAAATTCAGCAATATCTCCGTCCAGTTGGTGTGTAGCCTCGAGGAAGCCTTCTCGATCTCTTAGTGACTTCGAACAAAACTCCAAGGTTCTCGTCGAAAATTCTCGCCTATTCATTGCCATATCCTTTCCCTCCTTTTTTCCCGTTAAGCGAGGTCAGTTCTTCCTATCCGCTCTTCTCATTACTTACCGATGTACAAATTATGCAGGAAACATTAAAGACATTGGAAAGGTGAGTGAACACTTTTCGTATATCTTCAATCGTTTCTTTTTCCTTCTTATGGATTATCATATATATCTGCATCGTTATAGTTGTTTATCTTGATTCAATTCTATTTTAAATTGTAACAAAGAAAATTTCCAATTATCTTATAACATAATCTCAGGTAAGAACGTATTGTCGCGGTTTAGCGTATTTTTAGCAATCACATGAAAATGCATTAACTACTCGATAACGATCGAGTTTTATATGTATCGCGAAGGAGAGAGAAAAAAGATTGAAGAGAATATTATGTATCAGTTTTTCTCATGAAAGAAAAAAAGCGAGTTGACGGCGTAAGAGATTCCATTCTGTATCTCTTCTCTCTCGAGAGAGAGTAACAGTCTCTCCTATTATTTTGTTTTAAGGATAATGCGTATCTCTCCTGGCACTTTGATAGTAACTGCTAGAGCTGCTTCATCGGTGACAGAGTCATCGGTTGTATCGGAGAACGACGAGAACTACCAGAAGGAAAAAAAAACAAAAAAAAGAAACAGAAGATTAGGAAGAAAGAGGACTGGGAGACGAAGAAAAGATGGGTAGAAGAGAGAGACGAACTCGCAATCGTTTTAAGTGTCCCATCGGACGCGAATGTAGGATGGAAGAGAGAAAAAAGGGGATGGAGGTCGGACTTAAAGTACGAACCCCCGTAATGGAAATTGGGGAATTCCCGGGTGTACGACGAAAACGGCCGGTTGTATCGACCGAGTCGTCGAGCACGAAATGAGAGAAGTGGGGAGAGCTTAGGGTTGGACGGACGTTGCTTGGCAACCCACCCTTACTCGCAGCATCCATCCTGGACCAAGCATATTCCTACTACTACTATTACTACTACTACTACTACTACGACTACGATGACTACTACAATTGCGATTACTATTACTACTACCACTACTACCGGCGGCTCTGTTGCTGCTATTACCAGTACCACCACCAGCAACATCACCACTACCAACGTCAATTGATGTGTCGCATACATCCTCGGCCAGCCACAGCCCAACTCTATACGATCATGCTCGTCGACGTTTCTAGCCTCCACTTCCTCTTCTTCTTCTTCTTCTTCGTCGTTAAATTTATCTCGCGCAGTTCCATCCATTATTCGTTGAAGATGCTCAACCATTATCTTTTCCTTTATATTCTACTACACGTTCGAGCTTTTCCACAATCGTTATCTCTAATGTACTTCCGTAGGTTTTATCTCGTGCCTGATTGTTACCACTTTTTTATAGAAAATCTTTAGGATTCTAATAGAAAAATATTGTCTCGTCTTTTCGAATATAATAATAATAGATTTTTGTGTTCGATTAACAAACGTATGTATTAATTGATATTATTGCTGCATATCAAAATAATTTGCTTGAAATAAAATTAATGAATGAATACACTATCTCGATATTGAAATGTGGCATTGTAAAGAATAATCAACTTATATTAATAAACGATTATTATTGATAATTAACGACTACTCGAGCGATCAATCATCCCTTCCAAAATGAATCCATACAATAATATTCATTAAGAAATAATCGTTAATGTTCATCTCATTGAAATTTCATTACTATTTTTTAGATATCTTGAGAAAAAATGTACATTCGACTAATTATTAAGACAGAGTTCGAGTCCTAAATCTAGTCTTTTTCGTTAAATATTTTTGGTTACTTTTACATAAAAGCAAGTACTCGTATAAAATAATAAAGTCCGTATACAAAAGCAAAAGAAAGATTTCGAATTACGTAAGAAAGAGGAATGAACTTATGTTTTTGCGTGAATTTTTTTCCTTTTCCTTGATGCGGACAAAAAGTTGCGGATCATTTTATAATGAAAATAGAAAAACATTTGAAATATAACGAATATATAACATTATTCTGCTTGTTATCGAAAAGATCGATGTACGTTCTACCGTTCGCTAGAAAAAAGTCATTTATCCGTATCAACAATGAATAAAATTTAATCTGTCAAATGAAATCATCATCACCATCATCATCATCATCATCATCATCATCATCATCATCATCGAGGTAAAATCATTATGCTCCTAACAAGCCGGAAATCGAAAGAAAATGAAGCCTTTGATAAAAATACATCGTAGAAAGAGAAAGAAATAGCGGAACGTTATCCTCCTGTCATAAGCAAACAGACAATTTGGTCGAATATAAGGCAGAAAAAGTAAAAGCATGCCGCGCTCGTTGTTTCTAATCCCTTCCACTCATTTTCTGCCGTTTCTCCTCTCGTCCATCGTTGGCGATGGTTCAAAGGGGTGAATGTAGGTGCGACAAAGAAATTCAGATGAAGGTCACTTTGCCAATAAGAAGAGCAAATGAGAGAGGCGAGGCGAGGAGATGAAAAGAGAAGAAAGAGGAACCGAGGTTGGGTAGGTGCACGAACGAGGTAGCCCGAAGAAGAAGAAGGCTGAAGGGTGGAAAGGTCTCTGGGTGTGAGTTTTCGAGGCTGTACCCTTGCTCCTTTAATTTCTTCCTTTCTCTCCTAGTCTCTCTCTCTTTCTCTCTCTCTCTCTCTCTCTCTCTCTCTCTCTCTCTCTCTATCTCTCTCTCTCTCTCTCACCTTTTGCATCACCGGATCAGAAACTAACTTTCATTCGAGCGATATATTCGAGAAGCTGACACGCCCCGTTTAGGATCCGTACTGATTGCAAATTATCTGCTCTTCTCGGCTTCTCTATATTGGAGAAACTTGATCGAGACACGATATAGTCGATCGGTGAACAAGGAACCCATCGTTTACATAAGAGACCGTCTTCCAATGCCAATTTTGCCAAGACACTCGATCTTAAATTTCACTCGCTTGTTGACTAATTATATCAATGTGTGTTCATGAATAGACGTATTCTAATAGGGTATTAAGAATGAATAGACGTTCCATAAATCAAGATTGTTAAGAAGAAAATCTTGACGAATGGAAGGGTCTGCGAAAGCTTCGTATACTCTTTTTTAGACACGTAGATATTTTTAGTTATCAAATTATCTTAAAGTAGACAGTCATTTCGTACTCCTACGTAATAATTATAGAGAGAAAAAGGCCATTGATCGGTTTATTTTGTTGTTTTCTACGAACCTATTCGAATTGACCGTTACAGAGACTACTCGTTTATCCTAATAAACGAGCCGGGTACTTGAAATTCCATGGGAAAATTCATCGAGAAGGACGAAAGAAGGAAAGAAAAAATCATGTGGAAGGAAGCCGAAGGGGGGTGGGTTTGGGACGAAAGGAAAGAATGATGGAATATCGTTTTGTAGAAGGGACGTAGGAGAAAGGACGAAGATTAACGAGACGGGAACGAGAAAGAGGGAGGAAGCTCTGGAGTATGAGGGATAGATGGAGAAAGGGGAAAATCCGAGATACGGGGAGAGATCAATACGGGGTCGCTAGGCAACGAGCCTCCGGCGATCTCGGTCCGGGTAGACAGGGTGCCGCCACCGAGGTATAGTAGAGGTAACGCACACACGTATACCCGCCACCCACTTTTCCTCCACCTCGATGCTACCACGACGCCCGCGGCTCTTCTATCTCTCTCTCTCTCTCTCTCTCTCTCTCTTTCTCATGAACGTTCTACGTATACACGTTGCCTCGCCTTCGAAATCTCTCCCGCACCTGCCTTCACCCTCCTGATATCCCCTTGCAATATTTACGATAACGATTTGCATAAGAATTCACGTTTTACCTGAGAAAAAAAAAACACATCCAAGATGATCGTCGTTTCGATTAATCGAACGCGAAAGATCTTCACCGTAGTCCTTCAAATATTTTCCTATCGATTTGAATTTTGATAGGTCTTCTGATACTCGACGCAAAATGAATTTTCATTTCTTTGTTAAATACCACTCTGCTATATTGCTAAGTGTACTATTCCCCGATGTCAAACGTGTAATTTTAGTTATTTTAAAGTTGAGAATATCTGGCTCAACTATGTCCAATCGATATCGAAACAATCTTCTTCTTCTTCTTCTTCTTCCTTCTATTCTCTTCCCTTCTCTTCTCTTCTCTCTCGAGTAAAGATAAACTCTTGGCGCACCGTTTTCTTCGCAAATTTTCTATCCTTTCGATGGGTTGGTTCACGAGAGAAGACGAACGATCACGGTAGAGATTTTTCACGAGAAAAGTTCTCGTGATCGCGTAGATCAATCGTCCTACAAAGATTGACGATAGGGGAGAATGAAAGAAGTAGTATAGTTCTAAAGGTTGAAACTAATCGAATAGGACGAACGAATGTCGGTGGATGAAATAGAATCGAGATTTTGTTTCTTTCTTTCTTTTGATCAATCAGTCGAACGTCCATCGCTCTTCGTTCATCGAGAATAAGTTAGAATTGTGCGAATTGGAATGAGTTAAATATTTAGTCAATATCGATGGTAGGTTTTAACCGTGGGTTATAAATCGCGAGTTATAAGTCGAACGATGTCGACTGATCGAACAAAAGCTCTGTTTTGTTCCGAATGTTAACTGTGTGAAGCGGAATACGATGAGTTCTAGCATAGATCGGGGATAAGTTAAGCTCGTATGGGCGAGTTTATTCGTCGAATGTGCACCGCTGGATTTAGTTGGATGCAGCTTGCATGAAAATGTTGAGTTTATACGATGGAAAGCCGTTCGATTCGCGCGCTCGATTCGCCTCCTTCTTCGAAAGATGGCTTTGATGTTGCAACGAGAGCTCGAATATCCTCTTTCATATGTAAAGAAAAAGAGAGAGAGAGAGAAAGAGACGCATTACCTTTTGCAATATTTTCATCGCAAGCTAGCCGCGTGTATCGAAAAATATGAATTTTCTCCAATATTTTCCAATAGTCCTACCCGATATTTTCCCGATAAGTATTACGTGTACTTGCAATCATCCCCCTAACGCAAACTCTTACGAAAATTTTATATCATTTCTTATAATAAATAAATGGACATATATATATATATATAAAATGTTAAGTAATTGTTCCAGATCCGGAGAAAATGTAAGGAGAAATAAAATCTCGATGTTTCGATCGAAGGACGTCAAGTGTGAAGCAGCAAAGGCTATTTTTAATTACCGATAAAATCCATATCGTCGACTACGGGTACACTCTTACGCGTGAATTCTCTCATCGTTGTTAGAGCCGGTCAACGTTACGTCTACGTGATTGTGCATGAATGAAGTGTAAACAAAATTGAAGGCTTCTTTCAAGGCCTTCCAATCCTTTCTTTTTTGTTCTTTTTCTCTTGGTCTATGGCCGTGCGCGCGCGTATTGCACGTATTGAAAGAGAGAGAGAGAGAGAGAGAGAAGGAAGATTATAGAAGCCTAGTGATCCCCTTTCTCGTTTCCGTTAATGCGACAATTGACACAACATGGCGACGCCTCTGAGAATCCAATGCTCGGATGAAAGTTCCGTCGGGAGCCATACCGCGATTACAAAGTTCGTCGAATGTCCAGTCGTCGAAAGTACACCCTTTCTTTCTGCTGTCTTGTAAACTGGACAAGTGTAAGTATTTCTCTCCTTTATTTCTTCTTTCTTCTTTGGAATAAACCATATCTAAAATACAAGATAAAAGATATCTATAATTTGAATAAGATTCTTAAACTATTAACGAGAGAGCACTTACGTATGGTACACTTTCGTATAAAATTTTTGGCAAGGACTCGTCTAATCGCATAGTTGACATATTGAAACGGGCCCCGTCGAGAAATAATCCAAAAACGTATACTCCATCTTCGGGTGGTGCATGAAATGTTGTCTCTCGCAATGGTTCGAAATCGTATATTAAGAGATCTATCGGAATCTTGTACTTTCTCGCATAATTTTGTCGAGCACCGGTAAGAAAAGCTTGGGTAAAGTAAAATCCAGAGATCCAGAATGTCGCTGGTACACCCTCGTCGTACCACGTCTGTTGATCGGATGAAAGAAACAATTTGCATCGTTGTAAGTTATGTGTATACAAAATTGAATCCAAATGATCACCTGGAGGAAAGCCAATCTTTTCAAGAAATCGAGAATATAACTGCCTAACGGTTTCAAAGACGGATAAGAATTTCTCATCCATATTTGCGATATCTTTCCTATCATTATCGACGTATATACTTCTTCGAGGTCCGGGTTCATGATCACGAGACCTAAGGTCAATTTTCCAATGCTATGAAAAGTCTTTGAAGCCCGAAAACTGATTCATCGTATACCTTTAATCGCTTTCTGAACGTTCACGAGACTGCCCCTAATCGTTTGCAGGAGCTTGTTGAATCTTCCCATTTCTTGCACCAATACCGTGTTCATACTTTCTTCATAGAGGGTAGGATATTTTTCCAATGCAACAGCGAGGTCAAAATCATTTGGCAACTTTGTCAAAATGTCTTCGGCAACACCATACACAATATCGTCTTGCGATTTTCCTGTATCCATTTCAGTTTCAGCTGTATCCTATATATAAAAAGTGTATTACATTAATATCCATTCGTCGTTTGCACATCGAACATTAATACTTGGTTTTACCTTACTCCTTAATTTTTTGATCTAATTCACGCAAAGAAAACAAGTATGATTAGTATATGTTATATCTCACTTCGTTTATAAAACGTAACTTACCTTTACCACTTGCAGTTCCTGTGCAACAACATCAAGGAGAATAAAATTATAATGAATTGCAAATGAAGATAAAACTTGAACGACTGTTTGCTGTGTTTTTGGAATGTACCTGAGTAGTCAGGAGCGACGTAAACATCAAATGCGTTTCTTGTTGATCCTTTATAATGTCTGCATTCTCGTTCATGCCAAAAACGCTGGGAGCGGTTGTCATAGGAAACGATCTAACGTATTCCAGAAATTCTTCGTGTTTATCGACTTGCGGCACATAATAAATACCAGTTTCGTCAAAGGAATAATTTTCTATCGTTATAGATTCCACGCAATAGAATTTCTTTAAAATCGTTATCAACGTTCTTCGATCCCATTCGTCGGTTACTCGTCCACCGTAATTACATTCCCCTTAAAATAATCATCTTTTGTTCGTATCGTAAAAACAATTCGTCGTAATAATTATTGCTTCGAACCTGTCAAATATTTGAGTGCAGTGAACTGAACGTCGTCGTATTGATCCAAGAAAATTTTCAACTGTAAAGCACTGATTCTAAGATCGGTCTCGTTAAATTCATATTGATTGTTCCAACCGATCGGACCGAATTTCCTTCGTTCCTGAACAATCGCATGGAAGAAGCAGAGACAAAATAAAAGTTTCTTCAGATTCTCCTTCTGCTTCGAAGATTCGAAAAATTCTTCGTCGGACATGGGATCCTACGTATTTCGTCGGAAAAATAGATTTTTAAATCTAAACAATATTGTCGCATTACTTACAATATAATATCATGGTAAGTATTACTTGTAAGTAAGATCTAATGATATTTGCACGCAATCCCTTGGGAGGTTCATTGGTCATCTTAATTCCATCTTGAAGTATACTAACTGGAAAATGATCGACCGGATAGCTGGTCAACCATAATCGAAAATCTGGATGCACCGTTTCGGTGGTAAAACTCTCGCAAATCTAAAAGAATTATTTGGTCATTTTATATTCGTCTTTAGAAATATATATGAAGATAAAGCGACAACTAGTAGAATCGTTCACCTTTTCCAGATGTGGCATAAAACTTTTAGCAAGGTGACAATTTTGTAAAACGACCCAAGTACCATTTTTCGTACCCTCGTCTATGAGTTCTGCAGCGATAACACCTTGTCCCTGACCAAGGGACAAGGAAAAAAGCCTGTTGGTTCCAAAGCCTTGATCATCGGCGAATTTCAATAAAATTGCCATAGGATCGGCACCCGGTGTTAGAACAAATATAAGGGGTATACAAGAATGCGAATCCGCGTAAGAAGCTATCAAATCGAATGGCGGCGGTTCGATGAATTTTCGTCCTATTATTTCTACAAAAGAGAACAAGCATATATCCAATAAAGATCCAGTTAGATTTCGTATTACTTACCTTCGACAAAATGTTGTACAGCAGGCACAACTTTATCAGGTCGTATACACCGTAAGACTAACATTCTTTCAAACGTGGAAAGTTTATCATAAGGTTCGGGAAAAGTTAATTTATCAGGTTCCTTGTCATCAAATATAAATTTCCAAGCGTCGATGTTTTTTACAAAAACATCTTTGATTCCCTGTCAATATAAAAACCATTTGATTCAAATGAATATAGAAAATAAAAAGTACGCGATAAGTTTCCATACTTTAGCCTTATTTTGATCGGAAAAGAAGTAAGAAAAAAAGTGGATTCTCTTACCAAAAAACCCGTAACTTCGTTCAAGCGACACAGTTCATCCCAGGACTTTGTAGGAAGCCATTGGGTAGGATTTTCGAAAGGGTTCTCAAGACCGACACCGCCTGTTAGCAGAAACATCCATTGTGCCATCGATATCTCTCCTTTCTTGTTCAACAGATTTACCACCAAAAGTAAGGAAAAAAGAAGCTTATCTTTCTCAAACAACGACCGACATATGTTCACGTAAAGCGAACGAGTGAAAAACTTAGTAAGATCTTGCAATCGTTGTCCTATATCGTCGACTACTGGTGTATTATCGATAGTATTTTTAAAAAGATTGACGAACCAAACCAGAGAATATTGATACATCGGATCGATATTCGCCAAAATCGCTGGAAACGCAAATGTTTGATAAAGTTAGTTTGACGATATGAGAACGTTCGAAGAAATCTTACCGATCGTAAAGAAGAGAACGGTACTATGAACGGCAATAGGCGCGTATTGCGATCTTGCCGCATCGATAGACTTTTCGGTGACTTCGGCAGCCGCTTGTTTAACTTGAATTTCGTCGGCAAGAATTTTCGAAGAACTGAGAATGTGAATCGCTGTTTCATCTTCGAGAATATTCTCCTCGGACGCGGATAACACTTTCAATATTTTGTCTTCTATTTCCTTCAGCATTCTACGCAAAATAATAATAATATATATATTTTCTATAAACGATCGATAACACGTATATAATAATTGCAGCACATTAACTTTCGCGTACTTTTTATTAGCGGCACCCTGAATGATTAATTGATTTTTTTCCGACTCCAAATCTGGTCTCTCTTTCGCAACGACAATACCCAAAAGCTGATCCTCCAATCCAATAGGGGTAATCATGAAATTCAATAAGGTAACTTTGACAATGACTTCGGGTAGATAATGGGGGTTGCGTAATTTCGTGGTGATGTAAAATCTGAAAAATGTATCTGTCGAAAGATTTAATAAACCTACGCGACGGAAGAACGCGAAATAGAAGAATCTAATGGATAGTTTGATCGCTAAAGAATATCGTAAATTTGTAGGTAGATGCAAAAACGTACCGAAAGTTATCGGAATACTCGATAATGGAGTCCCCGACTTTAATGCAAATCGCACCGCCAGATTTAAAAGTTTGCTTCAATAAAAGAGGTTCCAAAGCGGCATCCAATTCTTCCCCAACGTTTTCGAGTAAGACAGGTTGACCGAACGTTATAGCATTCTCGAGAACTCTCATATAATCCAATTGATCCAATCTAATAACGTTAATGTTGGAGGCCTTCTCCATATTCTTCAGCCACTTGTTCGCTTGACTTTGAGGATCGATCATGAGCGGCCATCGTCGAGCATTGGTCACAATTATACCGTTATCGATCGAGAAGAGATCGCTCGGAAGACCAAAAATATTCCACGATCTGATCAAGACTGGATCGCCAAGAACTTGCGTCAATTGATAATCTTGCGCGCAAATAACACGAAGATCCGTACAAATTTGTATCCAATTTTCAATTTGTTTCTGTCGATATTGCATCGTAAATACACCCAAATAGGCTACGATACCGGATCCAATAAGGACGTCACCGGTCAAAGTATAGTAACGTTCTCCCAAGGCTTTAGCGGTGTCAGACCATCTCGTATATTCTCCTCCTAAACCGCCGATCAACTCCTTGGCTCTTCTGAGTTTTTCCTCGCAATCGTGAACTTCGTCGGTCATGGTTTTGTATTCGGCCTCTCTCCTAGCCAAAAGCATTTGCAATTTGTTCAATCTTTCTTGCACCTCTTGCAACTGGTTCCTCTTTAAGTTCAATTGATCCATAGCATCCGTATAGTCGGCTTCCGCTTGAGCCAATGCTTGCTTTTTAGGTGCAACGACTTTAGCAACCTTGTCGTATTCGGACAACGCGAAAACCCATCTGCATAGMCCCTCGCAAGCCGTAGAAACGTGCCTAATTCTTTCAGGATCGAAATCCGGATTTGTCAATATAGTCGTACGTATCTTTGTCATTATTCTTTCCGGTATATTATCTTTATCGAAAAATAAAAGGGATTCTAGGAATTTCATATCCCCGAGAATTCGGAGAGAGGCCTTCCAATAATCGTCTACCATTCCTTCTGGCGTCTGAACTTTTTCTGGCTTAACGTCCTGTAATAGATAGATCGCCAAATGAAGTATTATCTACGTAATTATGAAAATATTAAGGAAATAGTTGCATACCTTTAATATGCAAACAGCCGTCATGACTAGTCTCACGCCAGCTGGTGGACGCTTCATAGATTTAACGATCTGAATATCTTGGGGTGTCAGGGTGTTCAAGGCGGCATTTGCTTCATTTAATATCGGCATAACTTCTTGCAAATCGGCATCGCATTCCGCGCGTATAGCATCTGCCTCCCCTGCAACCACCTGCATTATTCGAAACAACAGACGTGAACGGAAAACCGCATTAAGACGAAAAAAGTCTCAAGTATTTCTTTTGATTTATTAGGAATTTACCAAAGCAGCTTGTTCGTCTTCTTTGACAATTTGCTCCATCGCGCTAACTTCTTCGCTCTCGTTTTGCACGTCGCGAAACATCGCCTCGACATCTTTGGCGGCGATTATCAATTTCGGTTGCAACGCCACCAATATCTCTTGCATCTTTTCTACCTGCCTATGCGTACTGTCCAACTTTTCAAGACCCGCTTCGTATCTTCTCTTACCTTCGAGAACTTCCCTCCTTTTCTTCCCGAGAAGATCTTTGAACGTGTTAATTAATTCGAGATAAGAGGTGGGAGTGACGTAATTATGTCTCTTGGCCTTTTTTAAAAATTCCTTCGATAGATCCTGCGTCGACGTATGAAAGAATTGACACATTTCGATGCAGGCCTCGCGTTCTTCAACGGGCATTTCTATCTCGTTTAAGAATTGAGTAGCCACCGCGAGGAGTGCATCCTCCGGCCAAGGTTGCAGCCAATCGATCGTACAACAGCTGACTAAAGCAGGAAACTTACGAATTCTTATTCGAAAATTGTCACCGATCGGCGACATCGTCACGACCACGTGCAAATGCTCGCGGACAGTTTGTACGAAAAAGTTGAACAGTGCTACGGGACTTCCATCGGTTTGCATCGATTTGTCTCTCTGCCTATCGATTAGTCGCATTTTCTCGCATATCTCCGATTTATCCTCGCCGGTAAAAAGATTCGGGACCTCGCCAGAATTCAACAAATTGCTAACATCTTCCAAAAATGTTTCCTCCTTGATCTGAGTGTCCATAAAAAGAAATACGGTGTGCAAGTCGCTGGCAGCGCTTCTTCTCAAAATATTCTTCAAGTCTTCGTGCCACTCGTGTGGACCGTATTGTTGAGACATCTCCACTTGGAAAAGATCGTAATCCGAGATGTGAGCAGCTAGCCTAGTTAACGATTGCCGACCGGATCCGCCGACCCCAACGAGCATTGCATGACTCCGTGGCTGCATCATTACTCGGCAAATCTTTGAAAGATGTTCTATCGCGAATCTGACGTCAAATATATAATTTCTTACGTAAAATCGATCGCGCGATCCTAACGCACTTTACTTACGTAGTATGAAAAGAATTGAAACAAACCTAAAGAGAACCAGATTCATGGGTGTTCTCGATAACTCGTTATATTCCGATAAATAATCTTCTACCGCGACAGTAAGTTCGTCCAAGTCGACCTCTACGTATAATTTTTTATCGGCTAGTGGATCATGAAAATCGCAATAAACTAAATTCCGTAGATGCAATTCCGTTATCTGACGAGATATACAAACAAAATTAGAAACGTAAGAATAATTTCATTGCTACTTATTTTACCTCGGTTTCAAATCGTTCAAGTAGATCATTGAAAAGATGTTCCATAGTATCTTTCATATGATCGCTCAGTGTTTGTTTCATTTGTGCAATCAGCCATCGAGTGTCGATATCGTCCACAAGACGATCCCCGTAAACGCGAAGAACTTCGTGAACCCACAAACGTTTCATCGCAACCTATGAAACATTGTCAAACATTAATACTAAGAATAAGTATAAAATAAATGATGATGTTCGTTCTCGCTTACGGGGCTAATGATCGAATCGGGGGTGGAAAGTAAGACGCCTTGAATGACTCTTGAAAAATCACGCAGATTGAATAAATAATGAGATTTGGCAGGGGTAGGTAAAAGATGCAGTTTTGTCTTTTTGTAAATATCCAACGTAGCATTAACGATATAATCAATGCAACACTCGAAGAGAGGAGAAAAACCTTGACTTTCCAAATGCCAAGACATAATTTTACTGAAGATCATCACCATGACATCGTCGTCGAACTCGGAAACGGCTAACGTAACGAAGTGTCTCTTGAATCTGGGCGTAACATCGAGACCGGTCGATGGTGGTCCCATCGCGCAAATTAATTGGACATCCATCAGCTTGATCGGTACGATTTCCTTGAAATCGTACCAAGTCCAATGATCCAATAATTGTCTGAGCAATTCGATGGGTGGCTGAGCACCAAATTCTTCTTTTTGCGGCATGGAAAGGTCATCGACGAAAACGACGCAGTGAGAGCCAGGTGTAGCACCGTACACTCCTTTCCTCCTTCTATCTAATTTACTCATAATAATATCCTGCGTCTGATTGGCCGTGGTTTGTGCCGAGAATATTACAAAGAGCGGCTTGAATATCTCCGGATTATTCCTCTTAAGAAGAAAATCCATAATGTATACCGACTTTCCTGTACCAGTCGGACCAACCAGAAGCACAGGCTTATGGTGACATATCAAGCTTCGGAAAAGATGAAAATATCGTATTGTCTCGATGGTAGTAACAATTATTTGATTGACTGGTATATCTTTCGGTATTGCTGGAGCATCTTGCAGATCGTCCGCCCACGGTTTCCACTTTCCTCTACCTTCTTTTACAAACTTATAATCGTAAACCAATCCAATGGTTGGTATAATAGCGATATAGGGCTTTTTTAAATCAGGAATTTCATCGGTTATGGAAAAACGTTCTCTTACGTCATTCGGAAATTCTGAAGTTAACAACGCTCTAAAAAGTATGTTGAACCATTCTCGATAATTCACCATCAGCGTACCTCCCAACGCCCAAATACACGAAAATAAGAAGCAACCCTATTGTAACGTGAAATAATATTTTAATTGTTTTCTCTTTAACGCTCCACACCCCTAACGTGTGTCCAAGTGTAATAGAAAAAGGTATTACCTCCACTTGAGCTCTAACATCCAAATCCGATAACGATTGCATATAATTTTCATCGTAAAAATCGTCCATGAAACAATCAAAGAGATGCATAACGGATCTCGTCAAGTTGGCATCCGGCATATTGATCATTTCCTTATTACGAAAAAGTCATGAAATTATTGATCGATCGTAGAGATAGGAGAAGGAAAATCTATAGAACTAATATCTACTTTAGCCCCGCAACGACGTATCAAGTGTAAGAGAGGTGGACAGAATCTCGTATACATTTCCTCGAGGTGATTTTTAAGGTGCTCGTGGATAGCAGGAGGAAGCGTATTTAGCCAAGAAGTTAACAACGGTTTCCAGCCAAGGCTGATAGGTTCCATGTAGATCATACCGCATCTTGATACGGTAGCTGGAGAGGCAACCTAATTAAATGATAATATTCAATTATATTTGATATATATATATATATTATTTGTGACGTGTATGATCTTAAATACCTCCAAATCCATGGGTTCGTAAATTAAATTTGTGGTGGGTGCCAACTGGATAATTTCCCCCGAGGTGAGACAAAGCTTTTTGTTGTCATCCAATACGGTATTCATATTTTCTATCCAGAGTGCATCTACGGGGCCGTCAAATACCAACCACTTTCTGTTCTCGTTAGTAGAAACCGCAAATGCCCTATAACTAACAGCGAGCACTCCATCGGTCCACTCGTGAGAGGCAGGATCGAACTGACCATAGAGTTGACCCATCGTGATAGCCTTGGGATTGATGACGGTAATCTCCACTCGATGCTCATCCATCAGTCCACGATCCTCGAGCAAAGCCAGGCAATCGGCCAACATCCTGTAAGCGGAAGTCTTTCCGCCAAAGGGTAAACCGACAATCATGAACCCGTGTCTAACGATCATCATCTCGTAGATCTGTTGTATTTTCTCGAGAAAGAAATCCGTACATTGAATATTTGCCGCGCGACAGGCGTCTCTCGTGCATTCATTGATATGCGTGTAATCTGGAGCAGGTAGCACAATGCCAGGAAATAAATCCGAAGCAATTCCCTGAAAGAGTGGGAGATCGTGGACGAGGAACTTTGGTAGATTAACGTCCAAGATACTTCTCAATACTAATATATCTTCCGATTCATCGGGATATCTTAATTTCAAATTTCCAGCAGCAACTAGGACCGACTTGACGGCTCTCATACCGTAATCGTAATGATGCTGACTACTAAGTTGCTCGGAACATAGCTTGTAAGCCGTACTGATTTTAACTGCTAGAGGTCTTCCGTTATAGAAACCATAAGAATAAAGTGTATTTTCAGCTATGAGCGCATAATCCGGTACCATCATAGCAACCGGTCGGAATAGAGCTTTCAAATTATCCGGTAATTCCGATCTTCCGGCGTAGCCAGGATTCATCGTGATGAAAATAGCACAGGTAGGATCTAAAAAGATCTCCGTTCCCTCGAAAACGATCTTTTCGGCCTTGGCATTGATGGCGCGTTGTATCGTTAAGATTTGTTGCGCAACGACCGATAGGACTTCGAGATCTATCCGATTGAACTCGTCGAAGCAAGACCAAGCGCCGCAAGAAGCAATACCTTTGAAAAATTTACCAAGAGCTAAATAATCGAGACCTTCGGAACAATTGAAAACGACGCACTGCTTGGCCATTGCCTTGGCCAGATCCTTCGTAGTCTCGGTTTTTCCAGTTCCTGCCGGTCCTTCGGGTGCCCCACCCAAATGAAGATTTAAAGCGCCAAACAATGTTCGATAACATCGATCGGTCAACGGGGTGATCACTAATCTCGATGTATTTCCAAGATATTCGTAACCATACGGTAGATACGAATTTATCATATAAGCCCACATGTTCTCGGTCTAATCAAAGAGAATCGATACGATATACGCGCGTGTGCCAAACTAAATCATTGTATTTAGATATTTATTCAAATTCTATTTACCAGCCAATAATAACGAAGATGACAAAGCCACCTGAAATCGGTGTTTTTCGTAACTTCTTCCTCGCAGAGATCTTCTAGCACGTCCTTTCCGTGAACGTCCAATGTAACCAAAGCTTCTAATATTCAAAAAACCGATGAAAAAACCGATCAAATTTAGCGAAGAAAAAGAATTATTACTAAAATGACGTGTTGATTACCTAATGAAACACGATTCTGTTTGGATAACTTTCCTCTTATTAGCACAATGATGTCATTTAATTCTGTTTGGCATTGATCGAAATACTCGCGTAGACCGTCAACGCCTCGTAACATCGCCTCTTCGACTTGCTGAGTCCAATACATTTGTCCAACGCAAAGAATCGTTTGTCCAGGCCAATCTAAAACCCATGCCGTTCTTTCCTTTATGAAATAAGCATCTATCGCATCTTTTACGACTTGACGTATGCTTTCTCGCATTATCCTTTCCAATTCGATCAACCATTTCTCAACTTGTCCTCTTGCTGCCATTGTCGATATCACATCTGTCAAAGGAACCTCTTCGTCTTCGGATGATCTCATTGCTAATACTTCGAGTTCCTCGTTGAACTTTAATTTGGCTATCCCTTCAAAACATTTCTTCAAATGTGGCTGAACTCTATATTTCATATGATCAATGTATTGCAATGTTATATATGTCCTATCCTGATCGTGTATTAAAATGCTTTTACCTCGTAGGATCTTTCGTCTCCGAAAGTATTTCTAATAACTCGTCGTTCGACAAGAAGAAAAAGCGTGGAAAGAAAAGTCTTTTCTTCTCCAAATAATCATTGAGACCTTTCTGAATTAATTCGAGAAAAGCAAAACTTTTCTTCAACCTTTCCAACATTTTATCTATTTCGATGACGGTCAATACGCGAGGATCGGCCTCGACAGTTTTCATTATATCACGCCACGTCTTGTCGACCGCTGAAAATCTTCGGCCTTCCTCTGGCATTTGCTGTTGAATATCAGGAGACGAAAAGATCGGTTCCAAATACATCCAGATCGATTGAACTTTCAACCAATGATCTAAAATATCTTCCAATAAATGTAACTTTTGTAACCATTTCCTATTAAGGATAGACCAAATTACAAAATTGTTGAAACAAATGAAAATAAGATAGATAAAAGATCGAACGTACATAATTCGTGATTCGAAGGGTTTAATGTAAGGCGAATTTCTAATAGTAACAGCTTTCATAATATGATCGTCTAGCAATAATTGTATCTCGTCGACGCTAGCAACCACATAGGTGCCAGTGTCTTTATAAAGATTGATAGTAAAAACCAAATCTGACCATTCTTTTTCCATTTTATCCATACCCCTCTCTAAAGTGTTCTCCTTGGTAGCAGCCTCGGATATACCTTCGAGCTGACCAATATATCTGTCCAAATGCATATCGAGTACTTTTCCAAGAGTTAGCTCGTCATCAAATTTAATAGGAATGCCAATAATCGTCGAGATTTGAGCCCAATGACGAGCTTTTATTCCTGGGTTACCGAGTGTCAAGACAACAGGTATACGATCTTTAAAATCTTCTATTTTGTCGAGTACCGTAGCAGCCAAATTTCTAGAGTCAGGCTCTTGAAAACTTTTTTCCAGCTTATAAATCGCTCTGTAAGCTTGGCCTACTTCGTCTTCGATAGTTTCTGGATCGTAACTACCGATCACGGAGTTTATCCATTGCTCGTATTTGCTTAAGTATTCGCAAGCAGTATCGAAGAGTTTCTTAAAAGGTGCCAATCGATCCGCGATTTTTTTACGAAATGGATATTGAGTTATTTCCCAACCAAAAGCTAATTCTTCTTCGTTGAATCTGTCGATCTTTTCCATAGCGGCAATCAATTTATTCTCCAAGTTCTGAGCTTTCTTTTGATATCGGAACACCTCGTCTATGTCTCCCCAATGTTGAACCTCCTCCACCTGTTCGGCGTAAGATTCCAATTCTTCTTCGAATTTTTGATACCTAACTGATGCGAACAAAAAATCACTGAAAATTATTATGGAAAGTGGAACATTTGTAGGACAATTAAAAGTGCACCTTTAAGAGCGTCTTGAAATTCTTTCATCTTATTCTCTACGATCGATCGATTGTCTTCTAGAATCTCAGGAATCTTATGATACCATTGAAAGGCAGTGTTATTTCTATTTATTTCTTCGTCGGTCAATAAGCAATAGTCCGAAAGAAGGAGAATGTGATCCATTATTATGTGCAATTTATTTTCTACATTCGCCAGCGTGACATCGTCGACTTTTCTTACATAAGCAATTAATTCCATTAAAATAGCGGTGTTTGCTGGTTCACTCAAAGCCCGATCTGCTATGCTTTTATATTCTTCTATAACGCTGTAACGAATATTCAAACATTTCCAATTCACATTTTTTTAATATACATTCTAAAGAAATAACTAACACGTATACATAAAACATAGAATACAACGCATACTTTTCCACTATAGTCTGATATATGGTTATTAAATGATTAATTAATGCGACTTTGAAGCCAACAACTTCATTAACTAAGAATTCGATGAATGTCTTGAGAGAAATTTCAAAAAATTCTTCGAATATTGTCTTCTCAATTTCTAATGGTATTTTTATTGCAACTTCATGATAATATTCAATCCTCTCCTTGTAATTTTTTAAGGCATTCGTTTGATCCGCCAGAAAAAGATTGACAATTTTTTCTTCTTGACCGTCGTACAGATGCGTGTACCTACGATATCAAAAAATTCAAACATGTATTTTCCAGAGAAACTTTTATTAACGCGTTAATTACTCTTTCATTTTCATTAATTTCTCTTCCGGAGCAAGCCTGAATTGTTCAATCAAATCGTTAATTTGTTTTTTCAATTGTCCGATCATAGTCTTCGATATTTTCGGCTGAAAACGAAAAATCATTATTTATAATAAATTCTAATATTTTTTAGATTAAATAATTCTCTCTATCTTATACTTTAAGAAATTCTAGTGGTCCACTCCAGTCGAGATAAAGTTGAGTTTCGAGCCTTTCGAAATGTTGCACCGTCTCACAAAGATTGTCTAAAATATTGCAAAGTGTTTCTTTAAATAGTTCGAAAGTCGGTTCGAATATCAAGTTTTTCGATTTGATTACTAAATTTATTTTAAAACCAGGATTGTAAGGCTGTTGAATAAAAGAAAATGTTAGGATAGTATTTAGTAATAAACGATAGTTGTTTGCATAAACGTTGTTGAAAGTTTAAAGGATGTACTTACCGCGCACGTAACGATGTATTTCATAAAATCCTGAAGGGTTTTCTCGCACACTTCCAACAGTTGAGACTCCATCAACGTTGCAGTGCAATCGAAAAATCTTTTAAAGCGCTTACGTTGCAAAGGACTGGGCACTACATTTTTCCTATTATTCTAAACATAAATTTTTCTACTCATATTTAAATTGGAATAAAAGAATCGTTATACATTTATATTTAGTTGAAGGAGTTTTCGTTATTTTACCGCGAGATATATATCCTGTACACCACCGTACCAAGACTTGTACAGATTGCGTTTTGCCTTAGCGATTTGTCGAAAGATTAAATTTTGAAAATCTATTAAATCCCAACTCTCGTTGTGCGAGGCAATTACTTTGAAGTCGATCAAACGAAATGTTCTAAAAATATATATGTATATATATATGTATATATATAGATCTAGCAACATATTGGAAATAAGAGGAAGCAAATCCATAATTACGTACTCGTAATCGACTATCCATTGTTCTAAAGTCATTCTCATGCATGGATTTATCAAATGTAAGCTCTTTTCCAGAATATACCTGTATCGTTCGATACATTGAGTATCGACTCGAACCACCAGAGTTTCATCCTACAATACAATCATCGTCAGCAATTTTCAACGTTAATGCTTCCCTTGCAATTCCCCTTAAATTTATCCGAAAACCTTGTAATGCGGATCTTCACCATAAGGATCCAACAATGCCGATTCTAATACAGCCCTCTTTATATTACGCGAAAAATCTTCTTCTATTTCGATTAACAATTGATTCGTGTAATCGATAAATTTATCTCGTAATTTGCGCGGTACCAAATTTAATATTTTCTTCAAAACATCCTCTTGAATTCGTGCGATCCGAGTTGTATCGACGCCGTGGTAAATGTAATAATAATAATATCTATTCGTATTATTGTCAATCTGCAAATCCTCTTTCGTTTCCGATAATTCTGGTTTCGTTATTAAGCCGACTATATACCTACGAATAAATAGAGCAAACAATATACTGCGAAAAGAAAATTTATATGGAACAAGGGTGGAAACGAGAACAGTTGATACGAACAATTTTATCAACGTACCTACGAAATTGTTCTTTTTCGGATCGACGCATCGTGTGCGATGATATCTTTCGTAAGTTGATTTTTTCCATTTTTTTCTTTTTAAATTGTGTACAATTGATCAATTCTTTTGGTAAATTAAATAATGGTTCTACTTTGCTATCCATCACTGTAGACGTTTGAAAAAATTCGCCAGACCCTCTCTTTCGCGTTTTTGCATCTTGAATTTCATCGGCTCTTTCAACCGAACATTTACAATCCATTTTGTTCATATTACATTTAGCGCAATAATAATCTCCAATAGTAAATGCAATTATATTTTCATTGTTCGATAAATAACTTAATTTCAAATGTACGTACAATTGATCATTTTAGTTCTGACTTTAAACACTCACTGTATGAGGGCGCTGGATACGCTTTTCAATACTTTTATTACGGGAAAAACACGGTGAGTGTCATAATCTAAATAATATTAATTTATCGTTGTAACAAATTTACAATCCCAAGATAGCTTTTCGCAAATGTTGCATGAACATTTTTTGAAGATTAACTTAATTCTTTACTTCTATTAAAATATTTCTCTTCCTTAAGAATTCGATGTTGAACGTAGGTAGAAGTAACGACTTTAATTGATTTTAGTTTCTAGGCAACGAAAATCATTGATCCGTTATAAAGTCGTTGATTAATTTGTCTTTTAAGGAAATCATGCTTTCATATTTTTATGGTTTCATTGCTTCATTAAACAAATATCTTATAAATTCGTAAATATCTTAGGAGATTTTGTAGGTTAAGTTACTCCAATACAATCTGCTTTTTCTTACATCATTTTATCATGAAAACTTTTTTTATTCGCCAATTTCAGATGATTTCTAGTCGCATCATTCGATTTATTCATACAAACAATTTGCTATGGCAAAGCTCAAACAAATCTCTTCTGGCTAAACTAAGAAAGAAAACTGGATTTACCTTTGCAAATTGTAAAAAAGCATTAGAAGTCAATTCCAATGATATCCAAAAGGTATTATACTCCATAAGAAAGATAAAATATATTAATGCTCGCCGAGCATGACCTTACAACAGAATTTTGTTAGATTTTCCTTATTGTAGGCAGAAGCATGGCTGAAAGAACAAGCTCAACAGCATGGATGGATTCAAGCGGCTAAACTACAGGGTAGAAGTACCACCCAAGGTTTGATCGCAGTGATTGTAGACAAGAATTATGGCGCCCTAGTAGAAATAAACTGTGAAACAGATTTTGTTGCGAGAAACAAAAAATTTCATGGATTGGCAGAAACCGTGCTATCCGCCACATTGAATCATGCTACAACATTGAATAATAATGATGAAGTGGAGAGAACTCTATTGGATACGGAAACTTTGAAAGCATTACCTGCAAAAGATGGAAAAACTTTAGCTGATCATTCAGCTTTAACTATTGGTACCATTGGTGAAAATATAACTTTAAGACGAGCTCTATGTATGCGAGTTCAAGGTGATGCGGTAGTATTTGGAGGTACGCATCCAGCTCCCATGAATCCTATACCTATATCCTTTGGAAGATATGGAGCATTAGTAGCCGTCAAAGGAAAGGAGGATAAAATGATACTTGGCACTCAACTTTGTCAACACATCATTGGTTAGTACATCTGCAGATATTTTATTAAGCGAATCAAATAAATACCATACTAAATATATATTATTTTTCATCTCTCACAGGTATGAATCCGTTAAAAGTAGGAGATAATATGGTGGATCAACCAATTATGGATGTGGATAATGAAACCTGTTTAATATATCAGGAATTTTTATTGGATCCTAGTCTTTCTGTACAACAAGTTCTAAAGGATGCTCAAGTAGAAGTCTTAGATTTTGCACGATTCGAACTAGGTGAAAAACTGAATGGAGATAAGCTCCTAGATTCCGTTGAAGTTTGTGGTTGAAATAAAAAACTAGTCTTTCAATATAAACTCTCAATATAAATTTTATCATAATTTACAAATATGTTCGCAACCGATCGCTGTTTTTCCTACAATTCATTATATTGCTTTTTAATTGAATTGTACATGTATATAAAACCATTACATTATGAAAACTCTTACAAAATGCTTCATGTTTTTAAGTAGAACAAATATAAATGTTATAAAAGTATACTAAATACGTACTACAATTTATTAATAAAGAAGTTATTAATTAAATCATCAAGTTCGTTATTTCTGAGAGTATAAATGAATATCAAAATATATATATTATGCATTTTTTATCGAGTAATTCTTATAGAAAAGAAATAGTAAAAATGTAAATTGTTATTTCATTGAAATCTTTTAAAATTCTGCTCCGATGAACACAAGTACATAGAATATTCTGGCTGTTGTTGATTATTCTTACGGTGTCCAGACTTCCAAAGCCACATTCGTGAGTCTTTTTTCCAATAACGAGCGATATCTTTTATTGTATGTTTTGTACCCTGTTATCACACAAATTATATCTTTATAATTTACCAATTGCAAATAAAATAAATAAGTTTTAATATATATAACGATAAATTGCCTGAAACTTTAAAATTTCAGGACCCTGAATGACCAAACGAAAAGATGGGATTTCTCTAGTTTGAAAACCTGATATCATGTTTTCAGCTTCTTGATCGTATAGTGGATCAGTCTGTACGTCGCATGTTCTTTGAACTAATTCCGTACTATCTTTCGAATTTACATCCAAATCCAATTGTTCGAAAGCAGAAGTAAAGCTTCTGGATTCTTTACAATTAATGAAGCTGACCTATCATCGTAAGAAACAACTTATCTGAATCTATAAGTAAAATATACAATAAAGATTTCTTATTGATCGAACCTGTACTTCTTTGGAAGAAACGCTGCGACCAATATTACCGGCCAAACTCACTTCACTTTTTGTTCTAGATAAAAAATTACTCTCATTCCATGAAAAGGTATCTACTGTTCTCGAAGAAAAAAATATATTATATTAAAAATTGTCAGAAAAGAAGGAGAAACGTTTACGTATCGTAATACCATCGAAGTAGTCGTTTTCTTCGTTTTGGGAGTCCATTGAACCCTACTTCGTATGCCGTTCGATTGTAATTAAATCAATCCGCGGCTACATTTCTTTTTATCCAAATCTTTTATTTTCTTAATAAATCTTTTTTTTTATCAGATTATTATTACATAAAATAATTCTACGGTTTTCTTCTTTTTTATATTTAATTTTCAATCGAATTTTTATTCGATTAATCGGACGAATAAAATCGCTTAAAGATCTTTCCTTTGTTTTAAAAAAGCAAATTAAATTAAAAATGCCATTCTGTATATTTACCTGAAACCAACAAAATAATGGTGAACGTCTTTTTAAAACTTATTTAATTAATTAAGAATAAATTCGTACACGGAGAGCGAATACATAACGATCTTGTCACCATGGCGTTTAAAATAAAAATAAAATGTATCAAAATAAGATGTACAAGTCACCTGTCTCCTTCCAATTACCTTAGACAGTTGTTCGAAATGTTTTTCTACGTATACTTGATGAAGGGGAAATTTTTTGAATTTACCAAGCGATATAAACATAGCCAATGCTTGTCTCGTTTCATTTTCACCTCCACCATTACCTAACTCTCTCCTTTTCTCTCTCTATATATATATATTCAATCATATGCACTCGTAAAAATAAAAAATAAATACGGATGTTATAAAAAAAGTACCTACAAATAAAAAACAAAGAATAAATCTATTGAAAGCTTCTTGTTTACTAATTTATATTTTATATTTTTAAAGATAAATGTTTTATTTGTTTCTTATTATTTAAACGATTAATAAGAATATGTATGTGCACTTATTTATATTGGTTCTTCGTCTCGCTTGAAAATTTTCGGTACTCTCCTAAAAGAAATATCACTTAAAAAAAAATGTTTAGCCCCAAACGATAGGCAACCCGTTCGTACAATTCTGCGTGCAAAAAAAATTGTCTACGTTCAAGTACTGTGAAGATTTTTTAATAGTTAATTAACATATCAAAAAAGGAATTACACAAATGTTTATCATGTAAATAGAAATAAAGATGACATGTGCGGTAATTTGGATTCATCGTTAAAATAGATTTTGAACAGGACTTTGAATGATATATGAGGCATGTAAAGTCGGACAGGTACGTTCAGGTGAGTTGAGATAGAATGAATGCACCGACGCCGTCTTTGGCTATGCCCGCATGGTTCTGCGTGTATTCACTAAGTTAGCCGTGTGTTACGGCTGGCCGATCAGAGTTCCGGACCCACTTCCGGACGAGTCCGTACCGGTATGGTTTCTTTTTTAGCCACGAATGTGCAGTATCGGTTGTTCCGCGTACAGTTAAGCGTCGTTTCGCGTGAGAGCTATCGCGTTGTTATCCTTCTTCGCGCCTTTTACCAACCATCCTTCGATTCTACCGATTTTTCAACCAAAAATAATATTAAATGGCTCTGCCTTAACATTGAATAGCTCGAGGTTGCGACGATAAAGGAAGAAAAATGGATTTTTCTAACAACAAATGGGTGAGTTCAAAAAATAGATCGATGATTTATTTACAAAACATTTGAATTTCTATCTCTTTCCCTTATCGATTATACTTATTCCTATATTAACATTTTTTAATTTAATAGTGCAGCATATTGAAACAAAAAAAAATCTACAATAAGGAAGAAATCGCAACAGAAACCGAACATTTCCTGGAGCACGTTATATTCTACATTCGAACAAACGATCTTTGTTAATCTTGACAATGGTTTCTCTCTCGTATGGTGTTAAATATTTTTCGTGCTAAGGGAAAAAACGAAAATGCCTTTTTACCTGTAAAAAAAATAAAGAAAACTAGAAAATGATCTTTTCACCGAGGAAACGCGTTGTTGGGAAAGAAAGGATGCGCGTTAACTTCGTCGAGCTTGAGAGAGCACGAATTTCTATGTTTTCGCAAAACTCGATACCAAAGAAAACGAAGACAACGTTAACGATGTAGTAGGCGTAGGTAGAGTACGTAGAACATGGCCGTTATTTCCTGCCAGAAATGATTGTCGCGAATGATGCTTAAACAGCAGTTATTTAAGTGCATAAGTGAATGCACTTATATATGCACCTACATATGCATGTATGCATATATAATAGTACATATTAGAAAATATAACGTTACAAATGAATGTTACGTTGAGCAGCTATTCGAGTCGCGTGTTAATTTAATTTCTATCTCGAAACCTTTCTGATTTTATTTCGAGCAACTGTGCCTGCAGGATGAAAAAAGGTAAAAATGTCGGTCGCGCACAAAACGCAATAATAATACTAAAAAGTTTACACAAGCGGATGTAAGGTACAATGCATGTGTGTCAAGCATTCGCAGCGGCACGCTCATCGAGCATCTGTCGTGTTAACAAAGATCAGAATCATATAAGACGTTAATTAAAGAATGACGACAAGATTTCGAAAGTTCCAACTAACGACGTTCATTATTTAACACTACGAATTAAAGTAAATAAATAGTAGTATCAGTAACAATCTTTAATATCTAAACTGATTTATTTGTTAAGTAAAATAACGCGACGCTAATTATATTCATTAACTACAGTTGTATAAGATGCACGTGGTCTCTCGCGGAAATACATGTCACACGTCGGTATGAATGAAAACTTTGAATACGCAAGAAGGCAAAGGCGACGACCGAGCTGTGCGTGTGATTGCGAGTACCAATTTGTGCTTGACTGGCGTCAACTGGAGAATGCGTTCGATGTCATTTACATTATGTAAATTGCACCGATATACGGAGTGTTTCTACAAGATTTTACCAAACTTCGAAAACTAAAGGAAGGCCTGAACATGCAATCGGAATAGAAAAGCGACATTTTACAATCTTATTAAACGTGTCTAAATTGCATTGATAAATTGACATTATAAATTTAAATTGTTAATATAAAAATGTAAGAGATTTGTACGAATGACTAATTCGAATTTATATTTATTTTTTGAAATGTTTTCATGTAACCATTTTGATGTCTTCAATTTGGTTAAAAACTTTAGAAACATCCTGTATATAGATGCAGATTTATATGAATAATAATGTTAGAAAAGGTAGGAAGAAATACGCGACAGGACATATAATCACGTACGAACGCGATACGAATTACCTGAGAACGTACTCCTTCGATCATAGTTAGAGAATCTTACTCTCGTGAGTTCTCATACCCCAGTTTTCTGACAGCGATCGTACTATACGGATACCGGTCGGCGTTTCTCCGTGTTGTGAAACGCACGAATATTCAACGGGACTGAGCAAAAGTATTATCAGATCGTAGGGAAAGATTCGTAAAAAGTTAATAATAAACAAAAAATATAATCGTTTTTAGTGTCATTTAAGTCTCCAAACGAATGTTGAATTTCGAAACAAATGTTTTCGATTAAAAAATTCGAAGATTTATTTAAAAAGAAAAAAGGAAAAGCTCGAGTCGTTAATCCAAAATGATTTAAAAGATCTAAGCGCGTAGATTAGCAATATTTTAATAACAAATTAACTACGCTCAACGAAATAGTTCGTTTATTCGAGATAAAGTCGATTTATTGCGATAGGAAAGGTTCGAACTTTTCGAATAAAATCTTATTGCTGATAACGATAGGCAAAACATGAAATGTTTGGTACCGACTGTTGACCAGTTAATAGCACGCTTTTCTAAACATACCGTTACTAATTATAGTCAGGGTGAACAATTCAACTTCCTGTACTTTGGTTCGCTTCGTTGTACCGCTTAAAAAATCACCTGTTTCCTCTTCATTCGACTCATTCCACGGAGAACTTTCACCCGTAATCCTTGTTAAATATGTCGAATGTCATTGTGGTTTATCCGGATTTATCAAATATGTCCACGCAGGATGACAGAAGTTGCCGTTCCGATGATTCGACTGGTGATATCTTCAAGAACGTACCAAAGGATAGCAGTACTTTTCGGGTCTGGAAAATTGAGGTATTTTTACTCTATAGTATAATTCAAGTTATTTAATAAATTAACGATCTTTCCTTTGCCAAATCTATAAAATATGAATTTGATAATGCAACATTATTTTGCCCGCAGCAAGGTTTACGTACAACACCTGTTTCAACAAATAACATAGGATTTTTCTTAACGGAATCAGCCTATATTATTTATGCGATATCTTCCAAAGATGGTTCCCTGCCGTATCCTGGAATGCCGGTAATTATATAAAATAATTGTACAACTTATTATTAATAATGTGTACGACCTAGAAAAGCATTTAAACAAAATATCGCGTGGATTCTAATCGTTTCGAATAGATGAAAGATTTAAAAGGAGCACCTTCGATACGTGCCATCCATTTCTGGATTGGATCCAGCTGCGATGCTACGGTTTCCGGTGCTGCAGCCTTACGTGCAGCCGAATTAGATTCTCAGGTTTCAGCAACGATTCTATCGAGAGAAGCTCAAGAACGCGAGAGTCCTAGATTTCTTTCCTATTTCCGTCAAAGGCTTGTCATAGAGTATCTTCATTTCGAAACACCGACCTGTACGATGCACAGAGTTTCAGGAATCACTATTCCGATGTTGATCGAACTCGATAAGGTTCGTTGGGAAAACTTTACGTCCAAAGATGTGATCCTAATTGATATTCATTCAAGGTATTTATATTATATTTTACGCTATTGCAATATCTACATCATATACAATACTATTTTATCGAACAGAGGTACAGTATTTCTGTGGCTCGGATCATCCGCCGATCCGTTACACAAGAGACACGCGGCAGCGATTTTAGAAGAAAGGAAAGAGAATAACAACGACGTTCGAGTGATTATCGTCGAGGATGGCTACGAACAAACTCTTCCAAAAGGAGACAGGCAACTTTTCGCTACTGTGCTAGACCCTTCAAATAGAACAGTGGCATCGGATCGTCCTTATCGAATCAGCATACCTACTCCTGTCAAACTCTATAAATGTTGCGAACAGTCTGGAAAATATAAGGTCGCAGAATTAAAATCCGGCCCAATTTTACGTAGCGATCTCACTTCTGGATCCGTGTATTTGATAGATCGTGGAGAGACTGGTGTTTGGGCCTGGGTTGGACGAGAAGTTAACACTCGAGAAAAACTAGAAGCTGTCCGAAATGCTCGTGGTTTCGTAAAAAAGAAAAATTATAGCGCGACAATACCAGTTGCTAGAGCTATCCAAGGTCACGAGCCAATAGAAATGAAAGCCCTGTTGAGGGGATGGGAACCTTCCAAGATGAGACCATTGACATTGCCACCTACTTTTGAACCCGATTATATGAACGAAAGACCTAGGATGGCAGCCGAATGTCAATTGATAGATGATGGTTCCGGTGAGAAAACTCTATGGAAAGTAAATCAAAAGGAGGGTATGATCGAAGTTGTTGACAAAGGAATTTACTATGCTGAGGCTTGTTACGTTATGAGATACAAATATGGCCAGGGTCGTAGATGCAGAACGATAGTGCGTATCTCCCTTCATTTCCTTTTCCAACTTATGGAAGATCTTACTTAAAAAATATATAATATTATATTTTCTAAAGGTATACTGTTGGGAAGGTGTTCATACTATAAAGTTGGACAGAGAAGCTGCTTTGGATGCGGCTTGTCGCATAGCTGAAGAGGAATCTGGTCAACTGATAAAAGCTTCTCAGGGTAGGGAGCCACCACATATGTTACAAATATATAATGGCACATTGAAGATACTTGCAGGACGTCATCGTGATTTTCGTAAGCATTATTAGAAATATTAGCAATGAAGATAGTTCATCAATTTCTACATTTAATTGTTGTCGCTTCAGCGCCAGAAAAATATCTTGTAAGGGTATTTGGATCAACACCGTATACTTCGAAAGCCGTTGAAAGACCCACGAGATCCAGTAGTTTAGATTCCAGTGGAGTCTTTATACTATTCTCGTCCAGCCCAGTTGTCTGGTGTGGTGTCAGAAGCACTGGCGATGCCAGACAAGCTTCTCGACGTCTTGCACCGAAAAATGCACCACTCGTTTTAGAGGGTAAGGAAAGCAACGACTTCTGGGCAGAGCTAGGAGGTAATATATATATATATATATATAGTTTGAAGTTAATAATTATTTTAATTATTTCTATTAATATTCTTACTTTTTATTTTCTTCAAGGTTGTGGAACGTACAGCACAGAGGTTGCTGAAAGTGAGGAGGAACAGGAAAAACATCTCTTTCGATGTCAAACGGAAGGTAATATTTTTGTTGGTGCAGAAATTCTCGGATTTGGACAAAATTCACTTATTCCGGAGGCTACGTGGTTACTAGATGCTGGAAATATGATTTGGATTTGGTTAGGGAAACTATCAATTCCTAAATGTTTAAAACAGTGTGTAGAAGATGCAATGATATTCCTGTACAGCCATCCGGCAGGCAGAGATCGTAATACAACCATTTCTATAATCAAGCAAGGTATACTATATCTTTATTTGTGAATTTAATTTAATATTATATTGATAATGATGAAAGTTGCTTACATTTTTGGAAGGGATGGAGCCACCAACATTCATAGGACTTTTCGAAAATTGGAATCATAACTTACTACGAGATTACAAATCTTTTGAAATGATATGCAATTCTCTACAAGAGAAAGAATTATCTATTAAGATACAAACAAGTGGAAAAGTTGCAACAGAATTTGATAACTTTATTAAATATCCATTGTCGGTATTGAAAAATGATGCTGAAAATTTACCAACTGGTGTCGATGTGGCACGAAAGGAAATGCATCTTACCTTTGATAATTTTATTTCAATATTTAAAATGGAACCTGCCGAATTTGAGAAACTTCCAGCTTGGAAGAGGCAAAGGTTGAAACAATCAGCAGGACTCTTCTAACTGCGAAAATTTGAATTTCCCGCGTGCATATTTTATTACAAATTTATTTAAAAATAAATCTGTTGATTTTAATTTACTATTTAGATTTTAAATATGTATTTTCAAAAATGTTTTCTTAAAATAAAATTAAGAAGCCTACAAAATTCCTCACCTCTCTATACATATATTATATGTGTAAGATTTTATTAATGAAAATTCACAAATTTTATCAACTTAATATTAAATTAAGAACAGGCTCTATCTTCAAGAAGAAGTATCCATCGGTTCAGCTTCCACCACACGAACTACCTTTTCTTCTACGATTATAGGACGTATGGTTTTATCAAGAACCGCAGTAGTTCCCTTTTTATATCTATAAGACGCTTGGCGTTCTCCTTTTACATTGGCAACATCGTAAGGTCGCAAATAATCGACAGATCCTTTACGTATAACACACAAATCTACATTTGATCCAGATGCTAAATCATTAAAAACACCCGCACGAATAGCATCCGCTACCAACTGCTTCGCTTCATCCTCCTATTAAGTACGTTAATGTTTAACATACAAGCAGTTACCAAAAATAAAATGATCTTTCGAATGAGAACAATGAATTACATACTGTCAAATCAGGCTTCCATCTACTTTCAAGTACTCCCATCGCAGCTAATGATCCTGAACCCATACTGGTGAACATATATTTTTCAGTAGATCCATGAGGAAAAATAGCGTATAAATGTGGACCGTCTAAATCAACACCACCTAACACCAAAGCTACACCAATATGGCCTTGGTGACGAAATAAAAAATGCTTGAACATTGAATTAGCAGTACAAACAGGTACAATACGGCCTGTGTTTAGACGATGTAATTCTAATTGACTAGCAACTATTTGACAAGTCATCTCATTATCAGCCGCTGTTCCTGCTCCGCAACAGCTGTATAAATACAAAAATAACTGTATTATATCTTAACCTACTTAAAATTGGAGATGTATATTCTACTCTAATTTACACTTGACAATTTGAATAATGCTTATAATCATTTACTTACTACATGTTCTGAGCAAGAAAGTGAATTTTTCTTGAATTTTTATCTGCTACAATAGAATCTTCGGTGGCACGTGTATCACCTCCAAGAACCACGCCATCCTTAAAAACTACTCCTGCAATAGTGGTACCTGTCTTGACAGCAGTCGGAGCCTTAAATCCTTTCTTCAGTAAAAACTTGTTTCTGTAATAAAAATTTGTTGATGTTGCAAATTAAATTTATTCGATATAAAAGTAAAACTAAACAAATGCATATGAAAGTATTCTTATGTATTAGAAAATGCGATAAGTTTAAAATGACACAGCAATATTATTCAAAGTGAGGTTACGTAGGCTACGAAATAAACACTTATAGGAAATTTTGCCAACAATTTCTTAATTAAAATATTATTTTCTTACCGTTCGCAGAGATCGAAAGAAAATCCTGGAAGAGGAATTTCTGGTGCAAGAACAGTTGACATGATTATTTGATACTTTAAAACGAGCTTGACTTAACTTTACTTTAATCAAACAATAACGAAGCAAATTTCGGAATAGAGACTTCAATTCGTGTCGATAGGGTCGCTAGTGTCGTTATCATCATTTTAAGGAAATAATGAATGTTTTTATTGATTATATAAAATTGATTCCTATTTGATATAAATAATAAATATTATTATTACTATTTTAAAAAGTGTCTTATAACTAGCGCACATTAAATAAAGCCTATATTAAAACCATTTTATTTTCACAAGTATCTATCAAATATAACGATGCCATGATTCATTAACACACATGTTAAAAAACGCGTTTTTTACGATAAATCAACTAATGTACATGAAAAAAGTGTTCGTTAAAAATTAAATACATTAATTACCTTTAAATAATAAAAAAGATACTTTCCTCAAATTCTGACCTAATAAAAAAATACGATGTAATGTCCACTATGAGGACAGTTGAACCATTCCCGCCACACAAACGCATGCGCCATCTTAAATACTTTATAATAATAATAATACATCAATAAAAATATTAATTAAATATATTATTTTAATAGGAATCATAAGAAATGCATAAATACAAATTATATAAAATATTCATTTTTCAGAATATTTACTTACAAAATGTATTATGATAAATAAATTTAAATACAATTTAATAATTATTTATCTTTTTTTTGACGTGCGTAATAGCAAGTGGTAGATACGTACATGTGGCGGGAGCTTACAATTCGTATATTGTAATTATGCATTGTAAATAGCACATACAGAAATTTACTTTAATTAATTATTTAATTCTAATATATATTTGAAAGAGAACCGATCCTTACTAATCGAAATAAAAATGAGCATCGGGAAACAACACTGGTAATATTTAAAGTCGACCGCATCCTCGTACATGTTTACATCTCGAACCTTTAACTCGTTATGTCTCTTACCTAAAAATTTAAATATAAACTAATTCGTAATTAATTTTGAAAGATATAGAATCATTTTTCTTTCATATTTTGATCTGTAAACATGTCAACTCTTTCCGTTTTTATTCTTAAACTTAAATAATTAATACTTTCAATTATTTTACATTTATTTATATAATGTATATTTATTACTGTGGTATAATTAACTAATATTTAAACAATGCTGACCTCTCTGCATTTTGATTACAAAATTTTTATATTTACATTAATACAATTAAAATCTCATAGAATTTTGATAACCGTTAATTACATTTGAAATAATGATCAACATTTAATTTAATTTATATCTTCTTATTTTACCAAGAATATATATGTAATATAACATTATAATTCTTTATATGTAGGTTGGTTTATATTCTTAAAAAGAATGGTATGTTGGAATGTTTTCATTATTGCATATCTATGCTTATATGCGTGTAAAACTTATTGTTACCAACATTGCATATACTTTCATATAGATATCGTATATTAAAATGAATTTCAATTTATTATTATTTAAATTTTTATATGAAAAATGAAGCGCAATTACGATTCGATGTTAGAAATCATCTAGTTTCGCCAACTCGGTCTCTAGGAATCAATCTTAGTTCAGATCCATGTTTAAGAAACACGTTACCTATAATTACAAATTTATAATCAGAAGGCGCATCCCATTGGAAAATTTTCATTGTTCTTTTTAAATACTTGCCTGCAGTTTGTTGCGGATTAATACCAATTCCGTCATCAGTTATAATAGCTGATGTTGCTGCTGTTACTTTAAATTCTTCAGCAGCATATTTCAATACAGCAGTAAATGGTGCAGTTTCTGGTACACTCAGTCTGGAAGCGTAAATATAGCTCTATAATACAAAGTAATTGTAAGATGTTGGTTAGATCGAATACTTGCTATGTATAAATTAAATACACACTTTTATTTTGTACATTTTATTAATAATGTACAATTAAGAGTAAATATAAATGTACGAGAATATATTATAAAACCCAAAGATATTTCTTATAAATTAATATTTACTATTATATCTAAGTAATACATATTACTTGTACGCATCATTGTTGTGAAATATCTTTATCAATGCTATACCATATTGTATTATTTGCTTGCATCTTAGCCAGCTGTAGTCTATCATATACCATCTTTCGAACAACATCGGGACCATTTAATAATTGATATATAATTTTAAGTAAATTATTATAATTAAATGTTGAATTTAATATCCATTCATTATTTACATGTGACATATTTCGTCCAAAGTAAAATATTGCGTCAACAAGATTGATACAAAATTCATGACTTTCATTTAAAAGCCGTAGAAAAAATTTCTCTTCGATATCAAATAAAGCCAAACAAAACGTTACATCATTTTCAATGACTTTGCATGCCAAACATTTCATAAATAACATTTTTACTTTGCTTTCATTATGTAAATTTATAATAAGAGAGATAATCCTGGAAAGATGACCATCTTCCAATATTTTAGTTATTTTCTCTGAAACCTTAATCTGCTGACCATTCTCAATATCGTGTTCCCATGACATAATCAAAGCTTCATCTTCTACTTTAGACATGGACAGATCTAAATCTTCTAAAGATTCTAATATAATATTTGTGCACATAGAACTCCTGAGTGTAGACAGTAAAAACGTATTAAATCTATCTATCCCAAAAGATTGAACGTACAATTTCAAAAAGTCATCAACAATTGCGGTAGGAATGGAAATGTCTTTCATGTATATTTCTAATAATTTATCACAAGCACACTTCAGATCACTGCACTTATATATTCTAGTTCTTTTTTCTTTAAGCCAATGTTGGCGAAGATAATTTTCCAATACATCTTCCTTTTTTTCATTATATGCTTTAGTTACTGTTGCTTCAACAAATGCAGCACATTCAAAAGTTTTAATTACAGTTTCTTTTGTAATATGTGTATTTATAAGTGGATTTACCAATAACTCAATAAATATGTCAAATATATGCAATATTTGAGAAAAATAGGATTCTGACATATTGGTAGTAATTGTAAATTTGTCTTCTAGTTACCGCTCTTCTGAATATAAGCAATTACAATATGTAACATTACTTACACTTTAAATGGTAGTTTGGGATCCGAAGTTAAAGTTATTTTAAAAGTGACTTTGGATCTGTAAAAAAGTGCATTTTATTAATAAAATATTTTATATATTTTGAAAAATATAAATAAAAATCAATAATTTGGCATACTGAACATATGTTACAAGATAAGTGTATGATGATAATATATATTATAGCACATTATTTTACAAATTTGAAAAAGATTATAAGGATATAATAAATAATGGTACTTACGCCATAGTGCGTTAGTAAAGAACCCTTTTAATATTGCAGTAGATGACGATCTTTTAACGTTAGTCAACGTAACCTCAACAGGCAGATATTTTTCACTTCCACTTTGGACTCTCTCGTAACGGAATTTAAAAATTCTACAGAGCCGATCTATAAGTATACAAGATCTATGGTTGTGCCAAATACGATTGATTTCACGTGTTTCGAATGGATGAAATGATTAGTCATTTGTTCTTTCAAGTATAATTTAAGAATAATTCAAATGTTAGATTTGGAGATAATGAAAAACCAACCTACAATTATATCATAGCAAACACTCCTCCAATAATGTCAACGTATCATCTGCTGTCGTGGGTAAATAAATTACTTATTTTTAAATTAAATATCAAATTATACCTGTTTCAAGAAGGACAGAACAAAGTATGATGTATGTATGTATGTATATGTATAGGTGGATGTACATACAATAAGAGAGGTTGATTCTGAGATCACAAAATAAGATAAAAAATGAGCTACATTGAGTATGTTGAATGGTATTTATAAATATACTTAGTAGGATATCATTAAAATCTCATATAATATCAATCTTTATAATTCATTATATTTTTTCAAATTTTGTATTGTACATCCTGTAAAAATACACATATTCGTACGCGCATAGTGTCCTCTACGCGGTAAATTTGAATGTTGAATGTTAAGAAAATGTAATAAAAACTTCAAAAAGCATTTTTATATTGTTATTAATTTCTTTCTCTTTTAGGGTGCTAATTCTCACGGACAATTAGGACATGGTATGAAATCGGAACAATGTATCCTTCCACAAGAAATCGATTTATCATCGTATTCTTTTAAAGCAGAGGATATTCAAAAGATCGTTGGCGGTGCTGGGCATTCGTTGATTTTAAATAAAAATGGACACGTTTATTCCTGCGGATGGAATAACAAAGGACAATTAGGTCAGCCTGAAAAGGAAGATAAATTAAATTTCGAGAGAATACGCGGAATATTAGAAAATGAAATCATTATTGATATCGCTTGTGGGTGGGATTCTTCCGCAGCATTGACAAATCAAGGCAAATTATATATGTGGGGTTCAAATAATTTTGGACAATTAGGAATTGATCCTTTTACGCTCCGTCATTCTTATGAACCTATTGAAACGATGCCTTGCGAAAAAATTAAGCGAGTTGCAATGGGTTTAAGACACACTGCTGTAATAACCCAAGACCGTCGAATCTTTGTATGCGGTGCAGCTGGCAAAGGACAATTAGGTCTTAAAAATGATTCGAATGATAATATAGACAAGAGAAGCAAACATAACTTTTATCCTTTTACTCTTAGTAAGAAGAATTTTCAACTTTAAAATATTAATGATGATGTTCATAAAACAGTAAAAAGAACAGAGTAATAGAATGGAATTATATTAAAAGTTTCAGAATTGAAAAATGTAACGGATGTTTCATGCGGGCAACATCATACTGTGGTAGCCACAGATAAAGCAGAAATATATGTCTTTGGTGCAAATAATTATGGACAATTGGGTATTGATAATGAACTTTTTTCAACTATTTCTTCACCAACAAAATTAACTAGTGTACATTTTAATTTGGCAATTGAGATGCATACAGGATGGACGCATACAATTATTCTGACTGGTATCTATTATCTAGTAGCCGAACAAGATTGATTAAGCATAAAAATCGTATTGACACTTAGTCTTTATTCTTCATATTGTTGCAGATAATAAGCTCTTTGCTTGGGGCAGAAATACCTATGGTCAATTAGGGAAAGAAAGAACTATACCTTGGAAGGCAGATCTAATAGAAAATATACCTAAAATATATCAACTTTCGATTGGTTCACAGCATAATATAGCTCTTACCGGTAATTAAAAATATATACCATTTTATTTGACATAAAATTGACTTTGATATTTTATATAGATGAAAAAACTGTATTGTGCTGGGGTTGGAACGAGCACGGAAATTGTGGAACTGGGGACATTAACGATGTTCTATTACCAAAACCCGTTTCATTACCATCAAATTCAGAAGGAATCTTAATTGGAACTGGCGCAGGACATTCATTCGCTGTAATAAGGATAAAAAGTTGATATTCATGTTATTATGGCGATTTACGTATATATACATGTGCACGCAACGCGTGATTATGTATATTGTTTTGAAAATAACACTCGTTAAAAAATAAATGTTGTTTATTTATATTTAATAGAAAGTATAGTTATAAAAAAATATAACAGTGAAAGAAGAAATAGAACAAAGTATATAAATATTTCATGTAGTTAGATCGAAGGTAGCGTAGAAGAGTGGCGCGAACACAGCTGCTAGAATGTATCACCTGTCAGTAAACAACTGTCACTAACTGCATACGGACGAATGAAATAAGTATTTTACGTAGCGTCAAGGAATTACCTAAAAACAAGACGTTTCGAAGGTAGTTCAAAGTGCATTTGAAGAAAAATGTTGCGCGCAAGATCTCATAGTAGCATTTGGTACAATTTTTTTCTTAATTTTTAATTTTTTTCAACGTTTTTATTCGCATATTTCAGTCGATCTTAACAACATACTCGTATAATTATTTTCTATAATTCGATAGCGAACAGGAAGCAAAATTCGTGAACGATCGAATAGCAGGCGTTGAAAAACATTTCTCCGAATTGTGTGCGATATTCGCGGCGTTTATCAGAAAAGCAGCAAGGTTCGTATATACTCATGTAAAAGCATTAAAAGATATCGATTATTTTAGTCGTGCTTTGTGTCACGCCACCTTGTCATTATTACACGTATACACTATACATATACAAACTTCATTTTAGATTGCGAGACAAAAACGACGAAGTTGCAAAAACGATCCATACTTATGCTGAATCAGAATTAATAAATCGATCGTTAAATCACGGCCTTCTAAATTTGTCCGCCACATTATCCGCTATAGGTGATTACAGGTATATTATTCCGTACTATCTAATCTTATATTAATAATGTTTCAAGACTTGAAACAATAAAAGAAGATAATTCTTCTTAGGGATGCTCAAGTTCAAAGGCTAGATGCAAAAGTAGTAGCACCATTATCTCAGTATGCAACGATTTGCAAACACGCGCGCGATGACGTTAAAAATACTTTCGCAGCACGCGATAAGGAGCTTACAAAGAGAAAACAACTGGATAGAATTAGAGAAAAAAATCCAAGAAATCGACAGATGATCGTATCCTTTTTCTAACCCGTACTATTTCCTTTTAAATGTGTGTCGATCCGAGTCCTTAGAAACGTTATTAGTCGCAAGCGGAATCGGAATTGATGAAAGCAGCTGTCGAGGTTTCCAGGGTGATTAAAGGTTTGGAAGAACAAATCGATTCTTTCGAACGACGAAAATTACACGATCTAAAGAACATACTATTGGATTTTGTTACGATCGAAATGAGTTTTCATACGAAAGCTATTGAACTTCTTACTAAGGCGTATCAGGACATTGCTGACATAAACGAGACTAAAGATCTTGAAGTAAGATCAACGAATATTTGTAGATTTGATTATTCTCGAATATATACTAGCGATATTGTTTAACGTTTCTCCTGCACAGGACTTTCAAAGTGCTCGAGGAGATATGAATGGGGTAACATTGTTAGCAATTATCGCTTATACATATATAAACATATGTATATTTTTACGATCGCTTTTGTTCTCTATGTGAAATAAAATTTTTCTTTTCGTATATACAAGAATAAAATACAATATTTCAGGAATTTCGAGAAACTATGCGCGTACCAGATTCTATTACAAGATTGGATACTGTTCGAAGAACGTCTTTTCGACAAGCTTATTCACTTTCAAACTTGGCCAGTCGATTTACATCCTCTCCTATGATTCCGCAAAAGTCTCTTCGTGATCGAACAACAGAACTAGCGGTACGTAAATAAAAGTTCCTTGAGATTACACATTAGTCCTTGTAAATAATTAATTTCATTTCTGAAGGACTCGCTGAAAACCGGTTTTACCAATTCTTCCGAATCCATACAAGTGGAAGAATATGGAAACAGTTCGGAAGAAACCGATTCCGAATCGTTTCAAGAAAAACCACCAGTGAGAACTAGACACAAATCTATGTAAGCTTTCACTCATCTTTCTAATTGTTTTTATGTACTTTTTTTAGATACAAATACTAAAGAATTCAAAAAATAAGATACGAAAAAAAATTATACTCAAGGCAGTACCCCCCTTTCCTGCATACCAAAAATCCTTGACATCCCCATTAAAGTATATACTATCTTCAAACGTTGTTAAGAAGCATTAAATTCTGCTTAATTAATATTTTATGTTTCTTTTGCTATGTGGTAGCCGTATAGATGTACATAATGGCGAATAACATTCTAATAAACTTTTAGATTTAATATTTATTATATTAAGTTTTAAAAGGAAAATGTATGAAAGAATTTGCCTGACAATTGGCCTTACGAATTATCGTAGCAGTACTAACGTATGTTATAAAAATTCATCCGCATAAAAAGAAAGTGCAAGTTTATTCGTATTGAAATAAATGAATATAAATAAATATATGTATAATTTGATAATTACATAAATGATATTATTTTGTGACGAAAAATGTCTCTTCATTTTTTGTATAAATGCATAGCATATTATTTTTCACCTCCTTCAACTCCAGCTTGCGTCATGAGATCTGCTATATTTTTCTCCAAATCGTCTATCCTATTTCCCATTTCATCTAGTAAATTTTATTAAGGATATCTTATAAAGAAATATAAAAGATTAGATTACAAACGTTCAAACAAAAAAATAACATATTATGATGAATATTTTCCACTCGTCAATACTGTGACGCATACTTAATGCTTTAAAGTGTTTATTTTATGACACATAAAAAAACAAAAACGCATAAGTATTATCAGAGAATTTCGAAATTTGAATATGGCGCGTTGATCTGCGATACGTGTGCGCTTTTCGTTGAAAGTTAGTGAGGTTACATCGTGAAAAAGGAAAAAAATATACAAAGACAACTTATAAAAGGATATTTCTTCCGGTGATTTGATCAGATATCGATTGAAATTTATCTTGCATATTTTGCAGCAAAGTCTGGACCTAAAAAGAAGAATGTCTACATTTTGCCGATCATCGTTTAGTCATTCTAAAATTCAGAGATTCAAAAGATAAACTTACATATTGCGTTAATTCTTGCATATTTTTTGGATCAGCACTATTGCCCATGCCATAAGCATCAACATCGTCTGTTTTATTATGTTCTTGCTTTACGTCTGCCATTCTTGGTTAATTATGAAATATAAATACCACTGAAGCGATAAGACGATGTCTGACGCAACCCAACTATTATTCTTGACAGTTCCACACAAAGATTTAGTTCGATTTTTTCACGCGTAATGAACAAGCGACGCTTTACTATTGTTTTGAAGGAATACCACGACGACCACTATGTAATCTCATTGATCAAACTACAATATAAATGTTTATTTCATATCAGTACTATGCAGGGGAAAGAGTCGAACAATAGCCAAACATCTACTTGTTAGACCTGCAGCATATCTACTATTTAAAAGGCACTTACAATTCTTAGCGTATCTAATGATTACTAACTTTTTATATTTATTTATTTGTCTTTTTAATCGATTTGAATGCACCAACGCGCATCGATAGGTGGAACATAACACATACATACATATATAAATCATACATTTATATATATATATATATATATATATTTCACATATATATATATTTCTTTATATATATGTTATACATGCGTGCATAACTATATAACGTTATGCAAGCGCTTTGTCTTGCTATTTTATTTTAACTAATTATTACGAGTTACTTACCAAATTTTTCTAAACGTATTTACGTGTGTTTCGATAGCAGTAAACAAAATTGTCTAATATCGATACTTATTATCGATTGGAATAAAGAATGTCAATGATAGAGCATAATTTTGTCACATTAATGAAAATAGAGGAGAGGAGAGAGAGAGGCGTTACATTTTGTGAAAATAAATTACACAATTATTTCCTCCGTTGATTATTAACTGTCATTTGAAGCATAGCGAAGAATAATTTTAACGAAAAAGGAAATAATTACGCTTTTAGTAACCTTGCTGTTTTTCCCCCACCGCCATGATGCACTTTTTCGGAGCTATTAATGCAATTGAATCAGATTGTGTACATGCTATCAACTGATATCAGGCACGCAACGGACAAAATTATTGTGGCTATGTCTACTCATATCTTATACAAAGTTGGACAAAGATGAACAAATTTAAACAAAAATAACGTATAGCTATGCAAGGCTAACAAACAAGCTGTTCGAAACGTTTACAAAAGAACGATTTTTGTGAAGCGATCGCTCGCTTTTAGTTGCATTTCTAGCTGTTAGCCAGAGTGTGTGAATATCTCTCGTCCGAATAGTTTACGTCAATGTGACAACAAAAGTGGTGAAATTTATATTAATAAATTTAATTCTGATCAACTGCACACTTATCGAACAATGCGATCGAGTCTTGTTTTTCTGTTCGGTATTTTTTTTTCATTCCTGCAACTCGTCGAGCTTTGGAATTTTATAGAACGAGGCAAATCCCCTGTTGTCTTAAGTAAATATTTTTATTCCTTTGTTTTTTTATCAAAGATTAGTATCATTTACCTTTCTTGCACACACTTCATTTCTTTCTATGAAAAGTCATTTCAAAGTTTTTGAAACGTAATAAAGAATTAATTACCATTATTATTTTACTTAGTTCCTGGAGATGGAGGCAGCCAAGTCGAAGCTAAACTTAATAAAACATTTGTTGTGCATTATCTTTGCGAGAAAGTTTCTAATGAATATTTTAATATCTGGTTAAACTTGGAATTACTTGTACCAGTAATCATAGATTGTTGGGTACGTATAAGATATTACTGTACTCTATTGAAATTAAAAACAAATTATTTGATAAAATTCATTATTGTAGATCGACAATATGAAATTGATATATGACAATAAAACAAGAACTACGAAAAGTCCAGATGGAGTAGATATTCGAATACCAGGCTGGGGAGATCCCTTTGTTGTCGAATATTTGGATCCAAGTAAAGCTTCTCCTGGAGCATATTTTAAAGATATTGGGAATACGCTAGTCAATGATTTAGGATATATTAGAAATATTTCTTTACGTGGAGCTCCCTATGACTTCAGAAAAGGACCCAGTAAGTAATTACATTTTTTTTTTATTATTTTTTCATATTTCCATTCTTTTTTTCTTACTCTATTAAAGTGAAGATTTCTTTTTCCAGATGAAAATGAAGAATATTTTGTTAAATTAAAATTATTGATAGAAGAAACGTATTCCATGAACAAGAATATACCAGTAACAGTAATAGCTCATAGTATGGGTGCACCCATGGCGCTAATATTTTTACAAAAACAAACTCAGGCATGGAAAAATAAATATATCAATTCTTTAATTACTTTAGCAGGCGTGTGGGGAGGATCTGTTAAAGCGATCAAAGTATTTGCTATAGGTAGTAAAGTAGTTTCGTATTGTCATAAAAACATTGCATAAATTCAATACGGTCGTAATAAATATTTCTCTAGGTGATGATTTGGGTGCATATTTACTCCGGGAAAATGTCCTCAAAGATGAACAAATTACAAGTCCAAGTTTGGGTTGGCTTTTACCTTCTAAATTATTTTGGAAAGAAAACGAAGTTTTGGTAGAAACGGAAACTAAAAACTATACGCTTGCTAATCTTCGAGATTTTCTCATGTAAAATGTTTTCATTGTTATAATGTATTTAGGACGATATATTTTAGTGAAAATAACAATATTCCTTAATAAAATATTATCAATATATTTTCTAGAGATATAAATGTTCCCAATGGATGGGAATTTCGCAAGGATAATGAAAAGTATCAATTAAACTTTACCCCACCAGGCGTCGAAGTCCATTGTTTATATGGAAAACACATAGACACTTTGGAGAAGTATTCATAACATTTATATAATTTATAACTAAAGCATATCCGTAAAAATATCGATAATATTAAAATTTGAATATTTTTATTTGTAGATTATATTATAAACCAGGTATGTCGATTGATGGACATCCTCAATTAATTTCTGGAGATGGCGATGGTACAGTTAACTTACGAAGTTTGGAAGGTTGCCTTCATTGGCAAATGAAACAAAAACAAAAGATCTATTACAAAGCCTATCCCGGAATAAATCATATGACCATTCTTAAACACCCGGATATTTTGGAATATATTAAGGTAGTTTTAGCGGTTTGACAAAGTGGAAATAACAACTTTATTAACATTTATGAATTGAATGTGGAAAAGTTATAAGTAAAAATCGCATCACATTTGCTAATAGCTGCCAAAAGATATAACGAACAATTAGCAATAATCGAATAATTCGATTGAATAATTATTTATGTCCAATTAATGTAACATATTTTCATACCAAAAAAAGTTAACTCTTTAAACACATTCTTCATAGAATATTTATGGCTCGTGCATCTTTGGCAACTATATTTTTAAATATAACAAATAATATAAAAAAAATAATACAAATTTGATATTG